AATCCATGTTCTTTAAGATCTGATTCATCATCCTTCCCTGATTTCACAGAATGGACTATCCCTAAATCCTTTTTCTTTTACACTCCATGTTAATCCAAATAAACATTGCTCACTTTAAATGATATATCTCTTCTATAAACACCATCTAATTGATATTTTAATTGATCTACAATATCTCTCAATTTAGAACTTAAACTATTAATTTTCTTATAGTATTAATTATTACAATAAGTAAAGCAATATTTCTTAAGTTTAATTTTTATTAAAGTCTTCTAAAGTAATTTATCCATATTTCCAATGTGTTCTTACTAAAAAAGGTACTTAATGCTAAAATTATTTTTTCATTTACCTTGTCCTTTTCATTTTAATTTCTATTATCTCTAAATCGTCCATATCTACTATGGATTCCATCAACCTTTATTTGATCTTTTTTATTTGATGCCATTTAATAAAATAGTGTATTATAAAATTATTAATAAATAAATTATATATATATTTATAGACTGTTATCCATTACATAATATAATTATTCCTCTTACTAATAATGCATAATTTGAACATATTTAATAATAGGATAGTATTAATTGTAAAACTTGTTAAATCTGATTTTATACATTTAATAAATTTAAACATAATATATACCTGAAAATTGATAAAGAATAGTTGTCCTTTTTATAATTAATTCTAGAAACCCTTTTGGAGAGTTTTAGATTTATTAAAAAATAAATTCATTAAATACATAGAGAATTTAATATAATACAAATTTTAATATTTATATGCCTCCTAAAAGTAGAAAACTAGAGCTCAATTCAAATCAACTCAAGGTAAAATGAATATTTTGATTAGTCGAGAAAGAAGGAAATACTGCATTCCTGAATAGATAATATAATAAAGCAATTATTTTATATACAAAAGCTCTTTGTAAGCTGATTATAAAAATGATTTTTTTAGAGATTGAAGAGAACCCTATTTGTTATAATAATCGTTCGCAAGCATATATCCAGACAGAAGAACTAGAATTAGCTTTACAAGATTGTAATAAAGCATTACAATTAAATCCAGGTTATGTGAAAGCAATCACTAACAAAGCATAAGTGTTATATGAAATGGGTTATGTTTAAGTAATCTTTTAAACTTATTGTTAGGAAGCTATAGAATGTTTGTAGAGCATAAATAATCATACTCCAGAAAGTGAAATGTTACTCAATCAATATTAATCATAATCTCTCAAAGTAAAACTGATATCACATCAAGACTTTATTAGATTAAGGAGAATTAGAACGATAAAAGAGACTATTAGAATGGTTGAAATAAGGAAAAGCAATCTTTCCAAAAATCAAAATTGAATGCTATTCAGAAGATTATCGCGGTGTTAATGCTAAATAAACTATAAGTGCCAAAGAGCTCATTCTATTTATACCAAAGTCTCATATGATTACTTTAGAAATGGCTAAGGAAACTTCTATAGCTAAAAAAATGATATAATTCAGATTAGATTTACTCTCACCTAAACATTCATTTCTATCTACTTTCCTACTATAAGAGAAATTCAAACCTAATTCATTTTGGAAACCATATCTAGATATTTTACCATAATCTTATCCCTCATTTCCCATATTTTTTAATAATAATGATTTAGAATGGCTTAAAGGCTCTCCATTTTAAAGTAACTTTTCTTTAATAATAATTAGAATAAATCAAAGATAAGCTATCTGACCTTAAAAAAGATTATAATGATATCTGTACTATTGCACCTGAATTTACTTAATATTAATTCCATGAATTCTGTTGGGCAAGAATGACAGCCAGTAGTAGAATTTTTGGAATTAATATAAAAGGTATAAAAACAGATGCATTTGTACCTTTGGCTGATATGCTGAATCATAAGAGACCTAAATTAACCTCTTGGTGTTATTCTGATGAAAAATAAGGATTTATCATTGAAACTGATGAAAAAATAGAGCGAGGATAAATGATTTTCGATAGTTATGGACGAAAATGCAATTCAAGATTTTTATTAAATTATGGTTTTGTAGTTGAAGATAATGATGCAAATGAAGTTAATGTTATTGCTGAAGCTGATCAGTATGATCCTCTATTGCATTTAAAAGAAGAAGCTGTAAAAGAATCATTATAATGGCCTAAAACCTTTAGATTAGTTATGGATACTGATGGTAATCATATAAAATATTATCTATTAGAAAACACTGTTATTGAATTTATGAGTTATATCAGATTTTTAGTAATTAATGATGAAAACCAACTTTAATTACTTTTAAATTAAAAAGGCTACTAAAATTTTAAACCAACTAAAACTTAACCTATTGGAATTTATAATGAATTAGATATGTGGATAATGATTGGTAGAATATGTAAAAAGTTTCTTAAACACTATCCAACTACATTTGAGGTGAGTTTATATTTAAATTATTTAGTAAGATTAAGAAATCCTAAAAATTTGTGAATTGACTACAAATTAAAGAAATTGCTTGATTTTAAGAATGGGAGAAAAGGAAATTCTTAAATTTTACTTGGAATTCAGCGAAAAAATGAAATAGCTTCTAAGTAATTTTAATTTATAAGTATTATATTCACAATAATTACAATAGGAAATAAACATATTCAGTTCAAAAGAAGAAAACTACAAATACTTAAACTATATTAATAAAGTTATTATGTTTTAAAATTAGAATGATTAATGAAAATATAAATTTCAAATAAATTATAGTATATCTAGAATATATAAATTCCAAATTAATTTTTGTTTTCTAAAATATTTTCTAATCTCCTCTTTTAGGAAATATATAGAATCTTTATAGTTTCTATATCTTTAATCAATTAGATATCTTAATTAAAGAAAATTCATTTTTTTAATCAGATTTTGACAGATATAAAAAGTCTATAGTTATTTTGCTATCCTTAACAGATGTAGATTTTTATCATATACTTATTAATGTTTGATTAATGCTTATATGATTTTTTTTGTAAGCAACATAAATTTTAGGATGCCAGAAAAAAATTGAACATTTTTTGTGATTATCAAGAAATAGCCATTAAATTTTCTTTAAAGCTTCCAATTTATGTTAGAATATTTAACACCTTAATCTAAAGTAGATTCAGCATATTATAAAAGCTAAAATGTCTTTATTTATTGAAATTAATTTCCATTATAAAATTAATTAATGTCTAACTTTACAAATGCAAAACCTTAAAGGAAATATCGTGAAAGGGCACAACCTGTAATTTAAAATATTGATTAAATAGACTTCTAGATAATTTCTTGGTATTTTAGAAAAGCATGGTGATTATAAAAAGAGAGCAATAAATTATTAGAGAAAGAAAGAATAATTACAAAAATTGCAATTGAAAGCTGCTTTAAGAAATAAGGATGAATTTAACTTTAAAATGCTCAAAAGTAAAGTTAAAGATGGTGTTGTATATGAAGATTAAGAGGAAAGTAGTGGTGATGAATAAGAAATCCTTAAGTAAATAAAAACTCAAAATTAAAATTTACTTAAAGCATCTATTTAATAAAAAACAAAGGTAATAATTTTATATTATTAAATCAATAGTTAACTGAAAAACTAAAAGAAGAATTAGCTATGGTATAATTTGAATAACCTTCTCATAAATTCTTTTTGAAAGATGCAAGAAAAAAGAGCTTTGATTAAGTTGAAGAAAAATTATAAATTGAAACTTAATAATCTGCTCCGAGTTCTGAATTAGCATAAAAAATAAACAAGCTAACAGAAACATTATATGAGAAAGAAAGAATGAAACGTTTTTATGTTGCTATTACAAAATCAAAAACTAAAGTAAATATATATATTTAATTTTTAATAGGATAACATAACTGCTAAACCTCATTAGCGAAAAAGAATTAAAAAAGGAAAAGGAAAAGGATTGTTTGAGAGAAGTAAATGATAAATTATATGATAACTTTTGTTTTAAATTGATCAAATTCTTCTTATGTCAATTACATTTTCATCATATTTTGATCCTTAGAAAACTTCATCTTAAAATTCTCTGTGAGATTCTTTTATTAAAGGATTACATTTCATCCAATTATCAACATCAGCTATTTTCCAAACTTAAGGAACGAAATTTCTCATCCATTCCATATATGTTTCTAATTAAAATTTTGAAACTCTCCTATAGGCATCTTTTCTTTGTTTTTTTTTAGGGGGAATTTCGCATTCTGATTCAAATAAAACAAGATGATTATATGAATAATTATCATTTGTTTCTATTAGTTCCTATCCATTTGGTTTGATAAGTTTTAATCTCATAGGAGATTAGATTCTTAACAAACATCTAACTAAAACTTTTTTATAATCATCATATAATTTATCACCTTATTCTTTTGTCTTAAAATTATTAGGATCTTGCAAATTTAATGGAGTAAATACAACACATCCTAATTTATCCAAATCATTATAATAATGATATTAAGATTTAGGAAGATTATCTGTTCTATTTGTAGATAAACCTCTAACTAATACTTAATCTATAAAAAATCCTTAATAAGGAAATGGTTGACCCGATGTAACTGAAAAATCTTCAAAAGCAACAACTCTCTCACCTCTCATTCTAAGTTTTTCTAAAGCTTCTAAAGTTTTTTCAGCAAAACCTTTTTCACAATATTCACTTAAATAAGTCTCATCAGCAACCTCCAAAGACATCAAAAATGCTTAATACATCTTAATTAAATGGGTTATTAGAGTTTTTTCTCTTATTTCATTCTCATTAAGAATTTATTAAAAAAGAAAAGAATCCTTAGTTTCTGGGATCTAGTCTATTCCCTCAAAATTATAAGGAATATCAGCATCTGGAGAAGGAATAGCTAAAGATTTTTCTTTTGCTTCTTAAAGCATTTTCTAAACTTTTGAACATTATAAATACTTCATACAATCCCATAGATATTTACCCTGTTTTTGTTCTATAAACTTTAGGTGCATTTGTAGATTTAGAGACAGTAGCTAATGGATCTTTTAGAACCTCTTTCTGTAGAAAAGTACGACTAAATCGAGGGATAAACATCCTCATTGTATGAGGAGAAAATATTTTCATTATTCAATTTATATTCACAAATACTATTTAATGCAATCATTCAAATTTATCTAAAAATAAATTTATATATATATTTTACTAACTTATCATCTTTAATAGAACATCTCGAAATAATTACTATATATCAATGAAATTTAATAATGTATAACGTGAATCCTGACTACACTAATAAACCCAAATTATGAAGAAGGTTATATTAAAATTTCTAAAAATTTTAGAATTATCTTTGTAGAATAAAAAAAATAAATTATTTTATCATCATAATTCTATTTTTTAGATAGCTCCAAATAAATAAGCTAACTTTAGATTATTTGTCTGAAAATGAAGCTAAAATTTATAAATTTCTGTTATTGTAGGATTTTTAAGCTGCTATATTTAAAAAAAACTTTACCTTAGATTTTTTACTATTTTTTTTACATCTTTCGAAGTTTTTTATAAAAATAAAAATTAGAAACAGATATAGATTTACTGTTGTTACATAACTGACATCTGACACAGCTTGTTATTATTGATATTATTTAAACTTTTCAACAATTACTAATTTTAAAATGAATATTTAATTTAAAATTAGTTTTATTGAAACAAAAAAAAAGTTTAAAGCTTAATTTTTATTTGATAGATTATGATTTATATAGTATGATTTTAAATTCATTATTAATTTGAAACCAACTAAGAATAAAAAGAAATAATCAAACACAATAATTCTGAAAGATTTTAAACTAATTTTCTGATCTTAATTTGTTAATTTTTTATTTAGTTTTTCCAAAAAAAAAAGTTTTAAATTTTAAGATTCAATTGTGAAAATAATTTTATTATACTTATTAATTCTACTTCTCATACTTAAATGGTTTACATTTTTTTTTCTTAACAATTTACATCTTCTGTTCTCAATTAATAGCATAAAACATAAGCTGATTTTGAAACAATAGATGATTCACTAATTTAATTAACCATTGAATCATCAAAATTATACCATTTATTGGTAAACTAATTTATTTTATAATAATTTTACTTTATTTTTAGCGAAAGCAGTGTAATGACCACCACCTAATCCGCCAAAATGATTAGAAACAGCATATAAATCATAGATTACTTTTTGCTTATTATTTTCACCGTTATTTTTTTCATTTTCATTTTGATATTCAGAAGGAGTCTTAGAATTAATAATATAATCTGTCATATCAAGATTATCAATAGGAAAATCAACCAAAGTTTCAAGTTTTTATTTAAATAATCTATTTGTAGCCTTAAATCTTTTCAATGTAAAAATTAATATTTAAGGAGCCTAAATTGTATTAAAATTTAATACTTTATAGATTTGCATGCTTTTATATGCTTAAACATGTTCTTTGCATATCTTACAATACCAAGTATTTTCTGCATTAAGTTATTCAGGTATCTAGGAATATTATAAGCAATCATAAAGAGTAGCACCACCTTATGTACTTTATGAGGAATTGTTGCTCATAGAAGTTTAATTTGATGATTTATAATAATTATCCTCAACTTAAATTTAGTAGGTGAAATATACCTTCTATGTTATTTGATTTGAAATAATGATCAAATATATTTGGCAATTTAATCTGTTTAAAAGGACTTTATTTCCAAAGCAGAATAATTTAAAATTTACATTAATTATCAATTTTTAAGGCTCTATTCTTGACTTATTCAACTGTTTCTTCATCAAATTTTACTTCACAATCATTACAACTCTTGTAATTACAAAAAGCACAAGGAGTCCAATAATTTTAATTTGATTTATAAATCAAACTATAATACTAAAAAATTAAAATTTTCAAATACCTAATTTAAGATTTATTTTTCATAATCTATATTAGTATGTTCACAAAAAAATTATTAAATTTTATTAAATATTAATAAATGGACTTATTTTAATGTCATGGATCCATCTAAAATAAAGACACCTTATTTATAATATGATTTTTTTGAATATGATTCAAAGTAAAAATTAGAAAATTATATTGGGAATTTTTTAATCATTTAAAATTCCTCTTGGGATAATTTTTTAAAACAAAGAGATAATCTTTTAGTACTTTTTCTTATTTCTATAATAGATTTATTTTCATCAAAAAAATCAAAAGATCCATATGTAGAAGCTGAGTAAGCAAATAAATATTGAGAATCTATTTTAAGTTCTTAAGAAAGAACTTTATAATATTCTTTTAAAGAAATATTTTTATTTTTATCAAATGGTATAGTCATTTAAGTATTTTAAAATAGATCTTTAAAAAATTTAAATGAAATAGTTCTTTTCTTTTAACTAGGAATACCTAATTAAACCATTAGATAAGGATCAAAAGTAATTGAAAATTGTTAACAATTAGGACACTTTAAGGTAGATTTGAATTGTCCATGCATAAGATCAACAATAATTGATTAATTTCTACCTAAATGATTTAACCAGCTTTCTTTAGCAACAACAAAATTAGAGCGACCATCATAATCTTTAGTTTCAATATATGGTTTAATTTTTACTCTATTTAAATCTTCATGAATTCCATCTAAAACAAATGTAATTAATTCAGATGAATCATGTTAATGATAACCTTTAAACATAGGTTAAAATTAACCAACAGCCTTTTTATAATTTGTTGGAGTTATTGTTGATCTATCCCCACACCACATTTTTTTAATGAGTGATCCAACCTTTTTTACTAATTCTCCTTTTGTTCCTAATGGATTACTCATGTTAATCTCTTCAAAGTAAAAATTCTTTAAAAAATATTCAACCAAAGGATATGAATTAGCAATACATTAAGTTCCACTATTCATAAAACATGTATTTCCTAAATTACTTAAACCTACAATTCCTTTAACTGATTTCGAAGTAATAGTAAAAGATTTTACAGATTCATCATCTGAATCATACTTTAGACATCTAGGATTATGATAATTGTAATCTTTTGATTTGCATTCTTCTGTGCAATAAGCAACTTTTCTACAAATACAAGGAAATTATAGAACTTTGATACTATTACAACATTCACATTTCCTTTCAACTTAAACTGCTTAGTTTCTAATACACCATGGTTTATTGTCATCTTTAAACTGACTTAATAAATAGTAGAATTACTTCAAATACAATTAGATTATTTTCGATAATTCCAATATCTTCAATATTTTCATATTAGTGATGAGTTAGTAGCTCTCCTTTAAAATCAAAGCACATATCATCATCACTATCTAATATACTTACTTATTTGTATATTTCACTAAATAAAGTTTTAAATGAATCCTTTTAATCTGTTACATATCTCCAAATTCTAATATTATTATCTTTTGCAAATGATCCTTTAAAAGTGTGTACTGTTCTTTATATCAATGCATAATAATCTTTTAATTTCATATTTCTATCAGCTTACATAACTTCACTCTCAAATGTTTATCTATACATTCTATCAAAAGATATTAATTTGATTATCGATGGATATAGTAAAACACTATTAAACTAAAAATTAATATTTAATATACTTTTATTAAATTTACAGTCACTTGCTTATCTTTTCCAGTACCATTAGATGTTCTTATTATTGCTATTCCCTAATGTTAATTTGTGAAAAATTCCCAAATTTCCTTATCAACTATGATATAATCTATGTTTTCTTATAATCCCTATTTCATATATGTATTCCATGGATGATTAATAATTGGATGATATTTAAAGCATTTCTCTACATTATCTTCTAAATCCTCATTAATTTTTCCAAGTGTGATTCTTCCAAATTCTTTACATGGTGTTTTGTTAGCTATGATCTCCTCATATGAAACATATTTTTTCCATGAATTCAACCATCTTAAAATTTCCATTTATATTACTTTGCACTTAAAATGTAAAATTATGTGTTAAACTCTTATGAAAATCTCTTTGCAAATGTTTCTTAAAGTTTCTTATATTCTAGAGCTTGTTTTTTCAATGTATTTGCAGTATATTAGGACACTTGAATCTCTTTCAATTTTTCTTCTTGCATAATTAATTTTTTATAGAATTTTTAATTATCTAAAGTATTTTCATAAAATTTTATTTTTTATCTTCTCTCTTAGAATAATAGAATATATTTTTTAAGTTTATTTAGAATCTATTGCCCAGTCACAAATTAAATTCGCACAATTAAGTTCTTTAGAATTTTATTTCCAAAGATAATAAATAATATTTTGATTTAAATTGAATTAAAATCTAATATAGTTTTGGAAATACTAAAAAATATTAAATATTTAAATATATTACTTTATCATATATAATAAATATTATAACAGACAATAAAATATAAAATATTAAAGTCTTAATTTTTGTCAATGTTTAATTTTGAAATTCTAATAACATTGTAGATTATTAGATATATGTTTTTTTTAAATTGATTGAATTATAAAATAAAGAAATTATGTTATTCAAAACATTTTTTGATTATCTAAAATGAAAAAGTTTAAATGAATAAAATAAATTTTAAGTTATATTAAATTTAATATGAATTATAATTAGTATCGTACTCAAGTTGATAATTAGAGAATGATACATCAAAACTCTCAATCTGTTGGGAAATTAAAGAAGGGAATAGTATTTTAGAATTATCCTTTTAATCCAGTTTAAAGTTACAACTCAAACTTTCAAGTACGTCCATTAACATCTTAAACTCAACCTATAAAGAAACCATCAACTGCATAAGTGATTATAAGTAAATAGCTTTATAGTCTAATCGGCATGTTCCAAGAGCAGCAACTTCTCAGACTTAGCGATAACCTAATTTGCTCTTTTCTGAGTAACCTAATAATAATCTTGATTTGGAGACAAAGCCAAGTAAGAGATTTATGAAGATATACTTTATGAAAAGTAATCTCGCCTGCCTAATTTAGCCAATTATAGAACAATTCTACACAATATCATGAATAATAAACTAAAAGCACTTCCACCTGGAGACAGGAAGAGATTGTCTGTTCTTAATATTGTATAAGAAAAGTTTAAAGAACTTACAATATAGGAGATTAATCTATTAATATGTCAACATACTCTATCTGAAAAGTTCTATATCTATTTTTCAGGTTAAATTATTATCTAAATTAAGATTCTGAATGGATTCCATGTAGCAAATGTTGTTCATCACCAATCTTTTTAGTTTTGAGTCCACTTGTATAAAAAACTGATATGTTTTGTTGTTAATGTTCTCGAAACTTACAAAACCCTCCCAAATCAGCTATTCAAACCAATACTATTCTTCCTAAATATTCATTCTCATAATATGGTCATTCATTACAGGAATAAAAAGAAAGATAAAAAGTTAGTAGAATGATAATATCTGGAAAATATAGAAAGGTTAATTTGAAAGAAATGTATAAAGAAGCATAAGAACCACATTAAGTAGAAGAATCTTTCAATCTAGAATTCCCTATTAAAGAAAAATAATAAGAAAGCACTATTTTAGAATTAAAAGACTTAATTAACGAATTATTTTGATTAATATATACAAAAATCGTTGCAATATATAGATTTACCCTTTCCCAGAACTTGAAAATTATATATCTCACTCACTCATTTTATTGTTATTTTTTGACAAGAATCAAAATTTATTTTCAACAATAATCCTTGAATATTATTCTTATTATCTATTATATTTTCAGTTTATATTATTTTTCACTAATATAAATCTTTGATTCATAAGTAGATTAAAAATAATTAATTTTTTAACTAGATTTATAAGTATTACTTTGAGTTTGATTTAATTATTCAAAAATTATAAATATTTTTAAGATTGATTTCAATTTTGGTATAATACAAAGATAATTAGATTATTTTTTGTATAAATTGATAAAAAGAATCCAATTAATTATAATGTATGTTCTTCTGGCTATTCTATATAATTTTAGTTTTAAAAATAGTTAATAAAAATAAATAATTAGTATTTGTCATATGGAATCCTATTATTTGTTTCTATCATCTTTTCTATTTTTGTACATCTTTCCAAATTAAATAATTTCATTTTCAAATGAGTCCACTTAATAATCTTCTTAAGGCCCCATTTAGGGTGTTTCATAATAATCTACAATTTATTGGCCATCTGTCAATCTATTTAGAACATGTTTAAAAGGCTTTATATATGTTTTATCCTATTGGTTATCTTGTAAACTTACAGCAATAGTAATATTAATTAATTATAAGTTCTTTAATTGACTATGCTTTTCTTCAATAAATTATTTAATAGTCAATAGCATAACAAGAGCAGTATAGCATTTAGAATTGATTTAAGCTTCAGAAGAGATCACAGGAAAGCTTACAGAACTTAATCCTAATTCATTACACTACATAGATAAAGCTAAATACTAAAAGAAGTGTTTTCTTTATTGAATTTTAAATATACTATTTGTCATTCTAGCCTGTATATTCCTAAATGCTACTTTCAATAGAATCATCTCCATTATATTAAAATGATCTTAATTATCTTCTTATTTATTGATCATAATCTATTTCATAGAATGGTGGCAAAAGTGCAAAGAAAATAAAATCAAAATCTAATTCTTCTGCATGTGTATAAATAACATCACCAAAATCAATTGTCTATTTCTTTCTCTAACAGCTCAGTAGATTTTCATACATTTGTTTCCCTCCCATTTTAAGGATTTGCCTTGATAAATGACTTGTAACATTAAATTAGGGATCAGCCATAGCTACAACTGCATCTACATTTTCATCAATTAATTTTCCTTAAGTTAACTTGATAGTGATATTATGGATTATTTTCTCCATAAGATATTGAGTAGAATGATTTACTTATTGAACTTAAGTATTTTATTCATAATTACAGCAATACTGTCCCATAAATTAAATATTAATGTATGATAAAATCACTTTTTGATTTGTTTGACTATTTTCACTTCCTCGACTAAAAATGCTCTGATGATGCGATTTTTTAGGGCTCCTGCACTGAGCACTCCTCCATATGGTCTTGATACTGTTCTTTATCTTCTGGAAAGTTACTTAAGTTTTGTTGGTCTAATACGTTTAAGTCCATTTAAGACTACATTCAAATTAGAATCAGCACAAGTTGATGCACTTGTTTTTTTATTTGGATATTAAACAACAACATTACCACCTAATCTTGATTGATTATTATACCTGGTGTCTTAACCTTTCTAATCTTATTTGATCTTGTGTTATAACTGGTTCTTCTGCGATATGTAATTCTTACACCCATTTGTTAAAATCTTAATTAAATATTTTTTTAATATTTTTTATCAAAACAAAGTATAGATAAACAAATAAAGTTCTCTACTCACTTTAAATAACTCTATATAATATTACTGTTTATTATCACCCCTATTATTTTTAAATAAAAGTTATTTATATTTTAGAAAACTATAAAATTCCATTTTTATACCTTCAAATTTCTATTCATTTAGATGACTCAGACTTATTTGTTAAGTTATATATTTTATCTTTAAATAAAGTGAAGACTTTGATACAATTTAAAAATTTTTAGAACTCTAAAATGAGAGAACCAAATATCAATCATTTTATAAAAGTAAAAAAAAATTTGCTATTTAATATTTAAAAAAAAAAATATAATATTATATTTACATAAAATAGATGATATGATAGAACTCTTGAAATGTGTGTTATATTTTCTAAATTGTGAAATTTATTCTCGACAATAATAGCATAAATTTTTAAATTGTTTATGAATTATATAATTTATTAATGAACTAAGATAATTTTGAGGTATTATTAGTGATGAATTTAAGATTAAAGTAGAAGTTAGTGATCCTAGAATTTAATAAGGGCTTAATAAATATACAATTTATTCTGTTAGAGGAATGGATTAGAATGGGCAATTTGATGTTGCTCGTAGATTTAATGATTTTCGACTTATTCGTTAATTATTAGTTCATAAATGGCCTGGCTGTTACATTCCTCCATTACCTCCTAGAAAAGCATTAGTAGATATTTATATCAAATAATTACTTTAGGGAAATATGAATCAAAAATTTATTGATGATAGAATGCATTCATTATAAGATTGGATGAGAACAATATCATAACTCAGATATTTCTGGTATTCTGAAGAGTTTCAATACTTTATTAAAGCCAATGGAGATATAGAAAAAGTATTTTTTATCATTAAAAGTGGAGGCATTGGCCTAAGTTCCTAAACTTACTTATGAAGAGATTATTAATAAATATTAGGATACATTTACTGAACTTTCAGGAGTAAAAAAAATATAATATTTTAATATAGAGAGAAATCAATCGTGATATAATATAAAAAATTTCTGATTTCCATGAATTCTTGAAGAAAGTAATGCCTATGATGGAGAATTTTAAATAAATTGCAAAGTATAGTTAATCTTAAAATTAGAAATATCTAATTGGCAAGAGAAACTTATCAAAAATAGTTGGTTCATTTTTTATAAGTATTATTACCAGAATATGAATAACATGTTCTTCTTGAATTTATGGAGAGTCCTGATAAATTAGTTATTCAAACTCTTAAAAATGATGAATATCCAGCATAAATCTTAAATAATTATCTCACTTTACTTAATTAAGATGAATTCTTACTTTTGTTTTAAGAAATCAGAAAAGAATCCAAATAATTAAGAGCCTTTCTTGAAACTATGACATAAAGGGAAAAATACGAATAATAAAAGCTATTTTTTGAATAAAAACAAAAAGAGTTGCAACTTGAATTGTAAGAAATCTTAGCTGGAAAATAATCAATAATGAAAATATTTTCAACATCTAAAAAAGAGGATAAAATAGCTAAATTACAAATCGAAATTGATTCTACAGCCAAAGACATTGAGAATATGTAATTTATATGTGATATCCTTACAGTTTTATTAGGATATATCGAAATTGATAAATTTAAAGTAATCCTTAAATATATAAATAGTTAGAAAAATAAACTAATTATTACAAATTAGCAAAAAATTTAATTCAATATGAAATACATTTAACATAAGCATCAGAAGAGTTTTGGGAAAGAATTGAACAAAATTATAATTTATTATGATCTAAATAATATTATCATAAATTTATATAAATTTCTTCAACAAGTTTTTTTTATTAAATTTTTTTTCAATTTTAATAATTTTCTGTATAATTAGCATCTCTTAATGTTTCTTATTTCTATACTAAATTAATTCTTTAAGTTTATTTCTTTAATTCAAGAGGTAATTAAAAGAGAGATTATTAAAATTCTTTCTCAAAGTTGGCAAGCTATATGTTTAAGTTTTTGGAATAATTATTTTTTTATACTTAATTGTGATCACTGTAGACTCTTAACATTTTAACTTGTTTGCTATCCTAATCTAATATTAATTGATTTTTTTTATTTGCTTTCTGAATATTAATTGTTTGTAATATTTCATGCAATCCCTCACCAAAATAAGTTAACTTTGGTGATATTTCTATTTCTAGATTTATATTGATTCCCAATTATGTAATCCATTTTAAATCTCTTTATAAATAAGCATTTCGTGCTGTTTATGCTGTATCTTTAGTATCATTTAAATTGTTTATAATCGGAGCATATTCATCATCTCTTTGTACATTGAATAATCCAAATTTATGAATTGAACAATATGGTAAAGAGTCATAATAAGTGATTTCAAATTTAAGAGCATTTGAAGTTGCAAGTTTAGGTTAAATGAGTTGATTTAATTTGTAATCAAAATAAGTACATTTCTTTTATCTCATAGGAAGACTTCGGTATATTAAAATAATACTTAGTTTGCATTTAAGATTTATAATTTTTGCACAAATCTAAAGCATAATCAAGAGAACATAAAACCTATCCTATAAGTCCATATGAATTTGAAACTTACTTAATTGAAATCTCATTATTTTCTAAATATAAATAATTATTACCAATTAAACGTAATTAAGACTAATCATTTTCGACAACAATTAATAGTTTTTCCTCAGAATTTCTTTTTTAAGTGCATTTGAAACTTAAATCTAGTTATAATCTTGTAAATGCACCGAGCCAAAAAGGATCTCCAAATTTACATAAGATATTTTCAATTGAACATAATTATAGAATCGTTATGCCAAGTAATTTCATTGTTTCCAATATTTATTTATTTAAATAAATTTATCCATTTCCTATATGTTCTTCATAAATTTAGTTTTCATTTCTAAAAAGAATTTACCCATCAATACTTAAAAGAGGTAAGCAATCTTGTTAGAAGAAATAAATTTAATGTTCTTCTAGCCCATAATAATTAGAGTTTTATAAGTTAGAAGTTATAATATCATGATTGAAATTTGTTGTCATAATAAAAATTAGAATTGGTATGCAATTTCCTTATATATTTTTGGTAAGATTTTATAAGCTTTGAATTCTTTCAAAATACAATTGAAATAAACATTTTTTTGATGGTAACTAAATATCTAAAAACCCAGTATTTTGTTAAGAACTGATCACGATAGCTACTAAATAGTGAGTATTAGCCTAATACGTTTGCCCTCTGCAATTGTTTTAAATCCAATAATATCATCTCTTATATCTAAATTCTAACAGTCGACTAACTTTTTAAATGGTATAGTTTTAGGTGCATTTAACTTAAAATTTTGAAATCCCTACACATAGTTTAAAAAATACTTTATTCAACGTATTTATATTATAATTGAGTAACTTTTCTAAAATTTATTACTTTTGCTTTTCTTTCATTTTATTTGCATAATTGAAAACAGACATTTATTCATTCATTTCAAAATTAATTGAATCAGGGGATTGCTTTATCATTTATTAATTAAATAATAAAAAAAATAAATTATCGGTAATGCTTCTCTAAAAAATATTTTGAACTTGAATTTGAAATAGCTTTCAATGAATCCCAATAGACTAATAACACTTTTTGTCTAATTCCAATCGTTTTCTTGAATAATTAAAATGCTTTATTATCTAATCCTTTGAATATAAAAATGCCATCTGAATAAGCTTAACTAAATGATAACCATTAAATTAAAGTTGTTATTGGTTAATCTCCAGCATAAATATTTAAACTAAATTTTCCTATAGAGATTACTTGGTATAAATTTACATTTAATTCGGCTAATTTGATCATTGAACATATGAGGAAATGTATTCATTTAGAATTTTTATCTTAATTGTATTTGATTTAAGCATCTTATAAACTTAAGGATTAATGTGATTAAAATTTTTATTTGTTCTTGTTAGTTTAATAAATAATAAGAATTTAAGTTTTGATTGTTGAATAATGGAATTTATTTTATTTATTTTAATATTATTTTAAATCTAAAATGATAAGGTTAAGGAATATTATTGGATCTGCTATCCATATTTAGACATCTTTATTTCGATTTTCAGCTCAAGCTCCCCAACCACCTCCAGAATAACCAAATAAAAAATTGTTATTCTAAGGAAAGAATGCTGAAAAACCAAAGAAATAAAATCAAAAATTTGATTAAAGACATTAATATTACCAAAGAAAGGATTCTAATGAAAATTAAAAGGATGAATAGAGTCCTCCCTAATAAAAGAAATAAGAAAGACATTTTGATAAATAATCTTACCATAGATAAAAATTTGATGAGCCAAGACCTTAGAAATATGAGAAAGATCGTAAATCATCTGAATAATCATAATAATAATAATAATAACCATAAGAAGGTCAAAAGAAAACAGGAATATTATTTGGACAAAAAAGCAAGGAATATAAATAGCTTGGAGGAAGAATTATTAGTAAAAGAAGTTTCAATTAAATTCTGAAAAAAAAGTAGGAGAGTGAAAAACAAAATGAATAAATTTTTATAGATAAACTCAATGAGGCTTAGAATATTTCAAATGAACATGATAGAAATTAAAAATTAATTGAGATATACTCAAATCAAGGTAAATTCGATAAAGTTAAAGAAATATTTAAATCAGAAAAGTAATTTAATTCTGGTGTCTATTCAGTTTACATAAATTAAATAGCTTTACATTCTATTGACCTTGAAGATTATGAACAACTCAAATCTATTCTAAATAATCTTGAAGATAGAGTTCATACTCTTCAACCAGAAGTATTTCAATCTATTTATTTTATGATTTTCAATCTTGATTTATTTCCTAATGAAAAAGTATATTATATCATTTATTGTTATTTTAGGCTAGAGAATTAGAATATCTTATTAATATTGTTACAACTCATCATTTAAGTTCATAATTTGATTTAACATACTTCTAAACTCTCTTTGAAGATTAATCATTTGAAAATGAAAAAACAAGCCAATTATTAGTAATCAAAGTCTTTAATCAATATTTTGAAAGATACGCTTAATAAAATAAAGGAAGATCAATAATAGATTTGCCAAACTTAAATATAGCATTTGCTACAGCAATTAAAGCAACCATTTTTCATCATACAAATGATGCACAAAACTTCCTTAACAATTTAAAGTCATTACAATAATTAGCTGAAAATAATGTTAAATTAGAAGACTTAGTGAGATATGCATAATAGTATTTGTATAATTTAACTTTAGTATTTCTTTAAAAGAGAATAATTTTACATAATTATTGGATTTATTCAAATAAATAAGAAATCCTAATTTCATATTCTTATTTGAATAATCATTAAAAAAATTAGATTCAAATGGTCTCTAAGTGAAAACAATTGATAGGGAATAATTATAAAATCTCTATTTTGAAAAAGTAGACAATCTAGCTGTCAGATAAGCTGAACTTTTTGGATTATTTGCTGATCGTTTCTAATTTCCTGAATTAACAATAGAGATCTTTTAAAACCATAAATAAAATAAATAAAATGAATATTCTAGTTTCTTATATTAAAAAGCAATTGGAGTATTAATAGAATAATCTGGAGGAAAACATATAAGTAATGCTGTGGTATTATTTGTTATTAATAATTAAGATGACTCTAATGTAAGAGGCTAATAGTTTTAAGGTTCCTTTATCTAAAGTGAATTATTAAATTAATCAAATAAAGGCTCATATTAAGGAAGGGTCATATTAATTAGCCTACAATCTCTTTACATAAAATGTTATAGATGATGTAATTTTGGCATTTTAGAGGTAATATATTTACAATATACCATTCTAGAGAGAAAATTAGGAGATTTTTATTAAAATATGTTTAAAAGATGCATATCGGTACAAAATTCAAGATGACTTCACACTTAAAATACTATTAAAAAAAAATAAAAAAAATAGATGATTTTGTAAAATATCTTACAGATAAATAACTTTTTGATTTTCATAAGGAAGAGAGATCAGATAATTATTTATTAGAAACCTTAATTAATTAAGAGGATATATTTGAATTTAATAAATAAGCTGCTTATAGATAGGCTTTCCATAAAATAAAGTCTGATATTGCATTAGGCATTTTCGATTATTAAAAATTGTAATAATAATGATCAAATTAATTAGATTAGAACCAGCAACAGAAAGTGAATAAATTCAAAGAGAAGTATTTGATGATTATGAGAATTTTGTGAAAATTGAAAAAAAGATATTATTTGATGAAAGAAAAAGAAAAAGAGTTAATTTGATGTTGGAATAAATGTCACCATCATATGCAAGGAAAAAAACATATGAATAAGTGCTTGTTGATATTGAATAAGTATATAAGAAAAGTTATTTTGAAAATGGATTATTGAAAAATGATTTGATTGAATTTCCAGAGGTAGAATAAATTTAGTAAATGTAAAAAAGTATAAATTTAAGTTAATTTAATAGAAATGAAAAAGGAATTAGCAAATTTAGGTTTACCAGTATAAAAATATAAGGCAAATGTTATTACATTCAAATCAACGTAAATAAATTCTTAGAATGAATAAGAAGTTATTGAATAAATTCCAGAAGAATAACTTACAAAGGAAAATGAATAACCTCATAAATAAAAAGGAAGATAGAAATCATCATCAAAATCTATAGATAAAATAATAGATGAATTAGTCGTCAAAGCTAAAGAAGAGAATAGAAGTACTAGAAATATTGAAAGATTGAGAAGATATTTAAAAGCCATAAAATAAGGATTGAATTTTCAAAAGAAGATGAAAAGTGATAAAGAATTCTTTAGGAAAATGGTTCGTGTACACTATTAATATGGTAGACAAGATATAGGAATGAAAGAGTTAGTAAACTTAAAATTAAAGAAAAAATTACTTAGAAAAAGAAGAAGATACATACCAAGAAATCCTTTAAGAGAAAAACCAGCAAAATAATCAGTATTTATGAATGGTAAGATTAAATTAAACGATTTTCAATTTATGAAATACATATATTATAATGCCTACAATTAGTTTAATGAGTACATTAATGTTCCACCAAGCAATTATTAAAATGAGATATGGGATTTACTTGCTTGGGGAATATAAAATTAAGAACCAATGGGTATTTATATTGAATTATAAATTAGCTGTAAAATTAGCTGAATATTATTGTAATACTTGTGGTGCTAAGATGCCTGAATATCTAGGTAAAATGATAGCCAATTTTTATAAATGTGATGTCGGAGAAACAAGTAATAAAAATTTTGATAATGTATATAGATTCAGAGGTTAGATAGAAGTGGATTCAATCTTTGGAAATTATTAATGATATTAGTATAAATAAAGTGTATTCACATATAAATGATCAAGCATTTGTATCAGAATAGGATATTGAGTATTTACATGCAATTGAATGCAAATAAGAGTACAAGGGAATATGCAGAGCATTACTCAATACAACCCATTCCTATCGTAAGTATGTGAGATATGGTGTTTCATAAAAAGAATTATTGATGTGATTTTATCAGAGCTATATTTAAAACATAAAATTTTAATAAAATTCTTATATAATCTTTATTTATAATAATATCTTTGTCATTTATTATTAAAAAATTCATTCTCTAAATTTTCCATTTCAACAGCTTATTGTAAAATGTGAAGGTCTTTATTACCTTGATCAGGTTCTTATTGAACAATCTCTTCATGATCTGGCATTATTGGAGGAATCATTCTGTCAATTATCGAAATTGCATATTTCACAAAAAATATTTGCAATCCCATTGTAAATACAATTAAAGATGAAATTCCCCATCCTACATCCATTTTTTATTGTTTGCTACTTTAATCATTATCTAATGCAAAAATAGTTAGAGTAATTATGGTCATACTTACATCATAACATACTTCTCTAACGAATAATTCAATATAGTATATTGGAATAACATTAGCAGAGAGTGAATAAAATCCTAATCTTATCAATACTAATAAACCAATTTAAGGATATACAGTTAAAAATACCAAAGCTATCGCTATTATAATCTTTTATAAGTAAGGTACAAGAGCAAAAAATTTAGTATAAGGAGTAGTAAATAATAGACCATCAAAGAATTCTCCAAAATAATCATAAACTTGTTTTACTCTTATAATATGAGGATTTCTTATTAATTTTTAAATAATTAATACAATCAATACCATAATTGAAATCGCAAATAGGATAGATAGGGCTAGATTTATAATACCATAAACATTAGAAACATCATAGTATTATAAATTTAAAACTATACTTAATATAAGATCCATAAAAAATATTTCAATAAATATAGTCAGACCTTAACATCTGAAATATTTATGAACTTGTTCAGCATAATATTCAATATCTGGATCTGGTACAAATCTATAAAAGATTTAATTAATGCCAAGTATAAAAAGCAAGGCTCCAAAAGCAGTTAAGAATCTGCCTCCTCCTTCTGAAAGCATTTAGGTATTGTAATTATAATATTAAAATTTAGAAGGTGCATCAGATTGATCGCAATCGTTAGTAATTAAATCAAAAACATTGGGTATAAAAGTGAGATTAAAATAATCTAGAACAGTGAATATTTATTCTAGATTATATCCCATTCTGATATTAATATATCGTAGCATGCTGATAACTTAGATAAATTCAATAGTTTTTCTGATTCTACCTTCTCCAATTCTATAATAATAGTAGAATCCTGAGAGTACTCCAAAAATGGATAGAATGAGAAGAAGATAAGCAACAGCAATAGAAATGTCTTTTTCTGTAGCAGTATAATAAATATAGTAAGGTAAGGGAGTAGAAATAAGTAAGGAAGAATTAATAGAATCAATTTCTTATAAGAATCTTCTATCTTGAGTGGTTTGATTGATTAAAGACCAATTATAAATATCTTATATAGATGAAGCGTTGTTAAAGGTAATGTTAGCAATAAGATCTTGAATGGTAATTTGAAATTAGAAAGTGATTTGAATGGTTTGATTTTTGAATGGAATGATGGAATATTCATAAGGAATAAATGCATTAGCTCTATTATATTGAATGATGATGCCTTCATCATTAACTTCTTCAAACTCTTTAAACTTTAAGTGTTCTAAATCTGGAATAATAATAGTAGTAAGATTACTATAATCTATATTTTATTTCATAGGTCTAGAGAAGTGAATGTAAATGATATTAGTATAGACAAGACTCCATGAGATAGTAATTTACGGAGGTGCTTTAAGAAAGCAAACATCTGGACCTTAAGGATCATAAAGTATACAATCCCAATTTAGCTCAATTTTACACAATTAATCACATCCATCAAGAGGAATGATATTGCCATCATCACACCGCTCTTAAGGATGATGAAGACCATCTCCACATAAAAATGGTATTTGGGTACATGTTTTACCATCTCTATAATACCCATCAGAACATAAGAGACATTCTCCATCTTATGAATCACATTTAAGACATTCTGATCCCATATTACATGGCATACAAGTTGCAGTTTCTTAATCTAAGTAATACTTTTCAATGCAAGCATAACATGTAGTTGTATCGCAGTTTGCACATGGAGATTTACATGGAATACATTGATTTCCTAACATTGCATTAGGTTAATCAGAGAAACCAAGCGGACAATGAGAATAGCATTTTCCATTTTATAAATAATGATCATAATTACATCTAACACATGTTAATTAGTTTATACATTATGAACAATTAGATCCACATTATAAACATATATTATTATTAGGATAATATCCTGATGGACATCCAGGGTAACATTATTATTCTAATTAATAAAACATAGTTAAACAAGTATCACAACTATTAGGGGATGTACAAATAGCACAATTACTCAAACACTTAAAACATTAATCATGAGATTATGCTTACACTATACATCCATATCCTGATTCAATATTACAATATTATGAACATCCATCTCCATCATCTACATTATTATCATCACATTATTCAGAATCATCTCTAATTCCATCTCCACATCTTAGAATACATTAATCTCTTCCTGCCTATGAACCACCTTCACATTAATATAATTTCTCTATTCTACACATTTCATCACATCCATCTCCTCCTAATACATTACCATCATCACATTTCTCATTCTATATCTTTATACCATCACCACATATTGATGAACATGTTATACCCATACAACTATATCCAATCTCTATCTTACACTATTTAGAACAGCCATCACCATTTAATGTATTACCATCATCACACTCTTCTGTTGATTTCTTTATTCCATCACCACAAATCTCTGGTATAGCTTTACACTTATCAGATGTTGTATCACTTCCACCACTACACACATAATCTGTATCCACCTTACAATTGCTACACCCATCGTTATTCACACCATTTCCATCATCACATTCTTCTCCTTAATCTCTCAATCCATTCCCACACATTTTACTACATACACTTGGAGTACCAGAACAAATCCAACCAACATCTGTCACACAATCTGAGCAACCATCTGAAGATGTATTATTTTAATCATCACAATCCTCACCTGCATTTATACTCCCATTTCCACACAATTTTGTACAATTACTTATAGGATTGGCTAAAGGATTTGAATTATCACAATCATAACCGATATCCACTTAGCAATTAGTACATCCAGTTGAACCACCTCCAATATCACATTATTCTAAATCAGGAGCACCTGATTCTAATTTTCCATTTCCACAATTCTTATCACAATTTATAGGAGCTCCAACTGGAATACAATAATAAAAATCTTCTATTGTGCTACAATCAGCAGAACATCCATCACCATCTACATTATTACCATCATCGCAAATTTCTCCTGCATCCCAAATACCATCACCACAAGCTAATTTACAAATATCTTTTGTTGTAGGAGTTCCTCCTGAGCATTTATAAGTAGGGGATGTGACAACACAATTAATACATCCTGGCCCTTATGCTGCAATTGGAACTGCAACCAAAAAACCTTCATCACATCCCTCTGATGCTTCCTTTTTTCCATTTCCACATAATGTACACATTAATGTTGCAGGATTACCAACATAATTACCTCCGCAACTTGAACTTACTACACATGCATTACCTGCTGGCTGGATTAAGTAATACCCAGTATTACAAGCATTACAACTTCCATTAGCTATACACGAACTACATTTAAAATCACAACTTCGACAAAGATCTATTGTTCCTATTGGATTAGACAATGCATTAGCACCAGATGAACAACTTGCTACACAATTACCTTCATTCATTAGTAAAGGAGATTTGCATATAAAACAGATTTAGCTGCTGAAACTATTTAAAGAAACTTAACAATCAGCATTACAATTCAAAAAATTTGTATCTGCTCCATCCTCATCCACATAAACTGTGTATTTATTAAAAAAGTTTATATTAGATAATTATAAATTTCCACTTGAAAAGGAATTTAAACCACTGCCCAAAATGATAGTGTCAGTTGGACTTTCTTAATAAGAATTACTGAGACTAGTAGTTTAATGTGCTTAATAGATTCCTTTTTCTAATGTGATGTCATAAATGATTTGTGATTATTCAGGTAATGAACCTGGATATAAAACAGTACATGTGATATGATGCCACACACTAATTTAATGTAATATAAGAGCTGGTTAAAATATAGTAGTTCCAATTTTTAGTTTAGTTCCTTATTAAGCAGCGTTAGCTTAATAAAATAATAAAGTAAGAACTTCTGTAGTTCCTTAATAATTTCTTTTAAAGATTTGTAAATCTTTAGTTAAGTCAACATTATCAGCATCTCCTAAAATAACAGCTGTAGATCTAAACCATAGGGCAATTCCAAAAATAGTATTTGTATTTCCAAATATGATTGCTGGTAATTTAACAGTTTATGCCGATGCAAATTATAATAAACCTATAGCGATTCCCCAAGTAGGATCACTGGCTTAAACAGTGTTATCTGTACCTAAGAATCCTTATTAAGTCATATCAATTTTATTATAGACAACTTGACCAGTCATTTCTTCCAATCTATATCTAGCAAATAAGGATACAGAATAAGTAGGATCTAAGAACATAATATTAAACCAATTATGTTTATAATCTAATTCTATATAATCTTTAAAAATAGAGATTGATCTAACTTACCCATAATGATATTGATAAGATGATCCCCAATAAAGTAATTACATTACTGCTAAAGAAGTTAATGAAGTATGAAATCCAACAACTTCTGTTATTGGCATAGGATTTACAATTACATTAGGAGCAGCAGGTTAAAATGCATAAAAAACAACTTTACCTTTTGAATATGACAATGCAACAGATCCAAAACACCATTTTTCTTCTAAATATGGGAATGGTGAATTCACCATAACATTAGGAGTAGAACTTTTTGCATATCTAATTATAAATTAAGTTGTTTGTGTATAATCTGCTGTATAATACATACCTAAGCGAACTCCTTAATTAGTAATTAGTGTTTCATCAGATGTATCCATTGAGATTCTAAATATTGCCTATTCAGGTTTAGGTGTTTCAGAACTATCACCTGGATTAGTCTATTTTCTTGCTGGTCTAAACCACAAACTAAATTTATTATTATTATTTTTACTTTATCATAAAAGTGTCTAAACCATCAAAAAGGAATGTATTAGCATCATTAGTCAATTTTGGTTGTAAAGATATATAATCATTTGTTGATGCTGGTGTTGTTCCTAATCCAACTATTACATTTGATACTGACACTATTTCTTAATAATAGATTGCTTTCTTAGTTCCACAAACAGTATCGTATGGTTAGGAATTTACTGTATATGTTATTAGTAAAACTAGTAATATCATTTAATTAATATATAATGAATTATGAATGGTTTTAAGATGATAATCAAATAAAATTACGCTTTGAAATCAAAAATACTAAAAGTGATAATCTTGATATCTAAGTGGCTGATGTAGTTGTTAAAGTAAATGTTCTTGATAAGAAATTTGCTAAAACTATTGATTTATTAGCTCCTGTACTTGAAGGCAATATTAAATATGGAGCAGATATACTTGAAGTTACTTTAATTAAAGTAGAACCAGGAAAATGGTCTCAATTGAGTCCATCACTTTCTAAAGAAGAATTAATTCAAAGAAGAAAAGATGTAACTTAAATATATTATTCTAGGCATTTTTTAGAAAGGATCAAGAAATTTAAGCTTAAAAGAAATTAACACAAGATCTCAAACATTAATTTGATTAACATGCTACTAAAGAATAAATTAAAGTTGATGATCGTGAAAGAAACCTAATCATATAAAAATAAGAACAATAAAAAAGTGAAGCTATTTCTGATCTATACAATCAAATTGGATAGGATTCAAAATTTAACTAAAAATAATTACATTCCTAAGATTCAAATGATGTCTAAATAGAAGATAAAATTAAATAATATGAAGAATATGAAAAATAATAAGAATTGAAACAAAAACCAAATAAATAATTATAGCCTATATCAGAAAACAATGATATTTTTACAAATGAGGATATTAAAAAATAAGAGAAGTAAGCAAAGGGTCCAATTCCAGAACCAAGAAAAGCAGCAGCAGTATAAATGACATTTACAGAAAAAATATATCCTCATTTAGCTGCTAGAGAATAACATTTCAAAGATGCTCCTGTTCCAAGATAAAAAAATATTCCAATCAATGAATAAAGAGAAAATCCTCTCTTCCTTAAAGATAAAGCTGATGAGTTTTTTAGAAACAAAGATTATTACTCTGCAATTAATGCTTATTCAGCTGCTTTTAAGTATGATAATTAAATGTATACATGTATTTCGAATAGAGCTGCATGCTATTTAGCTTTATTTAATTTTTAAGAATGCATTGATGATTGTCAAACAATTATCAAATTAGATAAAAAAGATTAGTTACATGATAAATGTTTAAAAAGACTAAAAGTATGTTAAGCATGGAAAGGTGATTTAGACGAAGCTTTGAATGGAAATATTCCAGAAGAAGTCAAACAAATAATTTAAAAAAGAATAGACTCTAATAAATACAAAAATCAGGGAGATNTTAGTTCCACAAACAGTATCGTATGGTTAGGAATTTACTGTATATGTTATTAGTAAAACTAGTAATATCATTTAATTAATATATAATGAATTATGAATGGTTTTAAGATGATAATCAAATAAAATTACGCTTTGAAATCAAAAATACTAAAAGTGATAATCTTGATATCTAAGTGGCTGATGTAGTTGTTAAAGTAAATGTTCTTGATAAGAAATTTGCTAAAACTATTGATTTATTAGCTCCTGTACTTGAAGGCAATATTAAATATGGAGCAGATATACTTGAAGTTACTTTAATTAAAGTAGAACCAGGAAAATGGTCTCAATTGAGTCCATCACTTTCTAAAGAAGAATTAATTCAAAGAAGAAAAGATGTAACTTAAATATATTATTCTAGGCATTTTTTAGAAAGGATCAAGAAATTTAAGCTTAAAAGAAATTAACACAAGATCTCAAACATTAATTTGATTAACATGCTACTAAAGAATAAATTAAAGTTGATGATCGTGAAAGAAACCTAATCATATAAAAATAAGAACAATAAAAAAGTGAAGCTATTTCTGATCTATACAATCAAATTGGATAGGATTCAAAATTTAACTAAAAATAATTACATTCCTAAGATTCAAATGATGTCTAAATAGAAGATAAAATTAAATAATATGAAGAATATGAAAAATAATAAGAATTGAAACAAAAACCAAATAAATAATTATAGCCTATATCAGAAAACAATGATATTTTTACAAATGAGGATATTAAAAAATAAGAGAAGTAAGCAAAGGGTCCAATTCCAGAACCAAGAAAAGCAGCAGCAGTATAAATGACATTTACAGAAAAAATATATCCTCATTTAGCTGCTAGAGAATAACATTTCAAAGATGCTCCTGTTCCAAGATAAAAAAATATTCCAATCAATGAATAAAGAGAAAATCCTCTCTTCCTTAAAGATAAAGCTGATGAGTTTTTTAGAAACAAAGATTATTACTCTGCAATTAATGCTTATTCAGCTGCTTTTAAGTATGATAATTAAATGTATACATGTATTTCGAATAGAGCTGCATGCTATTTAGCTTTATTTAATTTTTAAGAATGCATTGATGATTGTCAAACAATTATCAAATTAGATAAAAAAGATTAGTTACATGATAAATGTTTAAAAAGACTAAAAGTATGTTAAGCATGGAAAGGTGATTTAGACGAAGCTTTGAATGGAAATATTCCAGAAGAAGTCAAACAAATAATTTAAAAAAGAATAGACTCTAATAAATACAAAAATCAGGGAGATGCATATATGACTACTTCTCAATATTAAAAAGCTATAGAAATGTATATAAAATCTCTCTAAAATGATGGTGATAATGAATTAAGTCTAAGTAATATGGGTTTAGCATATATGAAATTAAATTAAACTAATAAAGCACTTGAAAGTATCGATAAAGCAATTCAAAAAGTTAAACCTTTTTTATAATATGTTAATTTAAATCCTAACATTGGAAGGTAAAGTTCATATGCTGGTAATGAATTTCTACTTAAAAATTTAATGAAAAAATCAAATTGTTTATTTGAATTAAATTAAGAATAAGATGCTTTAAATACAGTTAAATAAGCATTGATTATAGATGAAACTAATGCTGAAGCTAGAAGTATTATGAATAAGATTCAAGATAAATTAATTAAATCAGAGGTACTAAAATTAAAGGAGATTGCAACAGAAAGATTAAAATAATAAAAATATTCAGATTCATTAGAATTATATAATGAATGTCTAAAGAAATTAAATCCTTAAGAAGATTTAATGGATTTCTTAGCTGTATTATTAAATAGATGCATTTGCTGTTACTTTTTAAATTAATTTGATGAGATTGTTGGTTCATGCACAAGAGGAATTAAAATAATATAAATTTAACAAAATAAGTATTTTTTTTTAAATATAAATTAAGAATTTTATCTTTCGAAAAGATTACAAAAGAATAAAGAGATAAATTATAAGATTTTTTAGTAAGATTTTATGTTCGTAGATCGAATGCATATGTAAAATAAAATTAAATTTATCATGCAAAATGTGATTTATAGGAAGCTTTGAAATTAGATCCTTAAAATGAATAAATAAAAAAAGATTTAGAAAAGTTGAAGTGAATATTGTATTGAATATGTCATTATATATTTCATAAGAAATAAGGTAAAACATTTTTTGGTGGTTGACTAGTAGCAGATTCTGGAACTTCTTTAAACATTACAAAGTCTCTTTTCAAATTTTCATCAATAGAAAGCATAGATGCTGCATTACCACATCTATAACAATAATTTGGAGCAGACCATACAGTGACTAATTATTCCTTTTATAATTTATAATTCTTATACTTCAAACCAATATTAATAACCATCTTAAACTAATTAATGTGCACGAGCAATTAATTCTAAACCATTAATATGATTAAAATCATGTGTGACTTTTTTACCAAAAATCCAACCTGCTCCTCTTGTATTAAGTGCCCAAGTATCAACTTCTTCTGGATCTGACCACATTAAATCGCAAAATGGACCTTCATGAGGAATCTCTGTTTTACGATCTATTATAGAATTATTATTATTCTTATTACCTATTGTTCTTATTTAATCTATTGTCCTTAATTCAGGAGATAGACCTCCATGAACACATAATACTTTTCCATCTACTAAAGCTCCTAATGGAAGATAATCAAAAACATCTGTAAAATATCGCCAAGGATTTGCATTCCCATACTTTCTTACTATTTCATCATAAAAACCATAAACTTAAGTAATTTATCTAGATTCATGATTTCCTCTCAATAATGTTATGTTTTCTGGATATTTAAGCTTCAAACAAAGCAAATATTCAAATGTCTCTACAGAATTGTATCTACCATCATTAATTTAATATACCCACGATCTACAAAATCTCCAATAAATATGTAATTGGCATTTGGAATCTATCCTCCCTTATTAAATAACTCCAATAAATCAAAGAACTGTCCATGAATGTCTCCACAAATTATTACTGGAGCTTTCACTTAATGTACATTTGATTCTTCTATAAAAATCTCTTTTGCATGTTCACAAACCAAACGTACATCTCTCTCAGTCAAACAGCGAGCATTTTTTAAAGTTTCTAAGTATTTATCGATATCCATTTAAAAATTTTAAAATTATTTCTCTCGTATATAAAATCACATATTATATTTATATTATATTCAAAATTTATAAAATCTAATTATTTTTTTATTTCATCATCTATTATTCTCTTAATTATTTATTAAGCATATAATAAATTTCTATTTTTATAATTGAATATATTATTTTTTATGATTTTTTCTTTCATATATAGATCAAATTTATTCATTCTTATTAATTTTTTACAATTTTTTCAATTAATAATTATGTATAATTTCTGCATCTTTACATTTTAAGATTAACCTTATTATTGTATTATAACTAATCTATATTCCCTTTTTTTTAAATTTGATAGTAATTAATAGGTGTTTCAAAAAGTATTAAAATACAATTTTATAAGTAAGCTATAAATTTAATGAGATTTATTAAAAAGTCATAAATAAACATTTTACTAAAAAAAATATTTAATTAGAATAAAAATTATTGTAATATTTATCATGAAGAGCAGCTTACACAAATTTCATTATTACAAACTTAATCAAATAGTTAATCTACACCTTAATGCTTTATAAAAGGATTTTCAATTACTTCTTGTACTTTTTATAGTAAAGCATAATTTTGATTTGTTTCCACTTCTTCAATAACTGTTTATAGAACAGTATTAGTAATTGTATATTTCGGATTCATTTTTTCCATAATTTCAAGTCGATTAACTTAATTGGTTTCAGATTTATATTGCATAACCCAATCAGTCCATAATAAGGAGATTATTTTAATTCTCTCTTATTCTGAAATAACTTGAAGTTGTTCATACTCTTTTTACAATTTTATTTACTATTAAAGCCAATTTTCATCAATTCCTAATATATGAAGTATATGTTTTGCTGAAGTAGCATAAGAAATATATTAATCAATTTATTATTTTGGTAATATTGGTTTTCTCATTTACATGTAAACATCTCTTGGTGCTGAAATTTAGACTAATTATTCTATAATTTTATAATCATTTTATGTTAATTCGACTTCTTCATCTATGTCTAATAAATGTGGTATATTTAATTATTATAAAATTTAAAAGACCTTAGTAAAATTGGAACAACTTTAATGTAATATATTAAAGAAAGAATCTACTAAAATGCATTAAGATTTAGTGAATTCCATTTAGTTTTAATCAATTAAACCTAATTTTCTGAGCATAATATGATAATACCATTAATTATATTAAGTCCAATAGGAATCTTAAATAATCTTATTACTTTAATCATTTGGAATGATATCTTCTAAAGCTTTACCTAATCTTTGTAAATTCCATAAACAAACTTGAGGTTAATTAGCATAACTATATCTTCCTTCTTTATCACTATTATTGCAAATGTGATTTTTATTAAAATAATCCATAAATCCAAAAGGTCCATAATCGATAGTTAATCCAATAATACTCATATTGTCTGTATTTAAAACACCATGACAAAAACCATAGCATTACCAATATGCTACTAATTTTGCAGTTCTATTAACGATTTCTTAAAATGGATTTTCTGAATCAACAAAATAGTATTTCTTACAATAGTTCCAAAGTTTAGGTAAGATTGTATTTTTTGGATTTAAATCAATTTCTACTTCAAATGATCCAAATCTTAGGAATGTTTCTGCAATTCTTAAAACAACTGCACAATTTTCTAATTTAGGATGTCCATCATAAAAAATATCTCTTTCTGCTTTTGTATCTGTAATTACAAGTGAAGCAGCCCTCGTTGTTGGAATATTGAGATGAAACATAAATTCAGAACATAAATATTCCCGAATGGATGATCTGACTACAGCTTTTCCATCAGCAAATCTAGAATATGGAGTTAATCCAGACCCTTTTAATTACAATTCATATCCATTAAAATCTCCTAAAATAATAGCTCTACCATCTCCAAGTTAACCTGCCCAATTTCCAAATTGAAAACCACAATAACAATGAGCTAAAGGTCTTGCCAAAGTAGGTATTAAGTTACCAGCCAATATTTAAATATTCTCTTCATTTTTTACATCTAACTCTACATTAATCAAAGAAAATGCAGATTTTGAATGTGCTATCAATCTTGGATTTTCTTTTTATTCTGGAATAACATCACTAAAACAGTATCCAATGATCTAAGTCTTATTCAATTATATTACTTTTCTTGGTTTGTTTATTTTAGAATCATCGATTGGTAGCTGGCAGATCTTATTTTCAAATGGTAAAACTTTTAATGCACTAATAAAATTTTTCATTAAATAAAAATTAAATTATATTGCTAATATAATATTAGATTAAAAATTATGAATTCATTGAACAAAATGTTATGTTTATATAAAAAAAAGATTCATTTGAAAAATATTATTTTGTTATCTTAAAAAAAATAAAAAATAAGATTAAAATTATTAATATACTTATATTAAGAGTGATTTTAAGAAGTGGTAAGTAGAATTATAAAAAATTCATCGAAATTAGATGATAAAAATTCAAACTTATATTATTAATAAATAAATTGCATAATTATATAATTTAAATTTAAAATGGAAGTTGAATTACATTAATAAATCCCTCCATAACTGAATGTCTAAGTAGCAATAAGAGTTCGACCCTTCAATGAAAAGGAATTGAAGTAGAAAGAAGGTGTATGTTTAGAGACATCGGAAAAATAAGTAACACTTTTATAAAGTGCTCGTTTATTTACATTTGATTATGTTTTTGACTAAAATGCATCTCAAGACTTAATTTATAGGAAGTATAATAAATGATATTAATGATAAAAGGTGTGTAAGCAATTTGGTTTAAAGATGTTTTGAAGGCTATAATAGTACAATTCTTGCTTATGGTTAAACAGGGTCAGGTAAAACACACACAATGGGTACTACAGGAACAGATTAATTGATAAGTATTGGAAATTATTTATAAAGATAAAACCAACATGGGAATGATTCCTAGAGTAATTACATAAATTTTTGAAGAGATTGAAAAAATAGATTAGGAAATCTTGATTTCTTGTTCATATTTGGAATTATATAATGAATAAATAATAGATCTATTATTGGAAACATCAATATCTAATTAACCAACGATAAGAGAAGAAAAAGATCATACTATAACAATATTAAATTTAACCACAATATTAGTAAATAATCCAAATGAAATGCTTTAAGTATTAAATAGAGGTGCTGTACATCGCACAACAGCCGCAACATAAATGAATATGACAAGTTCTAGATCACATGCTATTTTTACAATCTATTTTAAAATTAATCCAAAAGATGATTCGGAAGATGGCACTTTAAATGCTAAATTTCATTTTGTAGATTTAGCAGGAAGTGAAAGATTAAAGAAAACTTTAGCCTAAGGTAAAACAATGGAAGAAGGAATTAATATAAATTAGAGCCTTTTAGTATTGGGGAATGTAATAAAGACATTGAGTGATTAGAAAAAGAAGAGTTAAACTCATATTCCATATAGAGAAAGTAAATTAACTAGGTATTTATATATTGAATAAAAATAATAGAATATTATAAGATTCTTTGGGAGGTAATTCAAATACATGTATGATAGCTTGTGTGTCTCCTGCAGAAAGCAATTATGAAGAAACTTTGAATACTTTGAAATATGCTTCAAGAGCTAGAGAAATTTAAAATAAACCTACTTAAAATAGAGTATATATATATATGTATACAATTATTAGGATCCTCATACTATTTAAATTATGGGTTTAAAATAAGAAATAGCTTAATTACTTGAATAAAACAAATAATTTTAAGAATTACTTTAAGTAAATGGAGTTAAATTTGATTAAATAAAAAGAGTTTCTGTTTCTTAATATTCTTCAAATATTCCTCATACATGTGAGGAATATATGGAAATAATTTAAAAATAAAAATAAGCATTGCTTGTTTGGGAACGTCTTGGTTCTTAACATAAATTGGAAATTTAAAAATTTTAATCATAAATAAATGATTTAGAAATAGAATTACATAATCTAAAAAAGAAAAAAGATATTATTTTTAAATAATTTTCGGATGCAAAAAAGTAAATTATAAAATTTATAATTTAGAATATTATAGAAATTTAATATACCATTTACTAATTATGATGAAGATGATGAAATTGAAGATTTGTATGATGAAGTTGATAAATTAAAATAAGAATCAAAAGAAAAAGATTATAAAATTTTAACTATGTAAAAAGAAATAGATGAGCTTTTATAGGTAGTTTTTATTTTTTAAATACTAGGATAGGATGCACACAGAGATTAATACATTTTATGTAAAAAATAAAAAGAATTAATGATATTGTAAAAGAAACTTGAGAAATTAGAAAGTAAAGAAAATTTGGAATCACAAGTATAAGTTTCAGAAAGTGAAGAAGAAGTCATTTGTAATGATTCAATGATTAAAGAAACTAATTTATAAATTGAAGAATTTGAAAGCAACCTCTAAGTAATGACAATAAGAAATTTTGAACTTAAACGTTAACTTGCTGAAGATATGAAAAAAGAGTTTCAATAATAGATTTCTGTTTTAGAAGCATAAAAGGCATCGTTAATGAAATAAGTGAATTAAAAATAGGATGCAACTTAATTGAATACTTTAAAAATTAAATTATAAGAATATGAATCTAAGATTATTGAAATGAGATAGAAGGAATAAAATATGAGATAGATGTAAAAGAAATTGGAAGAGTAAGAAAATTAAGTTAAAGATTTAAAAATAAATATAGAAAAAATGAAAAAATAAAAGGTAGAATTGATAAAGAAAATGAAATAAGATAATGAAAAGTATATTAAGGATAAGGAAGAGAAGTAAAAAGAATTGATTTTAATTAAAAAACTAAAAATATAGTAAGATGCTGCATTGAGTAAATTGAAAAATGAGAATTGTAAAAAGGAAGTACTTCTAAGGAGAAAAGAGGATGAAATTTTAAAATAAAGAAATGAGAAAGTAATAGATAAGGGTACAGGACATTCAATGAAAAGAGGTTAAAAAGTTTAAACTTATGATTAGATGGAAAAGCAAATAGAATCTTTATTTTCTTAATTGATATGTGGAGGATAGGCAGAATTATAAATAAAAAGAGAAATAACAAAATTAGAATAGTTATAAGAAGAATTAAATTAAATTGAATAGAAAGTTTGTTTATTATAAATAAAGAGAGAATAAATATCATTCGATGAGAATAATAAAAATAGTTTAAATTAGATAGAATTGGAATTAAGTGATATAATAATAATAAGAGAAAACATAAATGAGACAATAGATTATCAATTACACAAAATTGAATAGTTAAGAAAGAATTCTAATAATTGCACAGAAATATATACAAATTTCTTAACAAGTTCTGAATTGAGAGAGTTACCAAATTGGTGTATAAGATCATTTAAATATGTAATTGATAATTGGATAAAAGATCATTTGTAAATGTAGAATATGAGTTAATAAAATGATGAATTTTAGTAGATAGTATAAGAATTATAATAGCAATTATAAAAGCCTCTATAAGAGATTAATTGTAATTCTCCAACATTAAAAAAGAAGATTGTAAAATAATAAGTCTTTTCTTAGCCAAGTGATGCTTTGGAACTTAGAAAATAATTGAATGATTAAAAACGAAAGTATTAGTTTTTATAAAATGAAAATAAGAATATGATATCAGATTTAGAATATTATAAGAAATTCTATACAGAACATATAAATAAAGTATAGAAAGATAAGTGTATAGGTTTAAGTGATTAAGTTTAATTTCCTTAGAGTTAGAGTTTTCAATAGATAAGAGATGCATATAAGTTAGAAAGAACGAAATAGAAGGAATTATCATTAAATTTAAGTTTTTAAAAGCCCCATATATAAAATTCAGCTTTTAAAGTAGCAAAAGGATGTAAATCAGAGAGAGAAGGATATACAGATTAATTTAGTTAAGCATAAGAGGAATAAGAGTTAAAATATGAGTAATAAATAATAATAATAATAAAAATAGTATAATAAAATCAATACCTGGTCATGAGAATCCAATATTATGTGTATATACGATATAAAATTTATTATGTTCAAGTGCATTTAGATCTGTAAAGATATGGGATATGGATGCATAAAGTCATATAATATCTTTGGATGCAAATACACATGTAAAATCAATTTGTCATTGGCCTGAGAGAAATGCAATAGCAGTATCTCATGGTTCTTAAATATCTTTGTATGATGTGACTTCATTTTAATTACAGAGTGTTTTAAAATCATCAATTGAAGAAATAAGAGTAATGACTAGACATAATGGTTTATTAGTAGCAGGAGGTAAAGGAATTAATTATGCAATGAATGTTTGGGATGCAAGATCAAATAAGTATCATAAATATTATAATATTCTTTAAGTTAAATTCATGAATTCGAAAAATCAAGTGATGTTATGTGTTTATAATAATCTGATTCAACTTAAGAACTGATTTGGGGAACCTTTAATCATAATGTTAGAAAAATGATGATAAATAGTAATAAATATGGTTAAATTGCTTAAATGACTCCTCCACATTATGATAAAGTTACTGGAGTAGGTTTATTAGATAATTGGATTGTCAGTTGTTCGTTTGGTAAAGGAATGAGAATGTGGAATTAAATTAATGGTTAATAAGGATAAGCTAATTCCGATATTCATAAAGATTCTATATTAACTATGGCTAGTATCATTATTTATTCTATTTATTAGTTGACAAAAATCTTAAAGTTATGTATACTGGATGTAAAGATGGATAAATTAAAGCTACAAGAATTAGTGAAAATAAATTTTAACTTGTTAGTGATATCAGTGCATCTGTCTAACAAATTAATTCTCTTAATATTATTAATGATAGTTCTCTTATTGTAAGTGGTGGATAAGACAGAATGATTAAAATATGGAAACCTTCCAAATTTACTTTTGATTACTTAAAATAATTTACTCCCAATATTGGAGATTTTGTTATTGAAGAAGAACAATATATGTTGAGTTGACTCTATATTAATTTATGCTTCATTTTTATTATAAAGATTAATATATTAATGTAATTGAGACATTATTAATATCAGGTTAATAAACCTCTTCATTAACGTTATTTGTTATTATACTCTAACATTTTTTTATCTTGATTCAATAACCATATTTATATATATTATATAATCATATAATTCAGTTTTACAGTAAGTTACGAAAGTCTTCATATTTTAATTCATTTTGATTTGGAGATAACTCTTTTATCAGTCTCTAACATCATATTTACTATTCATTACATTTAAATCTATTGAAAGATTAAATTCATTTTATATAACATTTATTAATTTTTATCTATCCACAGATCCAGATTTATCTTCATTCCCACCTAATGCTATAAAAGCAAGTTCTAATTATTCTATTTATATTTACTTATATCTTCCTCATCACTTGTTTATAATATCATTTTATGATAAGCTATTATTTTTAAGAAATCCTCTTTACTAATTGCCCCTCTTCCAGATACATCAACTTCATTTATCATTTTTATTAATTCCTCTTCTGTTGGCTTCTATCCCATTTCTAACTTTTTTATTATTTCTACCTTCTAATACTGCTCTTAATTCATCTTTTTCAATATATCCAGACACATTTTTATCAAATGCTACAAAAGCCTCATAACATTTTTGTTTCTCTTTTGCTGTCAAAGTATCTACATTTACTTTTTTTAAATCTTCCATATTAATAGACATTTTTAATTGTAAAAAATAAAAATAATAAATAAAAATGCATAATCAATTCATATAAACTAATACTTTAAAATATTTATTCAATACTTTTTTTATTTATCCAAATTTTCAAACTTTTCTTTTCCTTAATTTTTATTTAGAATTATCTTTATTAAATTCCTTTTTATTCTTAAAATTTATTATGAATATGAAAATAACTATTTTAAATTTAAAAATTCTTATCTCATCTCTTAATTAAATTAATGAAGTTTAATCTTTTACTTTAAATTAATGAATTTTATAAGATTAAAAGCTTGATTTTTTTTTAAATAATTAAATGATGTTAATGAAAAGAAAAAAACTTGATATTTAAAAAGAACATTTATAATATAATTAAATTTTACAATTCTTCATAAATTACAATTAGCATGTCCATATTATCTGCAAACCAAACAGATTATTTAATTATTTCCTTATGTTTAAACTGGAACAATCATTCCACAATCTTCAGCTTTATGACTAGTATTTCCACAAAATGGACAAAAATTAAGTCTAAGTTAGATCTAATAATGATATTTAAATATACTTTACAATCGTATTTTCGATGTCCATATCGATTACATCGAAAACATGAAACATTAGAACAACTATCCCCTTGATGTTTTTGACTTAAACAATAATTACATCTAAAAACTTATTTTTCAGTACATTAATTTTAAAAATGTCCAACCTACTTACATCTGAAACATACATCAAAACAATTTCTTTAATAATATCTATTTAAACCAATTTCTAATTCATTTTTTAAATCTTACTAAATACTCTAAATCTTATTCACAGATTCTTCTTTATTATTGTTTTATTAATAATCTTATTCTTAATTAACAATTTTAGATAATTTTTGACTTAATAATTTATTTGATGTAGTTTTTTATTTTCCATTAATTTAATATTTAATTAATACATCTTTTTTTGAAGGATGAGAATCAAGTACAAAATTTAATATTTTAATTCTATTTTTTTCATGGTTTTATTTTTCTTTTGAATGAGATATGATAGATCCTAAACTAAATGAACTGATTGATGAATATTATGAATTTTCTGATAAAGAACTATCACTTAAAGACTTATTTGTTTTTTTGTTTTTTGATCGATAAATTTAGATGGGTTTATTGAAAACATTTTTGACAATTCCATCAATAGGATTATTATTATTTTTTCCAATTTTATTTCCAATTTAAGATGTAGGTGTGGTATTTTTTAATTATTGTTTGAGATCTTTAGGATAGTTTTAGTGATCTATTGAAATTTAATCTAAATAAATCATTAAATAATAATAAATTTGAATAACTTAAAATTTAAAGAGTCCTAGATACAAAAAAATACAAGTAGATAAATTATAAAATAAATTTAATCAACGATAAATTTTAAATAAAATGATAAAATTTAAATAAAAATATCTATAATTTTCTTACTTAATGATAATGTTTATCAAATGATTGTATATGCGTTTGACAAGATTCCACAATTATCTCCATATGCTATATGAACATAACCATTTTAACCCCATTTAGGTCCAAATGAGCCTTGAATAATCCAATACTCAGTTGTTTTACCGACAAGCAAACCACAATAGTTGTTAACATTACCAGCACAATCTTAAGCTGTAATGATTTCTTTTGTATAACTTTATAATTTAGAAGCATTAAAGCAAACTACAACTGGTCTAATTTACAAAGCTTAAGAGACAGCACTAAATTATTTATCAAATAAATTTTATACTTCAGAGAGTCAAGTTTTTTATAATTCGATGGTCTGAGAGTATTTTTATTAATTTCTTGATCACACTATTAAGCCTTTCCTACATAAGGATAATTACTTTCCCAATTTAAACCCTTACTTGCAACGTAATTAAGTGCTTTAATTGGAATACCCTTCTAACATCCCTGTAATGGGTTTAAAACATCTGAACAATCAATCAATTCTTGTAAAGACAACCTTACTTCTTTACTGGTTTATTATCTGAAGTAAGATTCTAAATTATGTAATGATGAAATAGCCCAAGAGGAAATACAATCTCCTTAATCAAATACTTCAGGTACTATATTAGTTTTAGTTCTCCAATCAATATTTTCATCAGCTGTTATACTATCATCAGAAATAAATTAATTTTCTAATTAGAATGTGAAATCTGTAATGAGATTTTGTTCAATGAATTCAGCTTCAGTCAAATCAGTAAATTGAGTATTATTGAAATAATGTACATCTTGATTATCCATTTAGGCATAAGCCCAAATTTTAAATCTATATTATTCTTCTTCAGAAGTAGCATAGGTTTTATTAAAACTATCTTTATAAATTTGAAATTCATCTTAGTATTATTAAATATCTTCATTAGTTAACATAGGGAAAACAGCATAATTTACAACTCTACAATGAGCTACACCAGCATGAAATCTGACGATTCCATTCTATCCCCACAATGTATTTAATGTTTAATTTAATTCTAATTAACCTAAGGTAGTTTATATAATCCATTCATCGTTCTCATATCCAAATAATAAACCACAATAATAATTTGGTTCTTCTGTTTTACAATCTTGATTAATAACTCCACCTGTATATTATTAGAAATTTGTCAAATCAAAACAAACAGACACTGGTGTAAATTGTAGAGCTGCTTTTAATTGGCTATATAAATATTATCAAATTTTACTCTTTTTCTGCCTTTACTATTCTAATATCTTATATTTTATATTATTCTGTTTTGGGTGAACAACTCTTAGTTGTATATTCTGATCTCAAATCAATACCATTCTTTTAAATCCATTTTAATGCATCTAAAGGACTTGTACCGTTTTCAACACAATCTATGATTTATTATGTTGCTAATCGAATATGTTTAGTTGGATCATTAATTTTCCTATTGAAATAAGCTTCAACTGAAGCTACAGCTGAAAATGCCCAAGAATCAGCGCCAAAATCTGGAGCATTCTCTTCTGTTAGATTCCAAGTTTTATTTACAGGAAGATCTTAAATGCTTAAACTTCTTGCCTCTCCATATGAAGCTATATTTTATAATAGGTAATTGTCTTTAAAATCATCAGCACTTATATCTGAATATAATGTTTAACCCAAATCATATTCAGCTACTTTCGGATCTGTATTTATAAATTCCTATTTTATAGATTCTATATATACATCTAATGCAATGAAATTTACTTTATATGCAGCCTCTGTAGCAATAGTTTCTGGATTAAAAGGCCAAGTTTTTCCTTTTAACTCTATTTCATAATGAACCCAACTTTCATAAATTACCTCATCACTAGGTTGAGCATTTAGAGTCACCAAGAGGATTACCAACAAAAATAATCTCATTTATTATTTAATTTAATTATGATGTCATATAAAAATGTTTTATCTATTCAGAAAAAATTAACAACAATAGTATCCAATACTTCTATATTCGATTATTTTTATTCATTAATTATTTAATAATTAAATTTTCAATCAATATAGAATTTATATAAATTATTATATAGATTTTATAGAATACCTAAATCTACTTTAATTTGTTTTCTCTAAATAATCTTTCTTTTATCAGATTATATCATTTATATTATTTGTTTTATATTAAATAACATTTTCTATTTATGTATTATATTTTTATTCAATGAAAATATTCATCGTGTAAGTAAACAAACATTTTTACTAATGTTAAATTATCAATAAATTCAATATGAGCTGCTCTTCCTATAAATTTATCCAATTTTCTATTGTAAAATAAATTACATTACTTTTTGTTTATTAAAAAATTAATGTCAAATCGATCAATTTTGCCACATTTAGATAAAATATTTGAAACAATTTCATTATATGCTTAAACTCTTTAATCATTAGAATTTTCAATTTTCTAAACCATAGCAGAATGGAAAGGTACATAAAGATCTTAAAATGATGACATGACAACAACATTATTAAACCAATTTAATCCATCTGCTTTACTCAAATTATAAATATAAGTATTTTTAACATCTTTATGATCTCTTTAACTTAATTCTTCTAGAGTTTTACATTTATTCCATTTTTAAATCATCATTAATCCAGTATCAACTAAAACACTTTCAGATGAAGCATATCCACAATGAGGAGATGCTAGACTTACATAAGTATGCATAGACTATTTAAATTCACTCAACTCAGGAAGTGCTGCTCTTATTATTAATCCTCCAAGTGAATGACCAATAAATGATAATCGAAATTCTGTCACATTATCATCACTTATATAATTATTGACTTCAATAGCAAGTAATTTTGCTTATTCTTAAATTGGTTTATTTGAAATGCCATCATTACATGTAGGACATATCAATCTTATTTTCTCCTTAAAACGTATAGTCAATATAGATTTCCAATATCTCATGTCATATGAAGTTCCTTAATATCCATGAACTAAGACTACATAATGAATAAAAGAATTTGGTGGCTTCTATACAAATCCATTCTAAACACAAGTATGTTTAAATATAAAAGGATTTATATTTAAAGGTTATAACAAATCTATATATTTTATTCCATCCATTTCTTAAGTAATAAATTAATTTCTCAATTGCTTTGCTTTCTCATGGTTACCCTTTCCATTTTATTGAGCTTAATCTAATTATTTTACTTCAGATTTGTTTAAAAGTACACAATTTTACCATCTCTATATCATTTGACATAAGAATTCCTATTCCAATTTATCTTAAAGTTATTAATGCTTCTCCTTGACTGCATCTAAAAGTTCGCACCATAAAATATACATATCATGATGAAGATCATGTAGACTCTATTGATGGATAAGAATATACTTGTATAATTTAATTTTCTATATCTTAATCTTTTAAATCTAATTATTTTTCCTAATATTATAACTATATCAGTTTCTTTTCATTCTGTAAATTAGCTAATTATTTTGTTAATTATTTTCTATTCTCCAATAACAAATATATAGATTTGTTTAAAAACTCTTAAAATTCTTCTTATGAAACATTAACAAGAATTTTAGATAAATATTGCTTTGTAAAAGAAAATTGAATAGGAATTGTATGAATTTATGTTTCCAATAGACAAAAATGAGCAGTATCAAATTCAATTGGATAATATGCTTAATTAAATTTCCAGGGGTTAGAAACTGTTAAAGTGGCTTTTGATACTATTTGCATCTATTATTTTAATGACAAAGCCACATTCTATAAATCATCAACAAAAATATCTCCTATTAGTTTTTTATCCAGGAATAGCAATTCAATTATAATCTCAATATTTTAAGTTTCTGACAATCGAAATACACACCCAATATTAGTATGTATTTCTTCCTCCTCATATCGAATCAAGAAGCCTTATGAATAGAAATATTTATCCTCTAAATTTTCTTCATAAAGTACAAAATTTTAATCAACCTCATTACTTGAATATTTATTATCTGGCTTGAATGTTTTAACAATCAAATAAGGTTAAGCTTCAGGCTATTTATGATGAGAATAAGTACAATATGAACTCTTATCTAATAGATTCCTTATGTGAAAAGATCGATGTTTGTGAATTTTTTAAAATGAATTAAAACTTCAATCTATGATTTCATGTAAATAATATTTATTATTTAATATTCATTTGTCTTAGACTGTCTTAATAAGCCATTCCATTCCTTCTTACAATCCTTCTTATGTTTTAGCTGAACATGCGACAATGGACCATTATCTATCTGTAATTTTATTAAGTTTCAAACTATCAGAAATCTGAATAAAGTATGGATATTAACCTCATCTGCTGGAAGAGCTTGAACCAAATCTTATTTATTTGCAAATACCAAAAGGGGTACCTTCTTTAATTCAGCTTCTCCAATTAATTTATCTAATTCTTTTCCTCCCTCTTCTAAACGCATTTAGTCTGATGAATCTATAACAAATACTAAAGCATCTGTATTTTCATAGAAATTGCTCCAATATTCTCTTAGTTTCTATTTTGCATCAAAATGCATACCTCTTAACCTCCAACATCCCAAACATTAAGTTTGAATCCTTCATGTTACAAATTTTTGATATTAAAACCATGAGTAGGAGCAATTTGATTGATGTCCTCATTGGATAAAGCCTTAAGAATAGTTGTTTTGCCTGCATTATCTAATCCTAAGACAAGAATTCTTAATTCCTTTTCGGACTTTTTGATCTTTCGAATGATATTCAACAATCCCTAATTTACTATGAACACATACCATTCTTAAAGATTTGTTTTAATATTTTTATTTATTATTTATTAATAAATCATGGATATAGAGGTTTGTCTTCTCTAATATGAGAACTTGACATATCTGGATGATGTACTGGATACACTTATTCCTTAACTCTATATTCCCATATTATATTAATATACCTTCCACTAGCAGTATCTCTTGCAGCAACTCGTTTTTTAGCTTCATTAATCTCACTTTAGGTAATGTTTGTGTATCTCTCATCAGCCCACATTGTATCAGGTCTTAACTTTTCTCTATGTCCATCAGCCCAGGTCTTATCTGAAACATCTTTTACTGTTCTACCCTTATAAAATATAACATTTTAATTACCTTATTGTAGGGAGATACTTATAAAACTGAACGATATTAGAGTGTCTAAATAGCCTCTATTTTATCAAGTTATTTCTTCTTTTCCTTCAAACCTTCCAAAGCCCATTTTGGACAAATTGAAATAATGTTATCAGCTTCTTCTTGGCATTTTGTTGCTCCATTAACATTTTAACATCTTTTAAAGGCTTCAATTTATCTAACACAGCCTCTTGGAAGTGCTTAAGCTCTAATTGATAGTGCTGTAAACATTGGTGCATCTCTATTGCATTTAGAATTAATTAATACTTTCTTGTCTACCATCCATGATTTCCAAAGTGTTATTCACTCAAAGGATCATAATGAGTTGGGAAAAACACACTCCAATTAACTCTGTTAGGATATGGATCAGGGAAATAAAATCCATTACCATTTCTAATACCCATACCCATTCTCTTTTGATTTGGAATTTATTGCATGGCAAATGGGTTATAAGGAGCAATAGCTCTTCTCCATTTTGACAAAGTGTTGTTAAGAAGATTCTTCTTGACATTCAAATATGGATAATTAGTTTCATAGTATTCGAAATCTAATGGTTGACCATCTGGGTTATCACTTGACATGTATAAAGATTTAATTATTAATACAATTTAAAATTTAAAATAAAAAATGTGCAAACATATTCTCAATGCCTAAGTTGCTATTAGAGCTGCATGTTGTAAAAAGTAATTCATTCTTCATATATTTATTAGATGGTTTGATTGTGCTGAATGTCATTAAGAAATTGAAAATCATCCATTATAGAAAAATGTTGAGATGGTATTCGCTTGTAAGAAATGCAAGAAAGTTTTCCGTAAAGATATTACTGATTATGATGAGTCAGATGAATATTGTCCTCAGTATAAATTATTCAATACATTTTAAGTTGTGATAATCATTATGTTATCAAAGCAGTTACACAAGAATCAAAAGAGATTCAGAAATTTGAGAATTTAGTTAAAGAAGTTAAATAATGATTTAAATATATGGTCATCCATTATTCTTAATTATTCAAATTTTTATGTCTATTTTTTTATATTCAAAGAGTCCACCTTAAAATTACTTTAAGAATTCATAAAAATTAATTGAATAATAATATGCTATAACTGAATAGTAAAGAACTTTTTATTATGTATAAATAGAGGAATAAAAAAAAGACATATAATTAAGATAATTATAAATGATGATTAATAAATAGATAAGTAATAATAACTTTAGTAAAATGAATGATCACAATAAATACATAAGTAATGAATCTAAAATAAATTCAATTATTTTCAATAACAAAAGAGTTGTTTATATATGTTATAATTTTTATGTAAAATCCCAGGAGTTCTTCTACCTATTCAGTTAACATCCCTAAGATGATTCCACTTTCATAAGTAACACTCTATTACTCCCTCTCTCGGTTCAAATTCCAATCTCCAGTACGCACTTACCTGTAGTTTTAATTTACATACTTTTAGCAAAACCAACGAAATCAAATAAAGACAACAGCTTCATAAAACTCTAACAAATAAATTGTTAACTCAAGTAAACAAAGGTAATCATTCACATTCTAAAACACTAACAAAATTAACACGTCGTACTTCATCTTATGTAAATGACAAGTATTAACAATTATGGGAATCTCTTAAATGTAAGACTATTCACGAACCATATGATGCGAATGTATTACAAGAATTTTTTTATGATTTGGTCAAAGAAGAAAACTTTATTAATACAGATCGTTATGAATTTCCTATTCAAAATAAAACTGATTTCACTCATTTTAAATCGTATTTCATTACTGTTTTATTTCATGAGAGAGACTTGAATAAATACTTATTTAAATTAGAATCAATAAGGATGTCTCATCTTAGATAATTATCACTGAATTAAGAATTGAAAGGCTTTTTTGGATTAAACCAAATCTTAAAATCTCTTTTTGAACATATCAAAATAGACATCACTTTATAAAATTATGTTAATGATTATGAAACTGTTAAAGATATATGGTTGGAAGTCTCAACTAATATCTTATAACCATAGGATGATAATTAAAAATTACATAAAGAGATTAGATCATATGCTGAATCAAACAAACTTAATTATGTTCATTTTTTTAATTTTAAGTTTCTATTATACAAAGTTCTACTGAAGCATAAGATTTCTATGAGAGGGATTAAGAAAGTCTTGAAATTATTGGATAATTGGAAAAGTACAATCATGAGATGTGAACGAATTATGGAACTGATTCTTTGCAATTGTACTAAAATTGCTAAAAGCTATAGATTAGTATCTAATGTACTGTATGGTTACTGACCAAAAGCATGAAACATTTCAAAGAAGAGCCATAGAAATTGTACTGGAATATTTATTCAACAATGATCATCGTTCTATTAAAAAATGTGATTTGAAATAATATCACTGTGTTCATTAATCAATGCAAAAAGTTATATCCAGATTAAATACATCTTAAATATTGATTTAAGATTTTAACTAAGATCTTGATTCGATATTTTTATAGAAATTTTAAATTAAAAAGCAATCTATCACAGAATTAGGTATTTAATTACAATAGATTCCATTTTTTATGTAAATTTATGATGTAAATTGTGTTAATGATTATTTAGGATTTTGAAATTAATGTAAATCGTTTATTAGAAACCGAACTTGATTTTATGTTGTGTAATCGAACTTATTTTAGATAAAAAGAAATTGAATTGATTCACAAAAACATGAACATTTCTCATGAAGTCTTTGATTTATACATTATGGTAGAATATTCAAATAATATTTAAAGAGATTACAAGATACCCTTATTGGAGTACCAACTAAAGCAATAATAAACAGAATAAATTAATATCGAATGTGGGTAGTTAATGAAAAAATAAAAACGAATGAAATTTATTGATATTTATTAAAAAATATGCTCCACTTGTTGTTAATATTAGGGGTTGTTTATGGAAGAAACAATTCTAACAATGATACCATAAGAATTCAAACACCAGGTTGATATCATTCTATATTCCATTAGAAAATGAAAAAAATATGAACAACACTAAAAACATTTTTTATTCTTGTTTAATTACATCATCATCATATTTGACATATAATGATGATGTTGTAATTAACTAATTAAATTAAATCATAGAAGCATACTAAACTATTGAATTACCAGAAATTAGATTTGAAACAGAGAGAAAAGCTAGTAAGAGAATCTAAATTGATGCTACTCAACATTGCATTCTTAGATAAAATGCAATGGTAGCTTAATAAGTTATTAAAAATTGATTAATTATTTTTAGATGTATGATGAAATACAAGTTGGATAATTCAATGTCTCTAAGTATTATTATTTAATGAATGATTTTGATTTTTCAAAATATCAAAATTAATCTGCTAAAATTACCTTTGATCAAGATGAAGAATCCGTATGGAAGATTATGGAAGTAATTTAATATGAAATTCTAGGATTTCTAAGCAAAATCAAGAGAAATGATAGGTGATGATGAATTTGATGCACTAAACTATCAATAATATCCTGATTATATGGAAAATCCATATGAAACTAAAGTATTTGGTTAATCTATTGATAAACAATCAAATTTTTCCATTTTAATCTTTGCCTCTGTTTTTATATCATTCTTTATCATTATGATTTTAGGTATCAAAATATGATTTATTTTAGCTTATAATGCATTAAAAGATTCCCATAAAAAGGTTGAATAAAAAAAAGAAAAGAAATCTAAAAAGCAGAAATGAAATAAATTATTTTTTTATTAATTATCAAATGCCTATTTGTGAAATTTGTTTTATTGAAGACAAACTTTTTATTTGGTATTCATAAAATTTATTTCAAAATACAGTCCTAAATGCTCTAGAAATATTTGTTAGTTTTGTAATAAATTAAATGAATGTGATGTTTGTGTTCTTATTGAAATGAAATTCACATTTGTAATTACTGTTTATATATTTTAGCTATATTAATAACATAAAACTTAGACTGAAGAGCAAGAGTATTAACTAAGATAAATAAATGAAAAGATAAATACGATTAATGAAGAGATTTACTTAATTTAGAAAGCTAATTCTCTTCTAAAAAGAAATAAAAATTAGAAAAGCGAATCATTAGAGCTTTAAATGAGTGAAACCATAATTGATAAATAGCATGAACTTGAAGATTTAGAAAGTGAAATAGAAAACTAAAAAGTAAAGTAGATTGATTTCATTATGATTTTAGTTGATAATGCAAATGAAGAGTTGAATATTTTAACAAGTTAACAATTAAAATTATCTACGTAAAATAAGGAACTAGATTTAAAAATTAATGAAGCAGAGAAAGAATATGAAGTTTTGCAAGAAACTCTAAATTTAAAAAAATAATAAATTTATTAGATTTTATAAACATTGAAAAATAAGACTAGTTTATTAAGAGGAAGTTAAGAGGAAAAGCATTATTCTTAAAGTAATTTAAAAATAACTCATTCTAATAAATAATAAAAGACAATACCTGAGGAGGAAAAAGCATAAAAATCAGGGTAAAAATAATTATTAGATTTTATATAGAATATGTACTGGGTAGTGTATAATATAATGAATTTAAATTAATAATAATATGTTAAACAATGATAATTATGACTCATTTTTTCTTTGTGTTAGATTTTGTAGAGTTAGTTGTTTTATTAATCGAAATCGATTATTATTATTATGTTTAAGGCACAGTTGGCATTTTCTCATTTACAATATCTGCTTTTCTTGCTAAATTAAAATCAGCCAATGCTTAAATAAGAATTATATAATTACCATCCATTATAGCTGATTTACCAGCAGTTAAAACACCTCTAGGCAATCTTTTATCAGGACATGCTCCTTTAAGTTAGATGATACTTTCACTTTATTCTCTTAAAGTCTTTTACATTTTAATCATATTTGCTACAAATATAATTTTCTTTTTTAATTTTTCTGTATCTTATAATATCAACATAAATTTAATACTTTTTGCAGTATTTGATCCAGTAGAAGTTTATTTTTCAAATTACTTATTTTACTAAGTTAATTCTTTAAATTATTTAATATCTTCTTCATTAACTTCTTCTTCATCAACTTGATCACCAACTTATAGTAAGTTGTAAAGCATTTCAGTTACTTTTTCGGCTACAAATGGAATAGACCAAGTAAAAATGTCCATAAAGTTTGGTAATAGATAAGGATGAGGTGTATATTAAAACTGTTAGATATTGAGAGTATTATTCTTGTAATTAATAAAAAAGTGAAGTTACTTCAAATTTTATTACAGCTCCTTTATTATTATAAACATCACAATAATTTGGAGCACTAAAAATTGTAATTACAACAGGAAAATCTTTTCCACCATGCCATCGATGCATTTTATATCCATCTATTTAAGCCTTATGTTATATAATTAATAAATTACTTCATGTGCACGAATTATAGATATCAGATTGTTTTTCTATAAAAATTTAGAAGCAGCTTCATTTCCAAAAAACCAACTACATCCTCTTACTTCATTTCCTTTCCATTATCCATCCATATTGCCTTAATCTTAATCTACTGGATCACTCCATAATAAATCACAAAATAATCCACTTCTAGGAGGTTCATGATAACGATCTAATTTCTTAATATCTTCTAACTAAAATGAAGCATAGCAAATACAGATTTTAAATCAGGAGATATTCCTCCATGAATTGCTATAAATTTTGAATTAATTATGCATGCTAAAGGAAATAAATCAAACGAATCCATTAACATATCATAAGTCTCTTAATCATATTTATAAAGACCTTTTTGTTAAATCATTATAAGTACATTCATCTTTAAAATTAAAGAATGCTGTCAGCTATCTGCATTCATGATTTCCTCTTAAAAAATATACAGTATTAGGATAATTAAGTTTTATTGAATATAGTAATATTAACACTTCTATTGAATAAGATCCTCTATCAACAAAGTCTCCAAGAAACAAATATCTAATCTAAATGCTTTTATGTACTTAGTTGTCTCAGGATTCCCACCAACTTTTGCCTCTATTAATTTTAATAAATCATAATATTATCTAATAATCTTTTTAATCTTACCCATGAATATCTCCAACTACTGTGAGTGGATCTTGCAAATATATTACATTCCCTTCGTTCTCTAAACTATCAATAATAGTTATACTTAATAATTTATTGCAATCTCCAACCAATTTGAAAAGGTCTTCCTTTGATACTCTTCCTTCCTTTTATAAATGATCTTTTAGTAATTTCCAATCTGGCTTGTCTTTACATATCCTAATTTTTATATACTTTTCAGTTTATCTGGAAACATAAGGCTCTTTATCAATGGTCTATGAGGAGGTGCCTATAAGGTTTTTACATGTCTATCATTTGCAGGGTCTTTTAAAAGGTCCATTTTATTAGTATTAATTTCTTAAATTAAAAAAATCTATACCTTCTAAAATTTTTCATAATAAAGTCAATTTTTAGAAATTAGAAAAAACATAAAATTACATATTCTCAATTAATTCAGATTTTTTAATTTTCTAAATTACAAATCACTCTATTTTTATCCAAATTCCATAAATATTATTGAATCCAATTAGATTTTATCAATTATTTTTGTTTTAATATAAAAGATAAATGCAGAATTATTAATCAAAAATTAGAATCAATTTAATAAACAAATATGGTGATATAAATATATTTTGATCCAAATTCATTTCTTAAGATAATTACTAAATTAAAACAAAAAAAATACTTATTATAAATAATAATCTATAAAATTGAAACTATTTTTAGTTAAATTTGATAATTACATTTTATTATATTAGATTTGATAATTATATTTTTAAATCTAATAAATATTCATTATTACTTTATAATTATTAAAATTACTTATTCTAAGTCTATAATAAAGAACAAATTCATGAAAATGAAATTATTTATATAAATTATTAGAAATTATATTTCTACATATACATAGAAGAAATCATCTGTTTTAAGATTAGAAACCAAAGAACCTTTGTACTGTAAGTTGTAATTTCAGAAAATTTAACAAGATCAAAAATAAAATATTTAAATGTCTAAATAACCAAGTAATTAATTACATGTGTATTAGCTCATATTTAACCAGATTAAATATTTAAAGGCAAAGTAGTATATTTTTATAAGTATAAATATATATAAAAGAATGATAATTTATGGAACTTTTGATTAAAACTTTAGAAACTAAAATATCAACATAAAGCCTTTTTAAATTGATATTTCACCAAATAGTACAATAGAAGAGTTAAAAGTATAATTACGTTAAACAATATTAGATATTAATAACTCTTTAATTCACAAACTTGCATTTGGAAGACTTTGATATACTTAATAGATAAAGAATAAGATTAAAGGAATCTGATTCTGTTTAAGCTCTTTATTAAGAAAGATAAGATGTTACTTAAATTTTTGTAGCTAATTCTGGCATTTTAAATGTCTAATGTTGCTTCATTATGTGAATTAATTTTATTTATTTTACACTATAATTAATATAATAATCATGATGAACTATCTGAATCACTTGAAGAACTACTTGAAGATGTTTTTTTCTAGTTTTAGTTTGTTTATTTTTAATCATCTGATTGTGAAGATGAAGAAGATCCGCTGCTGCTGCTACTACTAGAACTTCCACTAGAAGATGAAGAAGATGAAGAATCAGATGATGAACTTGAAGTACTTTCTCTTCTATTTTATTTTCTTTTCTATTATATTAGTTATTAATTTTTACAGGAGTTTTTGATCTTTTACTATATCTTCTTTTTGAATGTCTTTTTCTTGAACTTGATCTTTTATGATGTCTATCTGATGATCTTCTTCTAGAGGAGTGTTATTTCTTCTTTTTTTCTCTTTCAATCCTTTCTTATTTTTCTTTTTCTCGCTTTTCTTTTTGCTTTTATTTCTCTCTTTCTTTCTCTCTTTCTCTTTCTTTTTCTTTCTCCCTTTTTTCTCTTTCTCTCTCTCTTTCTCTTTCCCTCTCTTTTTCTCTTTCTCTTTCTCTCTCTCTTTCCCTTTCTCTCTCCCTCTCTCTTTCTTCTCTTTCTCTTTCCCTCTCTCTTTCCCTTTCTCTTTCCCTCTCTTTTTCTTTTTCTCTTTCTTTTTCTCTCTCTTTTTCTTTTCTTTCTTTTTCTTTTTCTCTTTCTTTCTCTTTTTCCTTCTCTTTATCTTTTTCTTTATCTTTTTATTTTTATTAATCTTATGATTATTCTTAATCTTTTTTTTATAATTCTTTTTCTTTATCTTTTTCAACATCCTTATTATCATTTTTTTATTTATCTTCTCTAATCTTAGCTCTTGCATGTTCCTCCTTTTATTTTAAATCTTTTTCCTTTCTTATTTCTCTTTATCTTAGTTTATCTAATCTTTCTTTTTTAATCTTTTCTGTATAATATCTATTTTTGATATAATTATTTACTTTTATCTATCTACTCCAAGACTTTAACATTTTATCTTTTTTCCATCAATAATTGCTCTATGCATATATTAAGTAGCTTAAGAAGCATCGCCTTCATCATTATAAGTAATAAAAGCAAATAAAAGCGGAAGCATATTGTTTTATTCATCAAATTACATTTCTACATTAGTTAATTTTCCATAAGTTGAGAAGATTTCATGTAAGATATCCTAGGTGACATTTCTTGAAATATTTTAAACAAGAAGAAGATTTTTTATTTTCTTTTCTTTTGGTTTATCTTTAGTTTTTTTTTCTTTTGATTTTTCTTTTGATCTTTCTCTTGACTTTTGACTTTTTGACTTTTTTTAATTTAAGTCTTTCATTTTCTTCTTCTCTTCACTTGAAGAGGATGAACCTGAAGAAGATGAGGAATGAGATTTTGGCATGATAATATTTAAATATTAATACAATAATTTTAATCAATATTTAATTTAAAGCACCTCTTGATGTTAATTGTATGAAATTCTAATTCTTGCATATAATTCTATAATAAGCATCTAGAATAGAATGATACCTATTAAATTTATATAATAAGGATAACACTGTTTGAATTTAGATTAGTAATATTAATGTAAGTCTAAAGCAATATTAAAGCAAATTGTAATTAGCTATGTTTATATATAAATTTGAATGTTATGAAGAATATATTATAAGAGCTTTTATAGTTTGAGTTTTTTATAGATGTACATGAGAATAAATGTATATAGCAAACTTAAATGATATATAGTAAATGATTAATAATTAAATGATTTGAAATGTTCTAAAATCCTAACAATAGAGAGTGATTCATGAACTAAAAATGGAAAAGTCTTTATAAATGTGAGGATTCATCTTTTTTCCATAAATAAATATCTCTAAATTATGCAACAATTACCAGAACATTCAGTTTATTAAGTATAAGAAAGCAAAGAAACAGCAGATGCTGTTGCATATGCTTTCCTATAAAATACTGGCGAACCTGTGTAATACCCATATAAATATCCAAATATTGCAGATGATGATGTCAGAATAAGAATTTTATATACTGGATTGTGTCATAGTGATTGTCTTCATTCAAGAGGTTTATGGGATCCAACTATGTATAATGAAGTTATATGCTTTTAGTAAATATCCTAGTTGTCCAGGACATGAAGTTGTTGGATTAGTAGAGAAAGTTGGAACAGGAGTAACAAAGTTTAAAGTAGGTGATAAAGTTGGATGTAATCCATAAAGATGGATGTGTTAAACATGTGAGTTATGCAAAAAAGGAGATAATTAATTATGTTCAAAAGGCATTTTCTTATATGATGATAACAATTTTGGTGGATATTCAACTCATATCTAAGTAGGTGAAAGAATGGTTTTTAGAATTCCTGAAGGTATGTATATAATGTCAATAATTAGGATTCAATGATGCTTTGGGTTCTCCTTTATTATGTGCAGGTGTTACAGTTTATGCTCCATTAAAAAGATATTATAAACCAAATTTCACTTGTGCTGTCATCGGTATAGGTGGATTAGGACATTTGGCTGTTTAATATGCTGCTAAATTAGGTATGACTGTCACAGCTTTTACAACAAGTAAAAATAGAGAACAAGAAATTAAGAGATTAGGTGCTTCATTTTTATCTAGTTCTGTTGATGTTGAAAGTTTGAAAGCTGAATAAGGAAAATATGATATTGTTATCAATACACTTTATATTGAAAATGAAGAAATTTTTAAAAGCCATTAAAGATTAACTGCCCCAACAGGTACATACATCTTAGTTGGACTTCCTCCTTCCAAAGTCAACTTCAAATTAGATCATGCTTATATCATCTTAAATTAAATCAGAGTTGCTGGTTCATTAATTGGTAATTATGATGAAACATAAGTAATTACATTCTTTATCAAATTTAGGAAATGCTTGAATTTTCTGCACAAAATAATATTTATCCAATTGTGGAGACTTTTGAATTTGAAGACTTTCCAAAAGCTTTTGATAAAATGGAAAAAGGCCAAGCAAAATTTAGGTGTGTTGTAAATGTTGGAAAATGGGCTTAAGCTAATGGTTTATGGAAATGAGTTTAATCAAATTATATCAATAAATATCCAAATTAAATACCACTTTCCATATATTAGATTAGTCTATTATATATTTAGTAAAGTTCTCAAAGACCCAAGAATGGATTATTTAAATGATAATGTAGTTTAAAATAAATTTGACAAAAAATTATTTATTCTGTAAATTATAACCAATTTAGTTAACATATCAACAACACTTTTTTTATTTTTCGCCCACATCTTTTTAAATTGTAGATTCAGTTAATTTTATATTATTCTTTTAAGTTGTTTCAGCTGCTTATGATAATTTTACTATTTCTAAAATTTTCATATGATTTTATTACCAGTTGCCAATTATTCAAATGCTTGCTAAATACCAGTTCCATCCTTTGCGCTAGTCTCCAAATAAGCTAATTTGTGCTCAAATGCAAATTAAGCTGCTTCTTACTTACTAACCTTTCTTTGATCTTAAATATCGATTTTATTTGCAACTAACATAATAACTATTGATTATGTATTTAATTCAATATCCTAACATTATATTTACATAATCTAAACCTTAAGCCATTTATCTAAATTATCAAATGAACTTCGATCAGTGATATCAAAAATCAGCAATGCTCCTGCAGCACCTTAATAATAAATTTTTGTAAGAGCTCTATATTATTCCTTTAATATTTTTTTTATATTACTGCTCCACAAGTATCCCAAATTGCTAATTTAATCTCATTGCCATTTATTTATACATTTTTCTATGCAAATTCCACCTAAAAATTATTCTAAGTATTACGCCTATTGTAATTTTATGCCCTTCTTCAAATTTATCAAAAGCAAATCTTGTCAATGTATTTGACTTACCAACTCTTGTATCCCCTTTTAATTGTCAAAATTAATACCAACTAAAACTATTTTAAAAGTTGATGGTTTCATTAAATAATTAACCAAAAAAATTTTATAAAATGTTAATTAGTTGAATTATACAAAAATAAAAAATAAACAAAGAAATGATCAGATAATCATTTTCTAAAACGAATTCATTAGATATATCTTAATTATCTAATAGTAATTTGAAAAATTTATTATGAAAGACAAATAGCGACCATTTATTTCTAAGATTATTACAATAGTTTTTAAAAAAATTGAGAAGAGAAACAAAATTGGATGAAAAAATCAGAAGGCAGATAAATACTCACTAAAATCTTTAAAAAATTAATACAATTATTATTGATTTTAAATTAGCTAATTTCAGAATTAAAAGGAAAAATTTTTTTATATTGCCTTAAAAAATTTTAAGTTTGAATGAAAATCAATTTTTAGTTTGGATTATTGAAAATTTTCTACTAACCAAATTTTATTTATTACTAATAACTATGACTTTCAAATTATTAGAATGAAAGATTTATATTTACAACAGAAAAGATCCAAGTAATCTTTATTGATTTGAATAAGAATCAAATTTTCAGAATTCTTTTGTTAATTTTTCATAAAATTTTCATAATAAAAGGAACTTTTAAATGAATATTAAAAAATGAAATTCTATTTTTCAAAAGATTATTATACAAAACTCTTCATAATGTCTTTTTTAGTATCATATTGATAATTTTCTAAATAATTAGATTTTTTACTTAATTTTAAAGGAGAAAGTGTTTTTTAAATATATTAGTTTATTTTAAGAGTAGAGATTTTGATCCGAGATAGCAGATCTCTTAAGGTTTTAAATATTAATTATCCATTTTAATTAAACTTTCATTTAGAAATCACCTTTTTATAAATTTATGAAAGATATACTTAATAAAAGAATGATGATCTTAATTTCAAAATCTTTTAGTTATTAGTTATATCTATTAAAAAGCTTTTTAATCGATTCTGTGTGATAATTATGTGATAGTTAACAAGAAAAGAAATAAAAAAGTATATACTCAGAAAGAGAAAAAAATGAAAAACTGAAAATTTGAAGATTTCTTATTATTAAAGCTAAAATATTAGGATACAATAGAATGAATCATAATCATAAAATTAAAAAAAATTATTTATAATGATTATTGTTTTTATTATAATCAATTTAACAATAAAGTTATTTCTCATAACCTCAAAACAATAGTGGGATTCTTAGAGAGAATAAATTCAAATATAAAATATTCTGAAACTTATTTAATCTTTATATGAATAGGTTTTTGTAATAACGATTTATTCATTTTCATTATGTGATGAATAAATATAGAAAATAAAATTCAAAAATTTCAAATTTTGATAGAACTTTTTTTATTTAGCCACTCAAATTTGATTTTATAAAGTAAATTGAATAGGAAAGAGGTGATGAAATCAAAATGTATATATATATAATATATATTTTTTTTTGAATTTTTGGATTGATCTAATAAACATTATAAATTAGAAGATAGTGATTAAAATGAAAAGAGAAAATAGAAGTATATTATGAGAATAAAATAATTTGATGAATGTCTTAACCATAAGTTTTTATGTATATATTCTCATAATTAAATTACGTTAAAAAATGAATACAGTTTGTCAACAGAAGACTGCCACTCCATGTAGATTTGAAACAACACAATCATATCTGCTTGATTAATCACCTAAAATATAATATAGGAGAGTAAATTCTCCAGGGTTACCTGATTGCTCTTTTAGAAAGAGTCATAAATCATCAGTTGATAAAAGGAATTACATGACTTTAGGATAGATGGATATTTAATAATTATTAAAACCTACAAGATCATTAGAAGAAAGTCCAGAGCAAAAGTTAAAACCTTATTATGTAAAAGGAGAGGAGATGATAGATCATCATTAGCATTCATTCAATCCTTAATAATATATGAGTTTGAAAGAGGATAAGGAAATATAAGTAGAAGAGAAACCATATGGATCTCCACCAAAAATGGAAGTATTTTAAAAACCTCAATAAAGAAAATAAATGAAAATGGTTGATAAAATTGAGAGTGACAAAGTGAGTGTTGAGATATTTATGTCTGAATAAGATGAAAACTCTCTTATTTTTACTGGTATAACAAAAAGAATAGTACCAAGTCCTGAAGAAAATAAATAAATTTTAATGTAGAATTTGTAATAATTATTTACATCAATAGACAAGAGTACAAATTCAAACAAATTCTAAAATTATATAAAAATGGAATCATTAGAATAATCAGTATTTCATTAACATATGAATAAGTCAACTTAATAAGATTTTCTATCTATTTCTTCTGCATAATCTATAAAATAATAAAAATGTTCTTCTTAAACTAATTTCAGAAGAAATTCAGCTATAATTCCAAAATAATAATCAAAATGGAATAATTCAACAAAAGCAAATAAATAAAAAAATGTTTGTTCTTCAAATAAATAATCAAAGAGTCCCTTTTTAAAAGCTTAGAATTAAAAGGTTTCTATAAGTAAACCAAAATTATAGTAAATAAATTTAAATATTCAATCTCCTCAAAAAATACCAACTCAGAAAAAACAACCATAGACTTAATAGAATAGATCAACAGTATAAAAAGTAAGATCCTTTCATATAACTCCTGAAAAAATAGATGATTGCATATATGACGAAAGATTTTATAAATGATATTATTATATATTTATATGTATAATCATAATACTTCACTTGATTTAAATAATTCTTAAACCATTTTACAAGTTAAATTAATCACTGAACCCATATGAGTGACTCCAACAATTGGAACCTCAAAATTCATAAAGCCATGTGATAAACAATTAATAATATCTAATTTGATATTATGATGTAACTTTCTCATTTTATTAACAAATCTTATAGTATCACCAGTAAGACTATCTTTAGCTCCACATATTATATGTATTTTAGGTAATCTAATATATAAATTTATATAAATAAAATACTTAGTTAAGAAAGTATCATCAGCTATAATAGGACTAAGATAAGGATCAGATTCTGGATGTTCTGATCCACTTTTTAAATATTCTTTTAAAACAACAACTAAAATAGTTGTTGGAGCTATTTAATCAATCAATCCATTAAGTAAATAAGGATTAAAGATCTTAAAATTTAGATTTACAACAGGATAAGGTAAAAATAGTCCATCTGGTACTCTTATACCAATTTTAATGGCACGAAAACAAATACCTAGAGCCATATTTCCTCCAGCTGAATCACCTGCTAGAATTATTTATTCTAAATTTATATTCATATAAAATCTACTAAAATAGAGCTAATAATATATATAAATTTATTTACTATCCAAAGATATAATTACCATATATCTTCAAGGGCATATGGATATGGATACTTAGGAGCAAGACGATAATCTATACTAAATATTACACAATCATCTCCTATATGATTAGCCCATTTCCTTGTATAAGTCTAATGACTAAATGAAGACATTCCTACCCATCCTCCACCATGAATTTATAATATCACTTTCTTTATCTTTCCAAATTATCCCTCCTATTAAGATACTCCTTCAAATATATTATTATGATCTTTGCTTATATCAGCTATTTATTTTACTATTTCATCTTCTTATATTCTTTTTCTAAATATTTCCTTATTTGCTGATAATACTCTCACTTTTATCTTATTTTTACGATCCTTTCGAAACAAAGATTCAATCACTTTCTCATATAAATGCTCTTCTATCATTTCTAATCCTTTAAATCCTTCTTAATTATATAATGTTCCATTTTCTATTTCTTAATTTATTCTCTCCAATGTAAATGTTGGCTTAAATAAATATGGAACATATATTTTATAATGTGATGATATTTTTGTCATTGAATATTTCATAAAATTCTTTAAAACTGGAGCCTTATCTTAAATACTCCATAAATTTTATATAAATTAAACAGATGGATTTGTCATCTCTTTTAATTTTATTTATCTAGCTTTCTCAATATTTGTTATTAAAAATGCCCCACCCAAATTTTAAAATATCATACTCAATATAGGAAGTTTAATCATATTTCCTAATTTTGCATATGCACAACCAACTGAAATGTAATCGTTAAACTTTTCAAATTGCATATCTATGGCCTCTGGATCATCAAGCTATATTTGTTTTTCAAATTACATCTATAAACTGAACATACTTAGCCAAATGAGCCCATTCTTAATGGGTATTGCTTAAACAATAGATGTCATCTAATGGAACTTATGATATATTTGGTAAAAATTCTCTTATCTTATAATTTTATTTAAATTATTACTATTTAAAGTCTTCTTATTACATAATCAAATTCTAACTTGTGTTTTTGTAATTCATATTCAAAATTCTTATATTTCATTATCTATTCCAAACAAATTAAAAATGGATGTATTATTTTATGATTTATAAATTATGTACACTATTCCAATAAAGGATGATGAAATTAATTTTACTCAAATTACTTTTGAGTTTCATCTAATTATAGTAACCATTCTACAACAACTGGATTTTAAGTATTGAAATGTTTCATTATCAGTTAACATTTCTACAAATAATATATAGCATCAATCATGCCTTCTGAATGTTATACTTTCTTCATGCAAATATTTTAATAATTTAAAAATTTTCAAAGCAAATTCTTATGAGTTATTTTACTCAAACTAATTTTCTATCAAATTTTTGTAAACATGATTTTGCTTTCATTTGTTCTTGAATCAAATAGGTTTTTATAGAAATCATCACAAAACTAATTGAAATTGAAAATTAACATAGCATTATAATAATTAAAAATTTCCAACTGCATAAAATATTCATATGAATTCTGAATAAAACAAATAATTGTAAGAATGGAAATTAAAATACATAAAATTGAATCCAATATTACTTATCTTTATGGGTATTACTATATAAATAAATTAGGACTAATATTAATTGCATTTGGAATTGTATCACAAACTGTTGATATTAATTATGAATATATTTCTACTAGATATGATGAAATTTGTGCTAATAAGATTTAATGTTCTGTAAAAATAAAGTAATAAGTATTTTAGATTACCATTGTTGTACCATCAAAAATGAAATCTCCTATATTTTTTTCATATGAAGTTTCATCATTCTTCTAAAACACAGATAAATACTTTAATAGCATTCCTTATGATTTATTATATGGAAACTTAGATTTCGATATATCAATTTGTGATCAATATAAATCTAATAGAGAAATGGGCAAAATTTTTAGTGTTACAAATAAAACTTTAGAATAAGATGAAATAGCTATACCCTGTGGAATAGCTGCATATTCATATATGAATGGTAATAGTGAAAATATTATTAAATTTTAAGATGAATTTACATTAACTAAAGATGGTAATCAAATTTTAATCACAGATAAAGGTATTGCATGGGAATCTGATAAAGAAAAGTTTACCAATATAAATTTAGATAAATAATGGATAGATATGGAATCAGGTGATTATTTTCATTTAAATCAGAAAGATTTATAAATTGGATGAGACCATCTCCTCTAAGTAAATTTAGAAAATTATGGGGAAGAATTGATTAAGATTTAGAGTCTGGTACATATACAGTAAACATATAAATTAGTAAATTATAATTTCATAAAATTATTTAGAAACTAATGATGCTTTTGCTGAAACTAAAAAATATTTTCTTTTACATAATAATGGTTAATTTTCAGACCCAATTTTGGTAATTACATTACCATGTCTCTGTGTTGGTCCATTTTTAATTATTTTTGGACTGATCAATATGATATATTGGGGGAAAAAATAAAATTTGATAAAAAAATACAGAATTTATTGATTGCCTTACTTATTCCCATAATTTAAGTTCTTATTTTTATTAATTAATTAATATATAAAAAAATAATGTTTATTATACCTTCTTTGATCAAAGATTAAATTGGATTATATTCCAATCTAATCGCAACTAGAAGGAAATAACAGACAGCAATCAAGCGTTTGATCCCTAATGTATTCTTAAAAATGCATTAGGTTCATGACCTTGGAACATTATTAATATTTTTGAATAAAAAATAAATAAACATAAAATGAGAAAATGTTTTTAATAATTTTGGAATGAAATGAATCAAAAATGATTTTTAAGATGAAGAATATCTAAAATGAAGAAAATCTAATTAATTTAGTTGATAAATTTAATAAGTTTGATTGTTGGATATAAGAGATGAAAATTTTCTTTTTTTTTTTCAATTCATTTGAATTATTCTTTGATGAAAATTGATTGAATAATTTTATAATGACTTTACTAGCGATTTAGATAGATAGATAGGGGATCTATTTTAATGAAATTTAAGGGGATTATTTTGAGTATTGATTAATTAATATTAATGAGTTATCAAAATCATCCCTAAAAGTTTCCTTATGATAATTAAGGTCCGTAAGGGTAGCAACAAGTACCATTGTTTCAGTAGGTTTACTACAGTCAACAACAATAAATATATGGATTCGAATAATAGCAATTCCCACCATTGAATTATAATGGGTATGGCTATTATGTATAGCAACAAAGTAATAAAGTTATTTGTAAGTTCAGTGCCATAATATAATATTCCTCCTCAACAACCAACACCTAGTTTAACGAGTAATAGTATAAGTTTGAGTGGTATTTGAATTTTGTATTTGTATGTCAGATTAGGGAGCAAAAAAGAAGAAGAAAAATAAAAGTGATAAATCAAAGAAAGACAAAAAGAAAAAAAGAAAGAGAGGTTTATTTGTTATCCTAATATTTCAAAGCCAGTAGTAGTAGTTCTTCTTCTAGTAGTAGTGATTCTAGTAGTAGCTGTAGCAAAAGTCGTAATAAGTATGATAATTATATATATCGAAATCTTTTTGTAGAAAAAAGAAAAAGGATAAACCTTTATCCTTTTTACATAATGAGGATAATTGGAAATGCAAGTCTTGTTATAATATCAATTTCCCTCATCGTACAGAATGTAATAGATGTAAGAAAAGTAGAGAATAAGCTGTAAAAGTATTCAATTAACTCTCTAACATCTTTTCTTAGGAAGATAAAGGAAAGAAGTATGTACCTAATCCTGATGATTGGAAGTGTAACATTTGTGGCAATTTTAATTATGCTAGAAGAGAAAAATGTAATAGATGCAAAGAAGATAAGCCAAAGGCAACTATGCCATAACAATCCACATCATATAATTAAGTAAACTGACGTATTTTCCTTTGCATTTCGTATATCAAAACATAATTCTATTTTCACTCTCTTTTCTTTCTGTTTACATGATGCATTGCCAAATTCACTGTTATTTAAGATATTCCAATCAAAAATAAATTGTATCCCAAATGTACATATTCTAACAATGTTGCTTAAATTATTATCAATGCAATCGATAAATTTTAAAAACAAAAGTAAATTCCATAAACAGGTAAAGCATCTTTGTATTATTCTGATATTGTTATTGCTGAATTGAATTAACCACTTATGTCAGCTAATCCCCTATCATAGACTATTTATTTACAAGAAAAATCCAAGGATTATTGTTATCTTGAAACTATCTAAAAAGGATTCCACTAATGCCAAAATAACAATTATGCTTAATAAATTTGTATAGAGAACTATACTTGTTTATGATTTTAAAGTTTTTTTTATGATTCCATTCATTAAAGCACCAATAGTTTAAGCAATTCCTACAAATAAATAAACTTCAGCTGTTTTTTCATTAATTGTTTATTCATCATAATTATTATTTTCTAGTGATTTATTTATAAATTAATATAATAAACCATATTCAAAACCAATAATTATTCCAGTCATCCAAAATAATGGATAATAAATATATGTACTCTTATCCAAAAAGACTTTATACATATCTATAATATTTTCTTTTATAGATTCTGTATTTTTGACTATTTAAGATTCTTTTTCAATTTCTGAATCATTAACTTTAATATCATTTATAAGAGTGTTAGATTTTTATGGAGTTCTAATAAATATAAATAATAGAGATAATCCTAATTCAATAAAACCAGAGACCCAAAAAAATGTAGATCTTGAAACTAGTTTTAACATCATATTAGAATAAAATCCACTTAACATTGAAGAAAAACCCATCAGAACATATGTTATACTAAACATTATCTCAGAAGAATCAGATGTTGCACATTAACTTACATAATAGTTTTATACAACAAAGTATCCTCCTAGTCCTGCTCCTAATATAAAAGTAAAAATTATGCTTATTGGACTAAGTATCTGAGGTCTACATATCCAAGCGCTGTCATCTCCATTTCTACAATTTGTCAGATAACTACAATTTCTATTAATTTTACTCAGAAGCAAAAAAACTAGGTACAACTAACAATGCTTGAAAAGTAAATGCTATGTTGAATTTTTTGTTTTTTAAGTAAGCTGGAGATAATATATTAAAAATGAATTCAGCCATATAGATTGCCAGAATTGAATAATTACCCAAATCTATATAACCATTTTATTCTGCTATTTATGGTAACAATGAAGTCAAAGCTAAACATAAACTTAAATGCATCATCAATATAAAATTCATGTAGAATAGTTTCCAAAAGTTAGTTGGAATTTTCATATATATTCTAATCAATATATTGATACATCTTAAAATTAAATTATGGCATTTTAATACTAAAAAAATACATATCAATTATTATCAATCAAATATATAAAGACTTTTTCACTTTTTTTTATAATATATTAGATATACAAAAATAAAATAATAATCTCTAGGATAGATTATATTTTATTATTTAAATTAATGTCTTAACTGAAAAATCCAAAGAACTCTTCAAGATATTAGAATAATATACATAATAACGATCCTTAAGAACAACAAATGAATAACCATCAATCTAAGGTTCTATCTGAAGATTCACCTTTTAATGTGTCAAAAATATTAAGAGCTAAACAATAATAAAGCAATATTTTTCATCTTCCTTAAAAAGATTAAATCGATTTTAAAGTTGTATCTAACTAAAATAATGAAAGTAGTATACAAATTTAATTTAGAACTACTACCTTATGATATTTTTTGGTGGAATAGTTAAAATGTAAAAGATAAAAAGAAATCAGACTAACTGAATAATTAAATTCAAAATTCCAAAATTATTCAAAGCAGACCTCAAACAGGTGATCAACAAAGAATTCAATCTGAATAAATTCCAAATTATTCTGATTTAACAGAAGAATAATTTTTATAAATGTAACAGCAACAATATTAATTATTTTTATAATAACACAATCAACAATAAAAGTATCAATCTAAATCACAAGAATTATAAAATTTATAATAACATAATAATTAATAATAACAAAAGGTATAATAAAAGCAATAAAATAACAATAAATAATAACAATAAACTAATGATAATTAAAAGAGTGAAAATAATAATCAATAGATGGAAACAGCATCATTTCATGAGAAACCAAAATCAGCTGAACCAAAGACTAAATAGAATGAAAATTATATAAAGAAATAAGAGAAATAATATTATAAAAAAGAATAAAAAAAATAAATTGCAAATTAATTATAAAATCCTGAAAAATTGTATAATAAAATAAATAATCCAAATATAGAATTGAAATAAAGAAATCCTAACTTTTCTGATGTTTTGGGAAATGGATTGTAAAAATATTATGAATAGAGACCTTAATAAATAATTGTTAAAAAATCTCTTTAAGATTAGTTATAAGAGAGTGAATTATATGGAGTAAAATATCATTAAAGATAATTATTAAAAGGTATGAGTTCTTAAATGGACACACATAAATATTATGATTAAATGTTAGAATAGCAAAACTAGAATTATATTAGATTATAGTAACCAAAAAGTTCTTCAAAATCCCCATAGAATTCTCCTGGAAAAATGCTTGAGAAAGATGAAAAACTATTTTCAAAAAGTGTTTATACAGAATTAACAATTCGAGGAATGGGGAAAGAAGTTCATTGGGAAAAATTGACAAATCAATTAAATATTAATTAAATGAACATTGTAGATATTGATGTTGTTAAAAATAAGTAAGGTTAAATCAAATAGCATAAAATAATAATAAAACATTTAGATTCAGCAAATTTATAGGATATAAAATAATGGGTAGTTACTTAAGGAGGCAGAATAGTTGATGAAAAATAAATTAATTAGGAAGAGTTTTAAAGAGTATAACAACAAAAAGAAGGATTATCAAATTAGAAATAATAGAAAGAAAAAGAAAATTTGACATAAAAATAAAAGAAAAGACCAGCTAGTGCAATGGCAATCAAAAAATAAAAAAAATGATAAAAAATTTGATTTAATTTTGAAAATTAAATAAATCATTTTGTCAAAACTATTAGTTAAAAAAGAAGTAGGACAAAATTCTTACGTTCTTCTAAAGATAAGAAGGGTAACAGTTTTTGATAATAATTTTACCCATTTTTTTCAACCTCTTCTAAAGGTTTTGTATTTAATTCACTATAGTTTAAACATTAAATTACTTTATTAATGTTTAAATTGCTTATCGCATTTTATTTGCTCCTAAGACTTATTCTAAATGTATCTTTAATTATTCTACTCCATTAGTTTTACCCAAAAATGATAATTGGCTTGATTCAGTTATAGGTTTTGTTTTTTCTAAAGAACTTTCAACTTCTTCCTCCTCTACACGTATATCACTTTATCCTTCACTTTCCAATATTTATTTCTTCTATTATTCAAATTATTCATCTACTTCATCTTTTTCAATTAACTAATAATAAAATTATAATAATACAGCTTCTTCCATTTTAGCACATATTTTAGCATCCTCAATTGCATTTTTTTCATCTGATTATTCAAATTTAATACCATAATCCATTTATACTACATCTTATTCAGTATCATCATATTCATTTAAATTTTCAAAATTTTCTATCATTTTTTAAGGTTATTATTGTTTTAACTATTATTAAGAAGATTATTAATTTAATTGAGGTTTTTAAAGAGGTTATTTTAATTATAATGATGGTGAACTGACATTATTCATTGGTCTTTATCTTTGTTAATTTTATTCAACTTATGAATCCCTTTTAGTTTAAGGTATTTAATTGTTTGATTGAACCTAAGCAACCTTCTTTTTGCTATCATTTCTAGCAAGATTGATTATAGGATTATTTTTAGAGACTTAAATATTATTTTATTTTTTTATTTGATTTTTTTATGGAGTAAAAGATCTCTCTCTTTTTTATGGCTATAGTTTTTAAGCTTATTATTATTATTTAGGTTGGGAAGGTTTTGGAGTATTTTGAATGTTATTTGGAGTAGAATTGTTAGCTTTTTTAAGAGGAACAGGATTTTAATTAATAGGACTACTTTATTATTATTAAGCAATAAGATTAGGAGGTTTAGGTAAATCTTCTAGAACTTTTAATTCATTAACATTATTATCTATATTTATTTTCTAATTTTCATAAAAATAAATTTACTTATTAATGTAAAATGGTATGAGAGAATTCGTTTTATTAAACACTTTGACTTAAAAATTCTTTTATTCTATTGACAATCAGAGGTATTTCTTAAAATTAACTATTTTATGTTACTCAATATTTTATTAATAGTTGGTCTTCTATTTGATGTTGTTTGTAATAATTATTTAACAATGTTATTGAATTCAGGTGAATAATTTGATGAAATATTGTTGAAAGTGCCTTTGCATATTTTAAGACAAAGGAAAGGCAAACTATCAGCTTCAAAAGGAGGTTTTAACATGCACATCTCATAGAGAACAATACCTAAAGACCAAATATCACTCTTAGTTAAAAAATTTATAATACTGCATAGGAATAAGGTTTTGATTCAATCATTTCTGGAGAAATATAGTAAGGTGTTCCAATTTAAGTTTTCGCATTTTCTAAAGTATGGGAAAGTACTCTGGCGATCCCAAAATCACCTAACTTTATCCGATTATTTTTTGTAAGAAAAATGTTCTGACATTTCAAATCACGATGCAAGATTTTACGATCATGGACATGTTTAAGGGCTAAGCATATTTGTGTAAACCAATCCAAAATTTAATTCTAAGGAAATTACTTTCCATTTTAGCTCTTAATGATTTAACCCAAATCACCTCCTAAGGTAGTACTAGGGACATTCATTTACTATCAGCAAATTCCATGATAATGCAAAGTTTACCCGACGTTGTAAGGTATACATCTCTGAATTTTATGATATTAGGATGCTAGAGTTGTTAAAGCACTTTAAATTCTCTATATGTTTCAATCCTCTCTTTTTCTGTCATCAAATTTACGTCGATTTATTTTTAAACCCATAATGAACTTTACAATTAATCATACCATTTTTTACCCATCTTTTGCATCCTTCACAAGAAAGGCCTTTCCATAAGCACCTTCTCCAAGTGATTTGATTCTGATATACTTAGAATATTGCATTTCTAATTGATTAATAATTATATATAATAATAAAAAGTCTTATTTTTTTTATGAAATTGTGCTAGTAATAGTATTTGGTTAAATACTATCATAAATTACTGAATCTTGATAAAAATAGTTTATTCTGATGAAAATTCTTAAATATTTGACTGTTAATATTTTTTATAAAATGTAGCAGCAACATTATTCCCAATAATTTATACCTCAACCTTATCAATAATCATAGAGAAATGCTTCCAATTCTCCTCATTAAAGAGTAGTTCCTGCTTAACCCTTTACACCAACTCAAAGTTAACCTAAATAAAAATATGAAGGTGAGAATGAAATCCATTATTAAACAGATATGAGACTTAAGAATAGATAATCAAGTAATCTTCCTAATGGATAATCTTATGAAAATATGGTCTTAAGAATTTAAACTTTAGAGAAAGAGAATTAGAGTCTTAAAAAATAACTTGAAAGTGCAAATAATTAAATTCAAATCTTAAACTAAAAAGTTAATCAACATCCAACACAAAGTCTTCTTAAAACAACTACATTTGAGCTTGTTGTACTTTAAAAAGCAATAGAATAATTAGAAGGATTGAAGAATGGATTAGCCAAAAAAAAATTATTAACAAGCAACAATCAAACAACACTACCAGAATCTTAGAAAGATGTTACTAGTGAATTTAAGAGTAAAGTAACATTAGTAGAAGATAAAGCTATTTAATCAGTTTAACAATCCTAAGTAAATATATATTTAAAATATAGGCTAAATTATTATTCCCAAAAGAACAATGTGTCTAAAATTAATAATCTAATCCACCTTCAAAAGAAGAAACAAAAGAAGAGCCTAGATAAGGTAGAAGAGTTTTAGCAAATACCTAATCTGATTAAATTGATGACAGAACAAAAACGAGTCCAATAAAATATTTGAATGTGAAAGCTAGTGCTAATTAAATGTCATTGAGAATATCTCCTAAAGGAAGGTCAGAAATATCATAAAATTGATTTAGAAATGTAGATAAATAGTTAATATATCATCAATAATTAATTACTATATTCAACAACAATCAAATTTAATTGTTAAAATAAAATTATTTAGTAACTCATTTCTTACTTCTTTTCTTTTTTTTAGATTTTTTTTTCTTAGCAAAAGGATCTGCTTTCATTCCAAATCCTGGAGGTGGTAATGAATTACCTTCAGGATCTTTCAAATTAACAGGATCAGGAATCAATAAAGCATTAACTAATTTTTAAACAGGAACAGCAACTCCTTTTTATGCCAATCTCAATTTTATTTCTTCTATTTCCTAATCATTTTAAAATTATATATACTTATAATTATTCATATCTAACTTAATCCAATGGTTAAGCTGCTAATATTGCAGATAAAGGTCTTTTTTATTATTGAGTAAGAGATAATTATTTTCCATATATAGACATACTTTATTCTGGTGCAAGACGATTAGCTTCATCTTCTTCTTATAAACCTATAATATTTCCATGTAGTTTTTTTATTTTATTTATATTATGTTTTGAAATCTTTGATTCTAATCCTCTAAAATCAGTATTATTCATAAATTTCTATTCTTTCCTATAATTAGGAAGTTTTTCATTTAAATTTCTAGGTTAACAAGTTTAAGGTCTAACTCTTTTTTATTACCGTTTTAAACCATCATCATCTATCATTCCAGTTTAACCATCAATTTCAATATTATTTTCTATCATTTCAATCTCTTCATCTGATAAATCACTTAAATCATCTTCCCATTTTGATTTGTTTTTACTCAAACTTAATTAATGATTCTTTTAAATCTTAATTATTATATTAATATATATTTACTTTATTAAGTTCTTTATAATCTTTTTCCTTATTTTATCTTTCTTTCATTTCTAATTCTCTAAATCTATTACCATAATTAGCACTCTCTATTCTTCTATTCATTTCTCTTTCAACTCTTGCTTTATTTGAAGACCATTGATGCATCATTGCAACCATTTCTTCATCTTCTCTTTTTTATTATGCTTCTTTATTTCTAAGTTTCTAATATTTATTTTAAATGCTTATTTCATCAGCTTAATTTGAATTTTAATATTATTAAAATCCATCTCTTGTTTCAAAATCTAAATTTCTTGCTTTCTAATTATTTTCTACTTATTCATCATTTATAAACACTTTTATCTAAGGTTCAAGAGTCTTTTCTTTTTTCTTAGCTTCCTCTTCTTAAATTATTAATTTTGCTTCATTTTCTGCTTATCTAGCAGCTAACTCTTCTTCATTTAATATAATTCCATCATTATTATCTATTAAATCTCCTTGAATTACTTCTTCTTCCTTCTCCTCCACTATTGCTGTTTATTTAGCTGATTTTATTGGTTTTGGAAATGTTGATTTCATTTTAATCTTACCAGAACTATCTAACGCACTTTAAGGTCTTGGTGCTTAAAAATTTTATATAATCCTTCTCTTATAATTCGTTAGACGTTATTCTGGTGGAGGCATTGAATCATGTTTTGTTCGAGAACCACTTTAATAATCATATAATTAATCTTAAATTATATCCCCTGGAAGTAAAGTTCCTTTGCTATATTGAGATTCTTTCTTTAAAAATATTTTAAATTAATAATACCATTTAGTCTATACGAATAATACCAGTAATTGCAGAATCAGGTCTATCTGGATGAGTTTATTCAATGGTGGTTTCTGCATATCCATCAATTACTGTAGTTGGATATCCTGACTATGGTCGCATACTTTTAATAGTAAGTGCACTTTAAGGTCTTTTAGGTTATGTTGCACTACTAAATGGTCTTTTAGTTTAACCTGTAGGTGGTCTTGTTGGTGGTTAATCACTATCAAGTTTTCGACTTTAATAATCAACTTTGGTTATAGTCTCTAATGCCCAATTGTAACATCTAGTAATGAATTTAGCTTATAAGTCTCTATTTCGTGTAAAGAATGAAATCTCTCTAATAATGCTTGCTAAAGAACGAAAAAATTAGAGTCTCCACATTCCATTACGTATTCGAGCATTCCTTGACTAGGCATTTAGAACCTGATGAACTGAAGACAGTTACTTCTGCATTAAACATCTCTATCATTGTTATCATACCTTGGTACTCCTCATTATTATCTAAGAATGCTGATTTACACTTATCAACAGTTACTGTCTCATAATAATGCATTGTTTCCCAAGTATTTACTTTGTAATTTTCCATCATTTATTAATGTGAAACTATCCGCTCTTATAGTTATTGAAATTCTTCAAAAGTATAATTACCTCTCCCTTCAAAAGGTAACACTTCATACATCAAAGGTACATCATCCTCTTCATATTTTATTACAGAATGATGGATTGGTTATGATTATTGAAGCATTATTTAATAATAATAATTAATATCAGATGAATTTTTTATCTAATTTGTATTTTATTTAATCTTTCTCTCTATTATTTGATGATTGTTAATTCTATTCTCTCTAATTTGCAACTATTTATTATATTCAATTTTTACTCTTATTGTATGGTGTAGATTTATTAAGTGATTCAAAAAATAATTCTCTATTTGATGGTTTGTAAGTACTATACAACTATTTTCTTAACTCTTCCACTCTATTAGTTTCTGGAGTCTTTCTACGATCCTATAAATATCTTTAATTATCTGACACTATCCCTTATAAATCATTTTTAGCATTTATTAACTAAAAAGGTTATTTCTTGTTAGGATTTCCTAATTCTGATCTTGAAGCTTTTAGACTTTAAACCTACTTCTAAGGAGAACTTTGTTTTTATTATCTATAATTAAACATTACATCCTTATTTTAATCATCAACTATAATTATACAAATCAGTACCTTTTGGTTTAATATAGTTAAAGTTTAAATTAGGTGAAACGTCTCTTCTAATATATGTATTTTAATAATCCTTATTTACTTCTCTATTTTTTATATTTAAAATCCCATCCCCTACTCTACTCTTATTATTTCTTTTATACTATTCCAATTCCATTCTCAACTTATCTATATCAAATTTTGAATTATTATTATTATTATTCAGATAAGGCTAAAATTTTTAAGATGGATTTTTTGTTAAGTTTTTATCATTTTATATTTCAAAAGATGTAAATGGTCTATAATTTGATATATAATCACTAGCATTCTTTAATAATTTTGGTTATTATTCATTATTTTTTGGACTAAAAAAGGAATGTTATTATTAATTAGTAAACATCCATGTTCTATCTACATCAACAAGACTTTATTTTTTTGAGAAGATTGTTGGACTTTATTGTCTTTTCTATACTTAAACAACATCATTCAAATTAAATTTCCTTTTTTATGATTGTTCTCTATCATACATAGATGAGTATTATTATTTTGGAAAATATTAAAATGAATTGATTGGTTGTTGAATCTCATTTTAAGGAAAACGTTTAAATTTATCATCTTTATCCAAATTTAAAAAAGATGGTATTTTACTTAATTAGTGATTAGTAAAAGCTTTATATTCATCAGGTGATCTCTATGGTATTGGCCTTTAGTAATAAGAGTTGTAATATCTTCCCAAACCACTGTCAGTAGATTTACGCTCTGCTGGTGATTATCGATCATATATATTATAATTGAATTGCTTTTTCCGATCAACATAATTTTAATCTAACAAGTAATTTGCATTTTAATTCTTTAACATTACACGATCTTAAAGTCTTTTCGACATAATATTTATCTGTTAATTATTAATTAAGTTTTTAGATATAAATAATTATATTATTCATTATTTAATATCTTCATTATAAATAGTAATCTTTAATTTATTATCTATGTATTATATCAAATCAATATATATATATATTCAACTATCAATAATATCAAACAACTTATATTCATACTATTGATTCCTCTCCACCCTACTATCTATATATTAAAAAACCCATATCATATATTTACTACTTATTATATAGTATATACTCCATTCTAATATATCCATCTGCCTAATTGAGCATTTTTAGAATCAAATAACCTTTTTTAAATTCACTTAACACCTTAGACGAATTATATTTAGACTTCAAATTTATAAATAAACCTTCATTCAAATCAATCTAATCAATTTAATTCAATAAATTACTTCAATCATTAAAATTTCATAAATCTTCAATTGAAATCTGAATTAGCATAAAAAAATTGCAGTTTTAGTAATAATTTTCTTTCTTATTTCACATTTTACTCTTTATTTCTTAATGATCTTGAAATTTGTCTAAAATGAGTTCTTTTTTTTATTAAGATTTCATAAACTCCATAAAGAGTTTCAAGAAACAATTACTTTAAAAATTAAATTAAAAATAGTATTTCTATACTAATTAAAAATTTGTTAATGATTAACAATGTATTCAACTTTATAATTAAACCAAATATAAACGCACAAATGAATATTACTAGAATAATTATCCATTAAATTATTAGAAATAATTTTCATAATTTTCAATATTATTTTACAATAGATTCTATTACACTTCTTATTATTAAGTATATAATCAAATTATTCAATTTTAAAAAGTTTACCATGTAATAATTCTCAACTATTTAAAAGCACTTTCATCTTGGATTTATTTATGATTTTTTAAATTAAAATTCCAATTGAACTTTTAAATGAATTTTATAAATTCTAAATAAAAAATTAATACTTTTATCTATTATATCCATTTAAAATACAAAGGATAATGGGGTATTCATTAATTCTCTTCATTATTTCAAATGTATATGTTTGGAGAATCTACATATCACATCAAATTCAATTTTTATGATTTTAAAATTATCTAAAAAGAATTTTGATATACTTAATTTCTTTTTGAAAATATTAAAAGATTTACTTGTGGCCTTTTATAGAATATGATCAGAATTTATAATTAAAAAATCAGATTTTTTAAATAGCATTAAAAATTTTAATTATTCCATAAAGTTGTAATTGTTATAAGTTGAAAATATGTAATTATATAAATTTTCATATTATTTCTAAAAATAATAGAATGAATATAGAAACTTAATCAGAAAAGTCTGACTAAAGAAGATCAAAGAGAGAGAGATATGTAGGTGAAGCATTGAATGCAGTATAAAAATGGAGGGATTTATTTGAAAATGGTTATTCTGATGAAGTAGGTAATTACATAAAACCAACTTTGAAAGAAGCAGCAGATTTAGTTGGACTTCCAAAAAGATCTCTTGAATAATATTATAGTGTTTTTAAGTAATACTTTTCATTAAAATCAAGAAAAATTCCTTAATCTACTGACATTATAAGGTTTCTCGATAAAAAGATGGGCTATCTCAATTAGTTCATTAGAGAATTTTAAAATGAATCTGCCATAACTAAAGAATAGGAATAAGAATTAGAATAAGAAGTTCAATAAGAATAAAGCTCTTGGGATAATATGATAATAGAAGCAGATGATTCCTTAGCAGTTTAAAGAGAGATGGAAGATGAACCTTAACTTTGTTAGATTCTTTAATAGTAATAAATTTATGAGAATGAAGAAGAATATATAAAATTTTTATAATTAGAGGAAGATTAAAAATATTGTTCAGAGTATTACTATTATGATGAAGATGATGATTATTTTATTAAAGATGATTTTAATAATCCTGCTTTACCAGATTGATTCTAATATATTTAATTAATCTATAAAACTTTTATTTATTAAATTAGTATTCAAATATATTCAAGACAATTATCTATAGAAATTTAATAATTTTGTGATTTATAAAGATCTAATTCTTCTATTTTTAGATTTATTATGAAAATTCTTTAAAGTATTTAAAATTTGTTATTAAAAATTCTTTTCCTCAGATGATAGTTTATTAGTAATAATAATTTGAGAAATAAAAATTTCTTTTTACAAATAATCATTTGTCATCATATTTATTTCATAATTTTCATTTAAAACTGCTTCTTCTGGTGTTTATAATTATTCTACTTTTTCCTTTTTAGAATATACTGAAATGATTGATCAATTAAGATTATTGGTTGATGTAGGTTATTTATTCTCTATAAGCTTTGATTTTTATTACTTACATAAATCTGAATCATTTTTCATTTTCCTCTATAAGACTTATGGTTCTCTATCATAAATTTATTCACTTAAATAACGATATCTCTTATATAAAGGCGATACAGTTTTATTCATTCTTTCTTACAATGCTAATTGTAGCAATCCTTATTGTGCTATTGCCAATTAAAAGTTTTGTTAGTTAAAAAATTTTGTTGTAATCTTTTTAAGTTATAATTTTGAATCATCTATCCAATCACTTCTTTTTTTTGTATTTTTATTGTAGAATAACAAATTATGAGATACTTTATATTTATTTTATTATGACTTCTTCTTAAAATATTCTTGTTGTTGTCATCATTGCAATAGCAGATCTTAACCAAATCATCAATTATTTTAGTAATGTATTACTCTTTTAACCATTTAAAAAATTAAATTAAACACCATCCTTCAACCAAAAAAGAGTTTCCACCATTTTCAATAAAAAATTAAACAATCATTTCATTCTATTGAGATGTCTCTTACATTAGTATTCATTTCTTTACTCCATATAATGCCCATTTCCTTTGTTTAATTTTAGATGAATTACTAACATTACAAGAATGGATGAGTTTCTTGATGATAATAAAATATCAACAAATTTTGTGAATAATAGTTACAACATATTCATGACTTTTTAAACTAACAATAATAAGAATTAATAATCAAATGAACTTGTGCTTTAAAATATAATCGAATTATAAAATATGTAATAATATTCTTAAAACAATGAATAATTATTATATAAATAACTCATCATTTATAATTTTAATTTTTCAATTTCAGACAATCTATTTAATTCTTATTTTCTGTTACTTAATTTATAGATAAAATTTATGCTATAATTGTTTCTATATAAAAAATAGAATTAATATTAAAATCTTGATTAAAATTATTATTTTAAAAAGAGAAATGTTTGAAATAAATACATATACAAATTACTCTCAATATTAATTCATTCAGCTAAACTTAAAGCAAGTAAATAACTTGGTACATACTCTTTAGATTTAAGTACATCATTAAAAGTATTATTTGTAGTATTAGCTGTGTTTGCTGTATTTGTTGTATTTAATGTGATACTCTTTTAAACATCTATCTTTTTTTTTATGCTATTATTAAAATTATTATGTGTAGTTTAAAGATGAGTAATTTATTTTTTTAGTAACTAATTTTCTATTCTTGATTAATTTAAGGCATCTTACAATTATTGCAATAAGGTTTCTTTATTACTTTATTGTTTTAATAAAGAATTCTCTTTCTTTAACTTTGATACCATTTCAGTTAATTTTGATGATTCCTTTTCTAATGCAGCAATTCTCATTTAATATTTAATCTCTCTTTACTTATTTTCTTCTAATTTATTTTTATTTGTAATTTCTTGCATCTGTATTCTTTATAAATTTTCTTTTTTCTCTTAGAATGCATTTGCTAAATAATTTTACAGTATATTTGTATTTTCATGCTAAAAAATATTTCTATTTTCATAAAATGAATTATTTGTTTTCCTTTTACTTCGATTCACTTATGATAAAGCATAAAATTTTACAATCTCCAATTGATGTATTTTGCTTTACTTTAACTTTATCTCTGCTCAAAATTCTTGCACTTTTAATTACTTCTGCTTGTATAATTTCTTTGACAGTTTTGATCTCTCTTGATGTATTACGATAATATGGTATCGTTGTATTTAGAGACATTAATGGTTTAACTGCTATAAAACTAAATTTATTAATTAAAGTAAGAATATAACAATAATAATAAAAGAAAATATATATCAATATTCAAGCCTTTCAATAAATATAGTTCTACATATAGGACAAGATCCTTGATCTTGTATCCAAATTCTTATACATAAGTCATGGAAAACATGATTAATTTTTTTATTGCCTCCATCTACATTACAAGGTAATTTAACACAATCATCATCAATTTGATACGTCTATAAGCAAATTGAACACTCTTCATGCACATTTGTATCTTATTCTTTTAAATCTTGAAACTTTTAAGATCTTAAATTTGATAGAAATGCTTGTCTTTATTATTCTATTCTATGCTATTTATATTCATCATATAAATCAGTACACCAACTACATGATTACCATATAGCTACACCTATTATTATTGGAATTATTGCACAAATTATTAATATAATACAAATTACTATTGTAATTATCATGTAACCTATAAGCATTGATAATAATGTCAATACTATTAAAATTGATTCAAATTAATCTATTCCATTGGTCTTATTATTCCAATTCAGAAATGCCCATTACACTATTGTGATATTTCCCCAAGCAAATAATATAATTTTTACTAAACAACATACTCGATTCATTGCAAACATTTAAGAGTTTTAACTTTCAAGCAAATAGAATAACCATTTTGTTGTTGTTATTTTTTCTGATATACTGATAGCTACTTATTAGGCTTATGAATTTTATTCTTCATCTTCTATGATGTCCTCAAATGGACTATTTAATTTTATTGTGTATTTTAAATATTCAATAAGTGGATGAGTTATATCCCCGTGATTTATTTGATCAGCTTCATTTATAATGTATCGTAATTAACAATTAATATAGATGACTAAGCAATCTGAAATTAAATTAAATCCAAAATAAACACTAAATAATTCTTTAATGTCATCCTTTGTTATTAAGGAAAAATATAAGGCTACTACTTCATTAATTATGAAAATTATATTAATAATAGTAAACACATTTATGATTATATAGCTTCTAAATATCACAGTTTTAAGCACATTATTAAGCTAAGGACATTAATTATTAAAGAGAAGCTAAATTATATCCTAAAAACTAATATTTAAATATTGTTCTGTTTCATTTTATGATGTATAAAGTATTTCCACTTAAGGTTATTCCTAAAAATGGATTATACTCTATGGATATGATTGTAATTGTTCAGCTGATTAAAATTGTATTGATGAATTTTGTTAAATCTATTAAGACTTATTCTAAAACGATAATGATTCTGGATTATTAATTACTTTTTCTTACTATTAAAATTGTGCTGTGAACTCATTGATTTCTGATTAAATTGATTAATCTAAATTATTCATTAACAAACAAAAAATTTATTATTAGATTTTTCCTTTTAATAATTTATCAACAATTTAGATATTTATTTTGGAAATTTTTAAACAGAATATTAGATAATAGTTTTAAGTTAAAAAAATGATGATTAAGAAGTATTAATTATAATAATTACAAATTAAATATATTTCTATATTTTTGTAAAAACTTTTAAGATTTCCATCAAATTTATAATATAGTAAAATAAAAGCATTTTTCATATGATAAATTTATATCTTCAATTTTAATTTTTATTTAAAGATAGAAATTTAATGGATATATACCATTATGCCAAAGAAAGTAAATTTATGTGTGAAACTATAAAATGATATGTGTGAAACTATAAAATAAAAAAAAAAATAATATTATCTGAAAAGCTTTTGATTTCATAAATTAATTTACTGCCAATATCAGACTCATTTAATTTGATTGTTTTTGAATTGAAAAAGTATCTTAAGTCTATATTTTAATATCGATAATGTATATTTAATTTATTCAATAATTAAATGATCTTCCGTGTTTCTAGCATTCAGTTTTTAGTTTTAAAAATAACAAATCTTATTATTCTATATTAACTAAATAAAATCTTTTAATTTATTTAGTAGTAAAAATAAATCTAAATGTAGGTTTAGCTTCATTTTTCTTAATTAATATTTAGCTTAAATTATTCAAAGAATTTGCAGAACTCACTAAATATTTATCTTTGCTGATTAATTAAAAAAAGTAAATCCAGCCTCCATCCAAAGCCAAATACCTTTCAGTTTCAGAAGACAAATAATCCATTAATGATTTATGTGTTTTTATTGGTTTAATTACTCTAAATGTACTGCCAGGTGGAAAATTGATGATTTATTTTTTCTAATACCCAGAATCTAAGGGTTTACCAACTTATTTAAAATTATAAAGGATTAATATTTTGTACTCTTTTTGCATTTCACTCATTGTTTATTGTTCCGAATCCTCTTCTTCATCATTATAAATTTGATTTGCTTCTTCTTCGTTATCAATTTTGAAAACATTAGGATCACTAGATCTTCCTTTTGTACTTTGTTATGAACTTTATTTAGATTATTTAGTTTCTGTAGGCAATGAGGAAGTTGCTTCATTATAAATAATTTCATCAGATGGAGCATCATTAAAAAATTATTTGATAGAGTCAAAAAAAGAACTCTTTTTCTTTGGTTACATTATATAAATATTAATATATATTTTTGAATATTATATTGGAGATAATACACTAATCATATTAATTGAACTCATGATCTCTTAATAAGATTTCTTTATTGCATTAAATAATCATCTTCAGAATCTTCAGATTCACTAGATTGAACATCACTTGAATCACTACTTGATTTTTTTTAATTAAACTTTTTCTCATCAATCTTTTTAATTTTAATATCATCATCTGCAAACTCTTCAAAAGAAATATTTTATTATTGTTTGCCTTATAGTTTTTCAACATCCTCATCTTTTAATTCAGTATTATCTAACATTATATTTCCTTATTCATCAAATTAAACTATGTATCTTTTATATTATACTCAATAATACTTAAGAGGTTTGAATGAGTCAATATCACTAATATCTTTAATTTTATCAATATTTTCAAATAACTTTTATTCCATTTCAGCCTTTTCTTTCTCTCTCTTCTCTTTGTCCATATTTCCAATTCTTACTCTATCTTTCAAAATATTAAATTGATTGATTTATTCCATTTCACCTTATTCAATATCAAATCTAACCTATTTCTTATTCTATAATTCTTATATTTCCTTAAATTCGTTCACTTCCTCATCTCTAAATATTTGATGCTTATTGTAGTATCTTTAAATATGATATCTTGTCCAAATATATTCACAATCTTCTTAGAGTATTTATTTCTCACCAACATTTTTTAATAAATTGTTTAGGCTCAAATCATTACATAAGTTGATACTTCAGTTATGAGTTCAAAATCAAATTACATATCTGATACTACATGATTCAAGTGCTTAACAATATACTTCTCAGCACTCTTTAGGATTTTTTAAGAGCTCTCTAATTCATTTACTTCATAAAAATACTCTTTGAACATTTTTATTAAAATTATTGAAATTATTTTTTAAAAAATTTAAAGTACTCTCTTATTGTTTAAAGATAAATGATAAATTTTTCAAAAAATTTGTAACTTTCTCTTATTTTGTAATTTTTGAGAAAGCTATATATATTTTTACTTAATTATAAAATTTAATATCCAATATTCAATATCAATTAATAGGAGATCGGTCAGTCCATCCACTAAGAGATAAATTACTAGAATCAGGTATTGGCAATCTTTTTGAACTTTGCTTTTATTAAAGTACTTATAATTATGAGATTATTCCTGAAGATTTTTTTTCAGTTTCAGATAAATTAGGCTATTTGCTTACTAAATTGCTTGTTTAAAGTAAATTAGACACATTATTAAAGTTATTGACATTGATAATAGGTTTAGTTTCTTATTGTTAATTCGATGAATTTTAAATATTACTAATCTATGTTATACTATTATTTGCTGCTGTCTGATAACTTATAATAACATTTTTTTATATGGGCGCAACATTTTTGCTGCTTCTGGAAAATCCTTTTTAAGATTTGATCTAAGGAAGCTTTTATTAGACTATTTTTAATTCATTAATATCTTCTGATTTTTAATCCTTTTATTCAGGACTTCTTCTCAATAGTTCTACATTACATAATTCATTATGAGATTAACAATAATTTTAATTCTATTATTTTCCCTTTACTCTTTAAGTAATAGTAATTTATTTAACGATATGTTCTTATTAAAGTAGCAATTTTGTATTTTTTGGAACAGATGTTTTACGAGATAAAATTGTTGCTTCAATCATTTTATGTGGCAATTCTTTATGTTATAATTTCTTAATTAGTTAAGCAACTTTCGAAAGTATGTCAGTATTATTAGTTTTTTATGAATTTATAGGAGGATCATTTTTGAGCTCAAATTTAACGATATCTCACTTACATAATTTCGCTGTTTGAACCTTATTAAGAGAATCTATCATTTCCAATTTACTCATTATTCTAACTCTTGCTACACTTGATACATTTGATACATATTGAGATCTACTTTTTTAAACGCAAAATTAAGATTATTATCTTAATGGAGAATGCTAAGCAAATCGTAATTATCTATCTTAAAATATTGTTTCAGAATAATTATTAGCCTAAAATTTTATTAGAAATAGACTTACGAACGTGATCTCATCAGCATTCATTACAAATATATTTTATAAAATTATGTTTATTTATAAATAAATTTAAAGACTCTGTAAGAAAGAGTTTCCAATATATAATCAATTTAAAAAGACAAAAAAAATTAATAAATTGAATAATTAAATTCTATCTTCTCATTCTAAAAAATTATGCTTTGAATAAAAAATATTTAACCTTTTTTTTGTTTGTATTGCTTCTCTCCTAATATTTCTTGCTAAGAAAAAAAAGCTACTTCGTCTATTGATAGCTTATAAAAGATTTATAAATAAATCATCTTCAAGTTTTTTTTGGTTCAATTAAAAAATTATCAAGACCTAAAGTCTAACAAATTTGATAAAACAAAATATCTTCCATAATATCAAGTTTTAATCATGGTTCCAAATAAAAACCTTATATTAGTTTTTTTGAAGAAAAAAAATGAAAATCAATATCATAGTCTATTTATTTTTAATCTAAAAAATCTCGATTATTCATATGTAAATAGAAATAATTTTCATATTTTTCAATATTATTTTAAAATATCCTCTATTAAACTCCTTATTATTGTGTATATTAACAAATTTGTCAATATTTAAAAAGTTTACCACTTAATAATTCTCAAAAATTTAAAAGCACTTTCATCTTGGATTTATTTTTGATTTATAAATTAAAATATCAGTTGAACTTTAATTCAATTTCATAAACTCTAAAGCACAAATCAATACTTGTAATATCCTTCATAATATTCCAGAAAATAATGCTTAAATTAATTTCTGCTATTTGTCATTATTCTCTGCTTTTGTCTTTTGTTTATGATATTTAAATAATCACTTTATTTGAATTAAATTATATAAAAATTATCTCTAAATCCATGATATATTTACTGTAATTCTTTTCATTATCTAATTAATTAAAATTATTTTCAAAATAAGTTTCTTTTATAGTAAAGTCTTCTAGTGTAATCCTTTAAATTACTTAAGTTAACAAAATTTTCTTATAAATAATTCTAAGTAAATAAAATAAAAAATAATTTAAAATTTAATTGACATTTTCTTAGATATGCTTCTAATTTTAGATGCTCACCAAAAAGTCTAATCAATTATCTTCTAATTATTTGGAGAAGTTGCTTAATATATTATATTAGAATTATAACAATTTAACACAATCTTTATTGCTTTATTTATTTGAAACAAAAATCATAAGAATAATAATTCGCTATTATTTTCTAAAAATTACTTATTGGGACAATTTAACATTTCAAGTTATCTAAATGCAACCTTTTTAATAAAATAAATAATAAAAATTATTCAAAATAGATTATCATTGAAATTTCACAATAATTAGTAACAATTTTGTATTTCAAAATTCAAAGAAACATATTACAATAACTTTTTATTTTAAAATAGATGATATTATAAAGTTTAGTTCCAAGAAAGTTTTGTTTAATACCTATATAAATATAACAAGTGAGCCATTGTAATTAACTTATTAAAAGAATTGTTGTTATAAAGAACCTAAATTTGAACTGAAGATTTAGTGTTTGTATTTTTTCTTAATATACAAATTATAATTAGAAATAAAAAAAATATCTACTAGAATTAAAATAAATCAAAAAATTAAAATTAATATATTAATAGTAACATGACAATAATCAGCATTAATGTAATTTTATATTAATTAATAATATATACTAAATATATTTCTGTAAAAATAGAATTTTCGAGAAATTTAAATTTAAATAAATTTAGAATAAAAATTTCCAGAAGCTTCCATTAATAACTTGATAAACTTGTTAAGTGTGGTAATTCTTTATAAATAATAATAGAAAATAAATATGGCTTAAGTTCCTGCTATTGGTATTGATTTAGGTACAACCTACTCTTGCGTCGGTATTTGGGTAAATGATAAAGTTGAAATTATCCCAAATGATTAAGGTAATAGAACAACTCCATCATATGTTGCCTTTACTGACACAGAAAGACTTATTGGTGATGCTGCTAAAAATTAAGTTGCTAGAAATCCATAAAACACAGTTTTTGATGCTAAAAGATTAATTGGAAGAAAATTCGCTGAATAAACAGTTTAAAAAGATATTAAATTATGGCCATTCAAAGTTGAAGCTGGTGCTGATGATAAACCAATGATTGTTGTAAAATACAAGGGAGAAAATAAAAAATTCCATCCTGAAGAAATTTCATCAATGGTCTTAACAAAAATGAAGGAAACAGCTGAAGCTTATTTAAGTAAATAAGTATCAAAAGCTGTAATTACAGTTCCAGCTTATTTCAATGATTCTTAAAGATAAGCTACTAAGGATGCTGGTGCAATTTCTGGTATGAATGTTTTGAGAATTATTAATGAACCAACTGCTGCTGCTATTGCTTATGGTTTAGATAAAAAAGCTAAACATGAAGAAAACGTTCTTATTTTTGATTTGGGAGGTGGTACTTTTGATGTTTCTTTATTGGCTATTGAAGATGGTGTTTTTGAAGTTAAAGCTACTGCTGGTGATACTCACTTGGGAGGAGAAGATTTTGATAATAAACTTGTCGAGTTTTGTTGTGCTGAATTCTTAAAAAAGAAAGGAATTGATATTAGAGGAAATCCAAGATCATTAAGAAGACTTAGAACTTAATGTGAAAGAGCAAAGAGAGTTCTTTCATCAGCTAATCAAACTACAATTGAAGTTGATGCTTTAGATGCAAATGAAGATTTCAATTGCACAATTACAAGAGCAAAATTTGAAGAATTATGTATGAGTATGTTCAAGGAATGTATTCCACCAGTTGAAAAAGTTCTTAAAGATTCTGGTATTTCCAAAAATCAAATTCATGAAGTTGTTTTGGTTGGAGGATCAACAAGAATTCCGAAAGTATAAGAATTATTAAGAGATTATTTCAATGGAAAAGAATTGAATAAATCAATCAATCCAGATGAAGCTGTTGCTTATGGTGCTGCTGTTTAAGCTGCTATTTTAACTGGATAAGGTAATGAATAAGTTAAAGATGTCTTATTATTGGATGTAACACCATTATCTTTGGGTATTGAAACTGCTGGTGGTGTTATGACTGTTTTAATTCCAAGAAATACAACTATCCCAACTAAGAAATCATAAACTTTCACAACCTATGCTGATAATTAACCAGGTGTCTTAATTTAAGTTTATGAAGGTGAAAGATAAATGACAAAAGATTGCCATAAATTAGGTTAATTCAATTTAGATGGAATTGCTCCAGCTCCAAGAGGAGTTCCATAAATTGAAGTCTCTTTCGATCTTGATGAAAATGGTATCATGAACATTCATGCTGAAGATAAGGCTACTAAAAAATCAAATAAAATTACAATTACAAATGATAAAGGTAGATTATCAAAGGATGACATTGAAAAATTAGTTAAGGAAGCTGAAAAATTCAAAGCTGAAGATGATATTATTAAATCAAAAATTGAAGCCAAAAACAGTCTTGAATAAACAACTTATTAAATTAGAAATACAATAAAAGATGAAAAATTCAAAGATAAATTCTCAGCTGATGAAAAGTCAAAACTCGAATCATTGATTGAAGAAACAACTAAATGGATTGATGCTAATCCCAATGCTGAATCAAATGATTATAAAAATAAATTAAAGGCTCTAGAAGAAGTCTTCCATCCAATTATGTAAAGAGTCTATCAAGCTACTGGTGGTGCTCCCCCAGGAGCTGAAGGTGGATTTCCAGGAGGAGCTGGATTCCCAGGTGGTGCTGGATTCCCAGGAGGTGCTGGTTTTCCAGGAGGAGCTGGTGGTTAAGGACCAACAGTTGATTAAGTTGATTGATTTTTATCTTAGTGTATATGTTAAAATTATAAGTTCTATTTTAAATAGTTTTCTATTTCTCACTTAATTACTTTTTCTTTGGTTAAATAAACAACATAGAAATATATACAAATATATTAATAAAAATACAAATAATTACTATATTTTTTAAATAATAAATATATTTAAAATATTAAATAAACAATACGGAAAATGGATAAAGAAAACGCAAAACCAGTTTAAGACCTTTCAACATAAAATGTCCCATTGCTATAAGCTTAGTAATAACCAGTTAATCAATATTATGCACCTTATTCTCCCCAAGTTTAATAACCATAATAATAAATTAATCAATAACCATACATTTCAAATCCTTATTAAGGAATCAATCTTTAAGGAGACTAGTATCAAGGAAATCGACCAATTTAATAATAATAAATTCCTCAACAGTAGTAATTAATGTAGCCCTACTAACCTAATTCTTATTAATAATAAGTAACTGGAGTTGTCCTTTAAGCACCCTTCATTCCTTATGTATATCTATCATTAATTTAGACTCCATAAGTACTATAAAATGCCTCTGGATTTAGAGTTCCAGCATTAGTATAATGTCCCTTTTGTAATTAACATTCAGTTACAACTATAAGCTACAAACCTGGAAATGACACCTATTGGATGGCTGTTTTATTATGTATATGTTTTGGCTTCTTGTGCTTGATTCCTTTATTATCTGGGGATTGCAAAGATGTTTATCATCAATGTAGTTATTGTGGAAAAGTTGTTGGACACACCCCTTACAAAGCTTGCTCCTGATTTGATATATTCTATAAATTTCATTAATTTTAATTTATAATGGTTTCATTAAAATTTCCAGAATACTTTTATTATTAAATTTAATAATTATTCAAATGGAATATAATCAAAATAACTAATATGGATAAGTCTCAGGTTAATAAGGAGGCTATCCTTATCAATAGCCTTATCCATAATAAAATATGTATAACCAACCTTAAGCTTATCCTAATTATCAATAACCTCCACCATATTTAGACCCAAATATTCCTGTTGGATAACCAGTTAATCAACCCTAATATGGAAACTATTAGTAAGCGAATATGTAGTAGTATGATATTATAAAATTATAAAGCTAATCTGGTTTTGTACCTAATGGTCCTATATATACAGCAGCACCTATTTTACGTAGTGCTGATGGAATGAGATTTCCAGTTTAAATTTAATGTCCATATTGTAATCAGAGCTGTGTCACAAGAATTGAACATAGAGTTGGTGATGGCACAATATGTGCTTCTATTTTAGTTTTAATATTTTGCTGGCCCTTATTCTGGCTTCCTTGCTGTTTATAAGACTGTTAAGATAGAGTTCATATTTGTACTCATTGTCAAAAATGTGTTGGAAAGAAAAAGTATGAAGTTTGTTGACGACTTGATTATTAATATATTAAATTAAAATTCATTCTAATCAATTTTCATGTATTCATTAGGATTCGATTAATTTTAAGATAACTTATAAATTGAATTGTTATAAATTTATTAAGAAATCTTGCCAATTAATAATTAATATAGTTAATTCGAACCTTATGAAGAGTAGTTCCGAGATTCTTAATCAAATTACTGTATGCTAAACCAATACTGAATTATAAAAACCTACTTTAGTGAATTTAGCTCAAAGTGCATTCGTGAGTTCACCTTTATAAACAAATATTCTCTCTCGATCTCTGCCTATTACTCCAAACAATGGAGATCAGCAAGTTGATTTAATTCTAGAAATAGGTTTACCTAAAGTATTTACAAGAGGAATGACTAAGTATTGATTTTATAAAAAAATAATATAGAAATGATTACTTGACAACAGCTAATGGTAAAAAAACAAATTAAGAAATCTTCTGCAATAACTGTTAAAGAATTAATATGAGTAGACTTGAAACTGAATATGGAATAGGGGCTATCCAAGTTACCTGTTTACTAATTTTCCTATTTTGGCCCCTGTGTTGGTTGCCTTGTGTTCTAAAATCGTGTAAAGACATTATCCATTACTGTCCATTTTGTAATTAAATTGTGGGAAGAACTCCATTTACATTCTGTTGATTTTTATGTCGTTTGTTACTTAATTAATAACAATTAGAATTCATTCTTGAGGCCATCTAAGATGCTTAATCAATAAAGACAAGATATATTTTATCACTTCCTTTTTTTTATTCTGGTTTTAAGAATGAATGTGATCTAGATAAGAACTATAAGAGAAAAAAATATAAAAATTTGATGTATCCTTATAGTACTAGATTTCATGCCCCTAAATTATTACTATAAATGCATTTATCAACAAGTTCAAATATGATTGCTTAAAAATTTGAAATTTAAAAATCTTATACAATAAATAACTTTAGGTCATAACTTTTAGAAAATTCTTTTTTTTTTTTTAGGTACAATTTATATGATTGATTTTCATATTTTTTATAACTTTCATGCCTATTATCAAACTTTGCTAAATAATTTATATAACATATAATTTTTAATGGTTATATTTGTAAAAAAGTTTGTCTATTTTTATGAGATTTTCAGCTTGATTTATATCTATTCTTACAGTATTGAATATTTAAATTTATAAATAACTATTTATTTTTACTGAAGAATAATGAAATGATTATAGAATTATAAATATAAATCAATTTTAGTATAGATTTTTTCTCTAATAATCAGCTTCAATTATATTTAATATTTATTTATTTTATAATCATAATGAAAATTCATATTCTTTAGAATCTTTCTTTTTTTACAAATGGATGACTTTTTTTTAAATTTTTACTAATAATTTATATTAATATTTGCTATTCAACTAAAAATAAAATCAAACACAATTTAATTTTTTTTATATAAAAAAATTAAATTGAATTAATTAATTTGTATAATGAATAAGAACAATCCATAAATTTTTATGGAATAAACTCTTTATATGCTTGTAATAATTTTGAGTTTGATCATTAATTACTTGAACAAATGGAATAAAATGCAGCTTGTCAAGCTTATCCTGCCTTTGATGAAAAACAAAATTAATAATTAGGATAGTAATATCAATATCCAAAAGAATAAACTAACATTCCTGTTGGTCACCCAAATTAATAATACATACCAGTTTAGTAGCAATAGCCATTCATGAGTAATATGTATATTTGATAAAGATCCTCAATAAGTAGTCTTGTAACCTATAATAATTCAACAAGTTAGAAGAAGTAATGCTGAAGGATGTTCTTATCCAACAGATATATTGTGTCCATATTGTCAAAAACCTGTATAGACTCTGATTGAATTTAATTCAGGATGTAATACATGGTTAGCTTGCTTATTGCTGTTTTTATTTTTCTTGCCTTTATTCTTTTTACCATTTTGCTTAGAGGAATGTTAAGATAAAATTCACAAATGTCCAAATTGTGGCAAAAAAGTTGGAAAAAAAAAATATAAGATGTGCTGTTGATTGTAATTAGTCCTATATTTTTAATTATTATCATATAAATACCTATTAAATGTAATATCATAATTCTTAACAACCTGGTATTAATCCAGATTATAACTATAATTAACAACCTTAACAATAATAATAATATGGAACTAATGTCTAAAATTATCCAACAGTTCAATAAGGGGGGCAATATATTCCATAATAACAATAATAATCACCTTCAGGATAACTTGGATACAACCAGGGTTAATAATATATTTATGGAGCTCCTATGGGAATGGCTCCAGGAATGCCTATGAAACTTCCAAGAACCGCAGATGGGGTTAGATTTCCAGTTGAAATAGAATGTCAATTTTGCAAACGAAATACAAAAACAAGGATTGAATATTAATCAGGATAAAATGTTTGTTGTTGTTCTTGTTTGTTACTATTTACTATTCCTATATTGGCATTTCTGCCTTGTATTATGAATTCTTAAAAAGATGTTGTGCATTATTGCACTTAGTGTAATCATTAAGTTGGCTATACAGAAAAAAAGGTATGTGAATGATATGAATGTTTATAAATGGACTTGTATAGGATAATTATCTTCATATATAAATATATCTTATTTCAATTATTATAATTATGAGATAAAGATAAACATATTAACCGAATTATCTTCAGATCTCCCAACAAGAAAAAACTAAAAGAAATGCACACTCTTATGGAAAGGAATTAAAAACACCTGATTCTATTAAACCTTTAAGTGCTTTAATGAATTTGAGACTATTCCTATATAAAACCAAACAAAAATTAGAATATAAATAGGCGAGCCAATTTACAAGGCACGATCCTTTAGTAAAAGAATAGCCTTCTTTTTTATATAATAAATTACAAATAGAATAGGATAATCAAATAAAATTTTAAGCTTTTTTAGATGGTGATTTGTAAGCTGATGAATATTTGACTCTATAAAATTATAAGAGATTATATAAAATAACTAAGAATGATAATGGATCATTTGATAACTCTAATGATGATGTACCTTATTTAACTTAAAGGGAAAGTGCTTTAAAAAAGTTAAAAGAGAGAATCATTCATAGGCATAATATGAATAAAAGAAAAAGAGGTTCGGAAATAAGTAGCTAAATGGATACTTCCAAATGTGATACTCCTAGTTTATAATTAGCCAAATAACTAAAAAAAGTTATAATAAGAAAACACATGAATAAAATAAATGAAGAATTAACAGCGTATTATTTATTTATTATTTAGAGAAAATACTCTAAGAAATCTAAAAATGGTTTAGAATGCAGACTTTGCTGTTAAATAACTTCAAGAAACATTTGAACAAGATAAATCTATTTAGAGTAGCATTTAAAAAAAAATAAATTCAACTAAGCATTTGAAAATAATTACAAGAAGAAATAAAACAGAAATAGGATAGGATAATTAAGATAGCAGAATTTAGTTGAGCAATGAAATAGCTCATATGGCAAACAAAACAATTTTTGAATAACAAGATATAAATAAATAGAAATAATTAAAACCAAAGACTCTCAAATTTTCAAACGCAAAAATGAACTAAATATTTTTACAGAAATCCTAATAATCATTTCAAGATTAAAGAAAATGTGTAACTGATAGATCTCAATAATCCTATATTTAGAAAAATAACTCTAAGTAGAAATTGCATTATTAAGGGGAAGAAAAATTAGAAGAAAGAGATGATTCCGCTGAATCGAGCCTTTGTTCTTTATTTGAAAAAAAGATCAATCATTTATATAATTAAAGTATTCTATTAAAAAAAAATATTTCAACTAAAGACAGCTTGATCAAAAGAATAAAACATATGCAAAGCTTTAATTTAATTGTAGGAGAAGCAGTTCAAACAAACAATCAAAAATTATATTAAATTTGAATTTATAGTATATATTTATTCTATTTGTGTAGTTGAATTCACTTTTTTTTCAATTAACCCAAAAATGTTAAGATTGATTAGCATTCTTTCACTAAAGATCATTTTCTTTGCTGAAAAATTGTTGAGACAAGAAATTTAAAAAGCCATATCCAGGAGAGTTAATGTATTATTTTTACCAAGATGGTATTTATAATAAAATAATAAATGGTGTATTAAAAAAAAATAATAGTATTTCTAATTTTGTTTTAAATATAGCTATCTGATCTTAGATTAATTATAAAAATTTCTAAATTTGGGAATTAAAATTCTTTAGAATTAAATTGTGCATTAAATTATTTGCAATCCAAATCTAAAGACTAATAATCCATAATTTTGATTTTAGAGAAAAAAATCAAGCCCCAACAATTATTATTTACAATAATTAATATTTAATTACAAATTAATTTGATTTCATAATTGATTATTTTTTGATTTTAGTTAGTAGTATGTTTTTTCATGGAAAAAAAGATTTTAGAGAAATGAATTTCTAGATTAATGAACAGTTAAATATTTTCTCAATTATATAACTTACAAAAATATTTTAATGATATAATTTTGAATTGTTTTTTGTTTTAATAGTTGTTTATATAAATTCAAAGATAACTAAAATTAAGATAATAAATAGTTCATTCTTCGTTGGAATTATTGTATTTAATGAGAAGGGAGAGAGTTTGTATTAAAATTTGAGTGCAAATATTGGAATAATAATGAATCTAAAAGTTTTTGATAATAATAAAGTAGTATAAGACAATTAGAAAGGTTAGATTATATATCAGGTATTTATGTTCTGATTTGAAGATTTAATTTAAATAAATTAATTATGATACGAGGGTATACATCTGTATTGAGAAAATCACTCTGGTATTTACCATCAATGGGATTCTCAAAGAAGTTGGGCATTGGTGAGGCATCCAGCGTATTAGAAGATAAAATAAAAAATATTTCCTAATTGGTAAAGGATTATAGTGATAAATTAGAATGATATCAAAGAATATGGTACAGTCATTTCGATTGGTGATGGTATTGCTAGAGTTTTTGGATTGACATAAGTTTAAGCAGGAGAAATGGTTGAATTCAGTTCAGGAGTAAGAGGTATGGCCTTGAATTTGGAAACAGATAATGTGGGTATTGTCGTGTTGGGTAACGACAGGTATTTGATAATAACTAATTAATTATAGAGAAATCTAAGAAGGAGATATTGTAAAAAGAACAGGAGCAATTGTCGATGTACCAATTGGTATGGAAATGTTGGGAAGAGTATTTGATGCACTTGGAAACCCTATCGATGGACATGGTCCAATTAAGACAAATACAAGAAGAAGGGTTGAATTAAAAGCACCAGGAATTATTCCAAGAAAGAGTGTCCATGAGCCAATGTAGACAGGATTAAAGGCTGTTGATTGTTTGGTTCCAATTGGAAGAGGACAAAGAGAATTGATTATTGGTGATAGATAAACAGGAAAGACAGCTATTGCTATAGATACAATCATTAATTAAAAACCAAACTTTGATTCTGGTGATAAGAATAAATAATTATATTGCATTTACGTTGCTATTGGTTAAAAGAGATCAACTGTTGCTAACTTAGTCAAGATTCTTACATAAGCTGGTGCTATGAAATATACAATTGTGGTTGCAGCTACTGCCTCTGAAGCTGCTCCACTTTAATATTTAGCACCATATTCTGGTTGTGCTATTGGAGAATATTTCAGAGATAATGGAATGCATGCTCTTATTATTTATGATGATCTTTCCAAATAAGCAGTTGCTTATAGATAAATGTCATTATTATTGAGAAGACCACCAGGCAGAGAAGCCTATCCAGGTGATGTCTTTTATTTGCACTCCAGATTGTTGGAAAGAGCTGCTAAACTTAATTCTGAAAATGGAAATGGATCTTTAACTGCCTTACCAGTTATTGAGACATAAGCTGGTGATGTCTCAGCCTATATTCCAACCAATGTTATTTCTATTACTGATGGATAAATTTTCTTAGAAACTGAATTGTTCTTCAAAGTATTTATTTGAATTTAAAAATATTCAAGGGTATTAGACCAGCTATTAATGTCGGTTTATCTGTGTCAAGAGTCGGTTCAGCTGCTTAAATCAAAGCCATGAAAACAGTTGCTGGTAGACTTAAGTTAGAATTGGCATAATACAGAGAAGTTGCTGCATTTGCCCAATTTGGTTCAGATTTGGATGCTGCCACTTAATAATTATTAAATAGAGGTGCTTAATTAACTGAATTACTCAAATAAAAATAATATGTAAGTTTTCATAAATATAATATTTTAGGTTCCAATGTGTGCTGAAGAATAAGTTTGTGTCATCTATGCAGGTGTCAGAGGATTTTTAGATAAAGTATAAACCTCCGAAATTGCTAAATTCGAAGAGAAATTCCTTAATCATCTCAGAACTAACTATCCAGCTATGTTGGAAAGAATTAGAAGGTATTTAGTATTTTATTCTTTTAGTACTGGTGAATTGAGCAAATAAGATGATGCTGAATTGAAAAGCATTTTAGAAGTCTTCATTCCTGAGGCTGGTCTTGTTATGAAATAATGATCAATTACAAAAAAATAATACATTATATAAAATAATAATTTATTAAAATGTCAATTGTATTTGCATAATTAAGATAATTGCGTTATGGTTATTCCCTATATGTGACTGGAAATTGCAATGAATTAGGATGCTGGAATCCTGAAAAAGCAATTTAATTGAATTATAATGAGATTGATCTGTGGAAATGTGAAGTTGAAATTAAAAGTGAGAATGCAGTTGAATATAAGTACTTTGTTGCAAAAACAAATAATCCATAATGGGATATTAGATGGGATGAAGGGTAGAACAAAGTTCTAGATAGAACTAAGAGTACTGATTAGTCGAAAATAATGACATTTAATATTAGGTATGATTGTCAAGAAGATGCCAATTAAAAGAGGGATTGGAGTCATAGAAAAAACCTTGTTTAAAAATTAATAAAATAGATTAACCCTGAAATATTTGGATTGCAAGAAGTACTTGCTCATTAACAAGCAGATTTACTATAAAGTTTTTCAACAAATTATAATTCTATAGGAAGAGGAAGGTAATATAACTTTTGGGATGATGAAGCATGCCCAATTTTTTATGATATGATTAAATATAATTTGATAAAGGCTGAAATATTTTGGTTGTCTGATACTCCAAAGAATGCTGGATCTAAGACTTACGGTAATGGATTTCCTCGTATATGTACATACGTTAGTTTATTAAATAAGATGAGCTAAGACATATATCATGTTTACAATGCTCATTTTGATCATGAACATAAGCAATCACAGGTAAAGTCAGCAGAATAAATAATAAAGCACATTTAATAGTATTGTTCTGCTTAAGATAAAATTATTGTTATGGGTGACTTGAATAGTTTACCATTAAGCGATTCAGTGAAGATCTTACAATCACCCATAGGATAAAATTTAAAGTTAGAGAATACAATAGGTGCTTTAGAAATAGTATTGGCAACATATCACGCATGGTATGGAATGAAATTAGGTATGCATATAGATTATATATTCTTGGGCAATCTTAAGAAAAAGAGTATAATGATCATAAATGATTAAATTGAAAAATAATATGCATCAGATCATTTCCCAAAGGTTGTAGTTTTTGAATGAGATTTATTTATAATTATAATATTTCTAGAAAATTATAATTCATAGTGCGCAATAAGAAGATATTAATTAGAAATAATGGATATATAAAATTTTCATACAAAAGGTAATGGATACACGTCTCAATGAATTAAATAAATAAATGAGCAAATATATTTATACATTTGGTGATGGCAAAGCTGAAGGCAGTGCAGCAATGAAGAATCTTTTGGGAGGCAAAGGATCAGGATTGGCAGAAATGAATTTGATTGGCATTCCTGTACCCCCAGGCTTCACAATTACAACAGAAGCTTGCAACTTATACACTAAGAATGGTGCAGAATCCACTTTCGCTCTCATCAAGGCTGATGTTGAATAAGCACTTCATCAAGTTGAAGAATTGACCAAGATGGAATTCGGTTCAGCTGAGAATCCTTTACTTGTTTCTGTCAGATCTGGAGCAAGAGTTTCAATGCCTGGTATGATGGATACAATTCTTAATTTGGGATTAAATGATGTCTCAGTTGAAGGATTGAGTAAGAGAACAAACAACCCAAGATTTGCATGGGATTCTTACAGAAGATTCATTCAAATGTTTAGTGACATAGTTTTAGATATGAAGCCAACAACTAAGGAAGACATTGATCCATTTGAAGAAATCATCGAAAGTGTCAAACATGCTAAAGGAGTCAAATAAGATACCGAACTTGATGTTGAGGATCTTAAAAGTTTAGTTGTTAAATACAAGGAGGCTGTTAAAGCAAAAACAGGAAATGATTTCCCATAAGAACCATAATAATAATTATGGAGAGCTATTTAAGCTGTGTTTGATAGTTGGAACAATGATAGAGCCAAATACTATAGAATTCTTAACAAAATCCCTGAAGATTGGGGAACTGCAGTTAATGTCTAAGCTATGGTTTTCGGTAACATGGGTAATACTTCAGCTACTGGAGTTGGATTCACTAGAGATGCATCTACTGGAGAAAATATCTTCAATGGAGAATATTTGATCAACGCTCAAGGAGAAGATGTCGTTGCTGGTATTAGAACACCATAATAAATCACCTTGATTGGATCAAAAAGATGGGCTGAATCATAAGGTGTTCAAGAAGATGTTAGAAAAACCTAATTCCCATCATTAGAAGAATCATTACCTGAAACTTACTTAGAATTGAAGAATGTCTAAGAAAAATTAGAATAGCACTTCAAAGATATGTAAGATATTGAATTCACTATTCAAAATGGAAAATTATGGTTATTATAATGCAGAAATGGTAAAAGAACAGGTGCTGCCATGGTTCAAATTGCTTGTGATTTATTTAGAGAAGGAAAGATTGATGAAAAGACAGCTCTTAAAAGAATTGAACCAAATAAATTAGATGAATTATTACATCCAATTTTCACCCCTGAAGCTTTGAAAACAGCTAAATTTGTAGCTAAGGGATTACCAGCATCCCCAGGTGCAGCATCAGGATAGATAGTTTTCTTTGCTGATGAAGCTAAGAAATTTGCTCAAAGTATTTTAGTTAGAATTGAAACATCTCCAGAAGATTTGGAAGGTATGAACATTGCTAGAGGTATATTGACAGCTAGAGGAGGTATGACTTCTCATGCTGCAGTTGTTGCAAGAGGTATGGGTAAATGTTGTGTTTGTGGAGCAGGAGCTTTAAATATTAATTATAAATAAAGAACACTTGAAGTAGGTGGTAAAGTTTATGCTGAAGGAGATTGGATTTCATTAAATGGATCAACAGGAGATGTTTTTGAAGGCAAATTATAAACATAAGAAGCCTAACTCAGTGGAGATTTTGGTTTAATTATGGATTGGGCTGAAAAATATACTAGAATGTATGTCAGAACTAATGCAGATACACCAAAAGATGCTTAAGTTGCTAGAAAATTCGGTGCTAAAGGTATTGGATTGACAAGAACTGAACATATGTTCTTTGAAGGTGAGAGAATCAAAGCTATGAGAGAAATGATTTTGGCATCTGATTTAGCTGGTAGATAATTAGCATTGGCTAAATTATTACCATTCTAAAGAACAGACTTTGAAGGTATATTCGAAGCTATGAATGGATATGGTGTCACCATTAGATTGTTAGACCCACCCCTTCATGAATTCGTTCCACATGAAACTGCTTAATAATAAGAATTAGCATAAGAAATGGGATTGACATTAGAATAAGTTAAGTAAAAAGTACATGAATTAGCTGAATTCAACCCAATGTTGGGACATAGAGGATGCAGATTAGGAATTACTTATCCCGAGATTACTGAAATGTAAACTAGAGCTATCATTGAAGCAGCTCTTAATATCAAAGCTAAAGGATTGGATGTTAAACCAGAAATTATGGTTCCATTAGTTGGTAATGTTAATGAATTAGAACATTAATTGAAAGTTGTTAGAAAAACAGCTGATACAGTATTCAAAGAAAGAAATGACACTATTCATTATTTAGTAGGAACTATGATTGAAGTACCAAGAGCTTGTTTAGTTGCTGATTCTATTGGTTAAATTGCTGAATTCTTTTCATTTGGTACTAATGATTTGACTTAAATGACACTTGGATTTTCAAGAGATGATGCAGGTAAATTCTTACCATACTATATCAACAATGGAATTTTGAAAGTTGATCCATTCTAAGTTTTGGATAGATAAGGAGTTGGAAAGATGGTTGAATTAGCTGTCAAGAATGGAAAATCAACAAATCCAAATTTGAAAGTTGGTATTTGTGGTGAACATGGAGGAGAACCATCATCAGTTGAATTCTTCCACATTGTAGGATTAGATTATGTCAGTTGCTCACCTTTCAGAGTTCCAATTGCTAGAGTTGCAGCAGCTATAGCCAATTTAACCCATGCATGAGTATTTCATTAAAAAATATATAAATGTTTATTTAATCAATATGTCTGATTTAGACATAGAAGACATTATAAAAAAATCAAAAATATATGTTTTTTGAATTTTTAATATTGTGAAGGTATTAAATAGCCATTTCTTCAATTGTATCATACGAACTATAAACTTAAATAATAAAGAAGTTGAGGGAAACTACCTTAAGGTAATAAAATCACTAAATCAATAACCCTTAGTTCTGAATTTAGATCTCGCTAACGTTCTTTTATTCTTAATAAAGATCTTTTATTAATTTTTATTCAAGGATCTAAGAAATAAGGAGAAGAGGATTAGGATAAAATATATATACATAAATTTAATCTATTTTCATCATAATTTTCAGTGTTGTTGCAATGATATTTACAAAACCACAGAATAATAATTAAATTATAATTTTCATAATATTATTATTCCATCAATATCATTTTCTGTTTATTTAAATTCTTCAAAATCAATTTAAGCAATTTATAAATGGGATTTTTTATTTTAATATTTCTTAATATTTATAAAGATCAACCAAATCAACAATTAAAGATTTTTAAGATACAAAATAAAATAATTAATAATTAATAATTGGGATGTTAATCATTATTATTGAAAGTTTATTTATAAATATTATTTTATAAACCGATTTTTTTCAGCTGGTTTAAGTATAAAAATTTTTAGCAATATTATAATAATGAAATTAATTCATAATTAAAGAAGCAAATATATTTTAATTTGATAAGTTTTTAATTATTCATCATTCGAATCTCGTGATTTACGTTTCTTCGTTTATAGNGACAGTATTCAAAGAAAGAAATGACACTATTCATTATTTAGTAGGAACTATGATTGAAGTACCAAGAGCTTGTTTAGTTGCTGATTCTATTGGTCAAATTGCTGAATTCTTTTCATTTGGTACTAATGATTTGACTTAAATGACACTTGGATTTTCAAGAGATGATGCAGGTAAATTCTTACCATACTATATCAACAATGGAATTTTGAAAGTTGATCCATTCTAAGTTTTGGATAGATAAGGAGTTGGAAAGATGGTTGAATTAGCTGTCAAGAATGGAAAATCAACAAATCCAAATTTGAAAGTTGGTATTTGTGGTGAACATGGAGGAGAACCATCATCAGTTGAATTCTTCCACATTGTAGGATTAGATTATGTCAGTTGCTCACCTTTCAGAGTTCCAATTGCTAGAGTTGCAGCAGCTATAGCCAATTTAACCCATGCATGAGTATTTCATTAAAAAATATATAAATGTTTATTTAATCAATATGTCTGATTTAGACATAGAAGACATTATAAAAAAATCAAAAATATATGTTTTTTGAATTTTTAATATTGTGAAGGTATTAAATAGCCATTTCTTCAATTGTATCATACGAACTATAAACTTAAATAATAAAGAAGTTGAGGGAAACTACCTTAAGGTAATAAAATCACTAAATCAATAACCCTTAGTTCTGAATTTAGATCTCGCTAACGTTCTTTTATTCTTAATAAAGATCTTTTATTAATTTTTATTCAAGGATCTAAGAAATAAGGAGAAGAGGATTAGGATAAAATATATATACATAAATTTAATCTATTTTCATCATAATTTTCAGTGTTGTTGCAATGATATTTACAAAACCACAGAATAATAATTAAATTATAATTTTCATAATATTATTATTCCATCAATATCATTTTCTGTTTATTTAAATTCTTCAAAATCAATTTAAGCAATTTATAAATGGGATTTTTTATTTTAATATTTCTTAATATTTATAAAGATCAACCAAATCAACAATTAAAGATTTTTAAGATACAAAATAAAATAATTAATAATTAATAATTGGGATGTTAATCATTATTATTGAAAGTTTATTTATAAATATTATTTTATAAACCGATTTTTTTCAGCTGGTTTAAGTATAAAAATTTTTAGCAATATTATAATAATGAAATTAATTCATAATTAAAGAAGCAAATATATTTTAATTTGATAAGTTTTTAATTATTCATCATTCGAATCTCGTGATTTACGTTTCTTCGTTTATAGGCTTTCATAATTTATTTTATAATATGTCTAAATAAAACTTAAGCAACTACATCAAATTTTTAAATCATATCACAGATTTAGAGCAAAAAGGTCTCATTTCTTCAAAACAAAAACATCTTTTGAAAATGAATCTCAAAACGAAAGAATAACTATTAGAAAAATTGATTTGCTCTTTTGAGGATGAGCACAATAACTAAAATGCTATATTTTCATATTTAAATGTAATAGAACCAAAAACTCGGGCTAGATGTCACTCTTCCTAGGAAAATGAAGCTCCATTAATGTTTAGAAATAACCATAACACTCATTCATAAGTTACTTCTTTTAATGAGTCCAGATTGATTGCCCATTTGGATGATCTTAATGATGAATTAATGAATATTTGGCAATCAGAATCATAGCTGGTAAGATTACATTAATGACATCTAGCTCTTTAATCAAGAAATAAATGAAAAATTAAAAAAAGTTGGAGAATTAATAGCAAAAACTGCTACTTCAACACCTTGTGGATCTTAAAAACAAGTCATTAATGCTATTGAAACCCTATCCATTATAGATGGTCTTAAATAACTTTATAAAGACTTGAAAGTAAAAATTGATTTTTATTAAAGCAACATTTTAATGATTATTTACGTTGTCATATTTTGTTGATGGATAATTAATTCACTACTTAGAATTTGTATAAAATGTTAAGAGCTTTTATGAAAAATTTAGTAGATGCGGATGAAGTTACATTCATTATAAANTATCATACGAACTATAAACTTAAATAATAAAGAAGTTGAGGGAAACTACCTTAAGGTAATAAAATCACTAAATCAATAACCCTTAGTTCTGAATTTAGATCTCGCTAACGTTCTTTTATTCTTAATAAAGATCTTTTATTAATTTTTATTCAAGGATCTAAGAAATAAGGAGAAGAGGATTAGGATAAAATATATATACATAAATTTAATCTATTTTCATCATAATTTTCAGTGTTGTTGCAATGATATTTACAAAACCACAGAATAATAATTAAATTATAATTTTCATAATATTATTATTCCATCAATATCATTTTCTGTTTATTTAAATTCTTCAAAATCAATTTAAGCAATTTATAAATGGGATTTTTTATTTTAATATTTCTTAATATTTATAAAGATCAACCAAATCAACAATTAAAGATTTTTAAGATACAAAATAAAATAATTAATAATTAATAATTGGGATGTTAATCATTATTATTGAAAGTTTATTTATAAATATTATTTTATAAACCGATTTTTTTCAGCTGGTTTAAGTATAAAAATTTTTAGCAATATTATAATAATGAAATTAATTCATAATTAAAGAAGCAAATATATTTTAATTTGATAAGTTTTTAATTATTCATCATTCGAATCTCGTGATTTACGTTTCTTCGTTTATAGGCTTTCATAATTTATTTTATAATATGTCTAAATAAAACTTAAGCAACTACATCAAATTTTTAAATCATATCACAGATTTAGAGCAAAAAGGTCTCATTTCTTCAAAACAAAAACATCTTTTGAAAATGAATCTCAAAACGAAAGAATAACTATTAGAAAAATTGATTTGCTCTTTTGAGGATGAGCACAATAACTAAAATGCTATATTTTCATATTTAAATGTAATAGAACCAAAAACTCGGGCTAGATGTCACTCTTCCTAGGAAAATGAAGCTCCATTAATGTTTAGAAATAACCATAACACTCATTCATAAGTTACTTCTTTTAATGAGTCCAGATTGATTGCCCATTTGGATGATCTTAATGATGAATTAATGAATATTTGGCAATCAGAATCATAGCTGGTAAGATTACATTAATGACATCTAGCTCTTTAATCAAGAAATAAATGAAAAATTAAAAAAAGTTGGAGAATTAATAGCAAAAACTGCTACTTCAACACCTTGTGGATCTTAAAAACAAGTCATTAATGCTATTGAAACCCTATCCATTATAGATGGTCTTAAATAACTTTATAAAGACTTGAAAGTAAAAATTGATTTTTATTAAAGCAACATTTTAATGATTATTTACGTTGTCATATTTTGTTGATGGATAATTAATTCACTACTTAGAATTTGTATAAAATGTTAAGAGCTTTTATGAAAAATTTAGTAGATGCGGATGAAGTTACATTCATTATAAATAATGAATTGTATACTTCAACTACAGAATAATTTCAAGATATATAAATAACCGAAAAATAATAATATGAGATTGATCTTATTTAAGATGGAAAAGTGATTGATTTAACAGAATTCTACCCTGAATTAGGTGCCCTATTTTAAACTAATTAATATAAGAGCAATTATGTTTTAAGAATCTAGAATTCTTAATGTATTTTTTGTTTTCATCTAAAAGGAGAACGTAAAACAATTATACGTTCCTTTCTATCTTTATGTAATGAATACTAATTTTTTGATGAAGTTAATTAATTAGGCTTTCTCTTATTGGAATCTCTTAAATAAGCAAGAGTTTAATGTTTTAATCCATTATAACTTTCTCATATGATTTAAGATATTGGAATAGCATTTATAAGATGTTCTAAATATGTTTTTATTCAAAAAGTGATTGAAATGCTTTAAGAAAGATATCTAGTTTATAAAGAGAATACTTCATTTTCAAGTGATTATCCATATGTTGAATTTGATTTTAGGGATTCCTTAAATTTGAGTATATATATATGTATGGATTTGAATAAAAAAGATGAGATGAATGTTTATAAATAATTGAATTTAAGTTACAATAAATACTTAAAGTTTATCAAATAATGTTATGATAGAACAACATTTTATAAATTCTTTGTGAAATCTTAGGATTCTTTAATATTTGAATTTGATAAATAAGGTTAAATTACATTTGTATCTTAACCGATAACCAAAAAATTAGCTGATGATTTTGGTATTAATTTTAATTCTTAGAAATTGAATTCATCTTATAAAAGTATATTTAGAAATTAAGATTTATTGTAACATATAGAAAATTAATTACAAGAATAGAATTAATGGATATTGAAAGATAGTAATGCTCCTTATGAAATATTTATGAAAATGGAGGAGAAATATTTCAAAGGATTCTTTGTGATATTCTAATAAGGTTGGTTTAGATATGATCATTAAAAAGAATTAGATGCAAGTTAATGGAATAAATTAAGAAAAACTATAATGGAGTCAGAAACTAAATTATATTTAGATAAATTGGAGTAGAAACATCCTTAATTAAAAAATTCAGTTATTCAAATGTTTAAACCAAAATCAATATAGAAATAATCTTTGTTTAAGAATTTCAGTCCAAGTTTTAGTCCAAATCATTTGGATTAAAGAAATTCTCTTTAAGAGAGTGAGAATGTTAGACGGATTCCAAAAACAAAGGGAGTGAATCATTTTTATTCAGACATGCTTATAGATACTTGTATTGAAAATATAAACAATTAAAATTTTAATATATTACCATATAGTAATGATTGGTTAGAGAAACAAAAAGTAGTATTTTAGATATTAAAAAATAATAATTTTATTTAGGAATATAAAATAAATGAAACTTCATTGTGTAATTTTTTATGTGCACTTGAATACAAATACAATAAAAGAGGTAATTAATTTCATAATTATGATCATGGTGTGACAGTAATGTAATGTACACATGCAATATGTTTAGAAATGATGAATACAAAGCATGGATAGTTATTGACTTAATTTATAAAGTTTGCTCTAATATTAGCAAGTTTATGTCATGATGTATCTCATACAGGAAGAACTAATATATTTGAGATAAATAGTCTTTCAAATTTGGCAATAAGATATCATGATAAAAGTGTATTAGAATAACATCATGCAGCAACATCTATAAAATTACTTTGTTCACCCTCTACAAACATAATTCCAAATTTTAACTCTGAAGAATTTAGAGAGTTTAGAAAGTTATTTATTGCTAATATACTTTTTACTGATATAACTGAACATTACAACTTAATGAAGAGCTTTGAAGCCCGTACTTGTGAAATTAATTTTGGAACAAAAGAGGATGTTCGATTAATAACAGGAATGATAATTCATACATCAGATTTTGCTGGTGGAGCTAAGCCATTTCCAATAAGTAAAGAATGGAGTGTTAGAGTAAATAAAGAATTTTAAGAATAATATACTTTAGAAGGTAAATTTGGATACCCTTAATTACCATACATGAAAGATTTAGACTAAGTATTCTAATTTATAAATTTAGTTACCTATCATGGCTAAATCAGAAATAGGCTTTTTTACATTCATCGTCAGACCTTTATGGACAGTAATGTCTAAGTTTCTTGAAGATAGATTAAAAGATAATATAGATAATCTTGATAATACAATTATTGAATGGCAAAAGTTAATGATTAAATGATATTAAATATAAAAAATGTCTGTTATTAGAGAATTGAGTCATTAAAAAAGAAATGTGGTTTTAGAGTTGTTTGGTACATCTAAAAGAAGAATAGATTTAAAAGAAAATGTATCATCTCCTATCAATCGACCTTCCAAACGATTTAATTATCCATAATCTAGCAATGCTAGTAAATTATTCTAAATACTAAAATAAACTCCTACTATTAAATAATCAGCATTAAAGACTTCTAAAAAAAATAATGAAAGCACAGGATTAAATGAAAGTATTTGTCGAAAAGTATTCATTATTACTTAGAATAGAAAATATTGCATATTGATATTTAAGAACCTAGAACCTATTTAAAATAAGTTATTTCTCCTTATAGAGATTTTCGATCATAAGTCTCATTTGACATTGCCCCTTAAACATGTGTGATACTTCCTCGAAAAATTAGTCAACCTCAATAACTTAATTAATAAAAAAATTCTGTTCGAAGATCCAATAGTTTCAGAGATCTTTTCAAAAGCTAAATTACATTTGGTTGACCCAGTAAACATAATTTGCAACTTAAAATAAATATATATTCAATTTAATTTCATTGAATCATGTTAATTCATCTCTAACTAAATTTTTTGAATTATTTACCAGACTTTTCTTATTAATTCCATTAAGATTGATCATTCATATATTATAAATTCAATTATTGACAAAAAATATTGATATTAAAACAGATAGAATTCTCTTTACTTTTTTTTATATTATAGTAAGTGTTTTAATATTATTTTTGATTAGTATATAAAATATGTAATCAATTCCAATTTTACAGATAGATCATTTACTCAACACTTTTTAGATTAAGGCTAAACTTGGAAAAGGAGCTTTTGGAAATGTATTTACATTTTAACATTAAGGTTTATAAAGTTCTTGGTCCTGATTAATAAATATATGCACTTAAATGTATATATAAACGACGTTTTAAAGAAGCCAATGGATGTGTAGGAGAATTAATTATGAATGAAGTGAATGCTTTAAAATAACTCTAAAGTTAATTTATAGTCAATTTAAAATAAACTTTTGAATGCAATTATGAAGATGAAACCATTTTCTGCATTTTATTAGAATATTGCGATAGTAATATAAATAAAAATCATCTTAGATGGAAATCTTTTGGAGTATTTACAGAAAAATTATACTAATTTTGATTAATAAAAAGCAATTGTGTTTTTCAAATAAATCCTTTAGGGAATGTAGATGATCCACTAAAAAAGGATAATACATAGAGATCTAAAATTGCCTAACATTTTAGTACACTAAGATTAAATTAAAATTGCTGATTTTGGATTTTGTCATATCTTAGAAGAAGATGTAAGTAGATAAGATGTATCATTTAAGTAAAATTAAGTTAAATTAAACTTGGGATCACTTGGTACTTAAGCACCAGAAGTTCTGAATAATGAACCATATGGATTAAAGTCAGATATGTTCTCTATTGGCGTCATTCTATACTAGCTATTATTTTTTTCATATCCATTTAGTGTAACAAGCAAATAAGATTTTCTAAATTCAGTAACATCTTAAAGTATTTTCTAAAAAATTTTAGATCCTCCTTCCTTTAAAAAAAATGGAAAATTAATTGAAAAATATTTGGAAGATTTATTGACAAAAATGTTGAAAAAAGATCCAAACGAAAGGTTAGATTGGCATGCTCTTTTTAAATCTAAGTTATTTCAAAATAGTTACTCATGTATTTTTTAAATTTTATGAAGAAATGTTTGGTGTATCAACTATCGAGGATGAAAGTATTATAGATCCTATCAAAAGCTACATTTATTATAAATAATAGATAAAAACCTAATTTCTTGAGTCTTCTATACAAAAAATTGAGAAAACCCCTAAATATATTGATCTCTAATCTCAAATTAAATTCTTAACTTATACTTATGAATTTAGTTATAAAGTTCATCATCGATAAGTTTTGATGGTAATAAAACAAATATTATTTAGTGTATTATTCCGTGTTTTCTTATACTTAAATAACTTTATTATAAGTAGCAGTTATATTAGAGTTAGAATAAGCATAAGATATTTGATCTAGCGCTTACTCATCAATATCTTACTTACTAGTATTAAGTAGTGATGTAATTTTCAACTTATTATTAGGGCAAATTTATAAAAAATAAAGTAATTAGGCTTAATCGAATAAGATTGGGAAGAAGAACTTATAAATCTATCAATAAGTTCAAAATTTTAAACCATATTTTCATAAGTTGTTAAGAAATATTTATTAAGTTTGAAGAATGAAATCCTAAAGGATTCAGAAGAATAAAAAATTGAATGGTAAGATATTTTACTTCAAGAAAACAATAAAAGTTAGCAAGAAATTAAAAAATTTATATCGAAATTAAAATTTTTTATTTTAATTCATAAAGTGTTATCTTTAGAAGAAATAAAACAGGAATTATTTTAAGAATTAATTAACGATATTTAAGATAAAAATGCATAATTAGTAGATATTTATTAAAACATTGTATTAAGTTGAATAATGACTTTAAAATTATGTGAAAGATTGCGTAATTAAGATATAATCTATGTAGTATATCAAATAAATATATATAGAAATAGTAGTTTCAAATAATTTTTCCACCTTTTTATTTTAAGTTAAACATAAACTCTAATTTAGCTAATTTAACATGTATATCTATTCTGAAAAACAATTTTCTTAATATGATATCTTATTGTCTTCTTTTTATATTTGATGCCTTATCATTGTTCTATGGTCTAACTTAAATATTTAATTATTTAATTGGGGATGTCTCTGTTTTTTTTTTATTTGGTTCAATACTAGTAGATCTTAATGATTAAGGAATTTATGATGTTGCTTAAACTTTAATTAATGTTGGTTCTTTACTCTTTTAATTAGAGAATTAGTTTAAATAAATAATATCCAAAACTTAAGCAACTGGAGTACGTTTAGTTGGATCATCAAGAATAGATTAATCAATATGATAAACAGCACTACTATTATCAAGAACTTCATTATTGATTGATCCTATTTTATGAGATATTTCTGGAACAGTAATTTAAGTTTCAATTTATAATTGTTTAAATCTATTAGTATCAATACTTGAACCTCTTGTATGGCTATCTCTTCTACTTCTTAAAGGAGTAAAATTCTTTTCTGGTCTTAAAGCACTACAATTTATAGGCTAAACTTTAATGCGAGATAAAGATTGTTTTTATTCTGACAAAGTTAAAGATGATTTTTCATCAAATTTAGGTTGTTTTATATCACTTAATTAATTCACTTTTTTTAAGACTAATGAGTCAATCATTTCAATAGGGAGTGATTATATTAATTATTCATTATTCTTTTCAACTGATTTCTATATATTAGTTTCTAATTCTTCAATTTTCTTAAATTAAATGATTCTATCCTCATTTAATTATTCTTATATATTATTATTTTCTAAAATAGTATTAACAATCTTTTGTTCTTTTAAATTATTCTTTTATGGCGAATCTAATTTCTTCTCCATTATATTTTCATTTTATTTTTCTGTCAAAATGTTTATTATATCTACTTTTTCATTTTATTATTAATTCAGAATCTCAACTTTTTATAAATTTTCTTATTCATGTTTTTTAAATAAATTTTATCTTTGAGGAGTTCTCTTCTTTGGTTGAACAGATGTTTAATCAAAAATCTACATTATATTCTAGATTTTATTGTTATCCTACTTTTTTTCACTCTTTAATATTTACATAAAACTATCTTGTTATTAATCAATATAATCACTGTTGTTTTAATAATCAATCACTGATTGTTATTCCATGATTTCAACTGTTTTTTTTTATTTAGAATTTTAAGTTAAATCTATCTTTAAAAATGATTTAATTTATTTTTATTATGTTTCACAAATTTTTTATTAAGTTTCAAAAGTTATCTGTGAATTTGTTGATTCTTATTCATCTTTTTATGTTTGAGATTCTAAAACTTCATCTAAAGATTTTTCTGGTTTTAAATAAAGTTTATTAATTAAATTATTTAATTTAGATTAAACAGGTGGCAAATCCATATCAGGGATTATAAAATTTAATTATTAACTAGAAGTTTCTTCAGATTAAAGAGGAACATTATTCTCGTTTTAAGAAAATTTAATTTTCAATTATTCAATTTTCTTTTAATTTGGTTTAATATCTGTTTTAGTGTCAAAAATATCATTAATCAAAAATGGCTATCTTTTTAAATAAAATCTTCCTTTTTCATCATCATCCTAACAAACACTTTATTCAAAAGAGCTTTCTTCATCTAATGTATATAAACTATTATTCTATGTTTTAAACCTTGGTTAATCATAAGTTTCTCTTATGGATTATAATTTTTAATTTATTATGTTTTAAGATTCAATATTTTAAATTTAATTTAATTATTCTTAACTATCCTAAATTTTAACATCTTAACAATTCTCCAATGATGGTTAATTATATTCTTCATTATTTGGTTTGGCTTACAAATCAAATTATTTTTTATATTGTTCTAATAATTTTGAAGGTTTTATCTAAACTTCTTCTATTTCTATATTTGTACATGTCTCATCTTTACTTATACATATTTATTCATCTCCTTAAAGTTATAATTACTTGTCGATTTAAGAAAGTTTTGTTATTTCAAGTGGAATTATATTCTCAGATTTAATTTTGGAATTTCTTTTATTATTAAAAGACAAATCAATAGAAAATTAATTAGTTTCTTGTTTCTTTTCTGAATTATATTCTATTTCTTTTGTTTCTTATTTGTTAGATCTATCAAATAATGCATCAAGTATATTATTATTAGTTGATTGACGAAATCTTGATTCTTAGGATAAATCATCTTTTCTTTCATATCTATCAGTTAATCTATTACTAGTATCAGATCTTTCTGTTTTTTCACCTTTTGTTTATCTACTTTATCTCATCTCTTGATTTCTTTTTTTAGACGGTGGGTCCCATTAATCAAATAATTATTATTTTAAAGTCGAAACACTACTTCTACAAAATGTTCTTTCTAAAACTGACATAGACTAATCATTCTAATTAATCTTTTAAATTATCTTTAATTAAGCACAACAAAATTGAGAATAAGAATCTGAAAATATAAATTTAATTTCTTAAAATTCTTTCTTTTTAAAATTAATTGTTATTTCATTACCATAATTCATTTTTTTAAATAAAGTTTAATTTACATAAAATTGATGAGATTAAAAATCTTCTAAATTCCATTATAAAAGGGATTTTCCTTATATTGCAAATATAAACTTATTATTTGCACTTATATCTTCTAAATTATTAATTTTAAGCTTAATCATTTTATTTGTATAACAATAAGCATCTCCATTTTCTGTTATGGCTATACCTCCAAATTAAAATAATAAAGATTTCTTGAAAAAAGCATTAGTTCCTAATCCATTTAATTACTAAATAGGAGTCTAAACATCATTTTCAATATTAAAAATTTTTCCACCAACTAATAAAATTTATATTAATTTTCTACTTGTAATTAAAGTTAGTTTTTCCTTATAAATGCTTAAATGTTTACAATGACTATAAATTGTCTTATTTGTTTTCCACCAATATCCTCTTCCAGAATGATCAATTGCAGTCAATGGAGTAATATTCATATAATTTTTACCAGAAACTAATTACTTAGGTTAAGAATCAATTGAATAGATATCTCCATTACCTTGAAAAATATTTTAATTTGTACTCATTAAACTAAATATTACTTTTCCATCAGAACAAATTTACTGAACTCCAGAAAGCACATTAATTGCCTCCTATTCAGTAAATTATGTTATCTGATTATCACTAACTACAAGTCTTTTTAAGTTGTGATTATCAATAAAATAAAGCGAAGCTCCTAATTTTATGGCCTAACTAAATTTAAATCTTGGCGATTAAATATTCTAGAGTTATCATTAAATGTATACATCCAACTAATCAAAAATAACAGACATATTTTTATATACGTTAATATTATAAATTATCATTTATTTAAGCATTTCTTATTTATAATAAACTAAATCAATTTTAACACACCCATTAATCATCATAGCATATTCTTTTATTAAATATATCTCTTCAATAATTCTATTCTTACTTTTAACTATCAAAAAAAGTTAGTATTTATTTTCATAAATTCTATTCATTTAAATAAGTCATATATTTATTTTTTTATTCGAAAATCCTTAACTCTATTGTATTATATATATATCAATTATATTAAAAATACATTCAAGATTTTTTAATCTCAAACAGAATCAACAATCATAATATAATTATTTTTATTACAAACCTTTTTCTATCCTTATGTTTTATATTTTCATAATATCATTTCAAAATAAAATCATTTTTCTATTTTTAAATCAATAGAAGAAATGAATTTATTTTAGAATAATTATATCGATTGAAAATCAACATAAACTTATAATATAATTGAAACAATATATGTTATAGTTTTTTATAACTAATATTGAATACTAGAAAAATATTATTTTTATTTTCTCTTGTGTTCTCATCTAAGTTTATTAAATGAAAATTAAAAAATATTATTAAGAAATTATAAAAATATTAAAATGAACTCATTGCTTGAAATTTTAGATATTTATAATGAAAACGAAATGGAGATTATTGAATTGTAATTATCGCATGATATTCAAGTCTAAATTCAAATAAAAATAATATGATGGATTTTTTGAAATTAGTGATTGAAACCCCTAGTAATCTACATCCAAAGTATGTCTAAATCCTTTAATTAGATATCCTTTCATCGTAAGTGAATTAATGTTTGGGAGTTATGAACAATTACTATAAATGATGTTTGAATGGGATGGAGAACCAATTTAATATTTGCTGACATTCTTCAATTATCCATAAAATGACACTTCTTGTGGTTACTTTGAAAAAATGATAAGACCTCTAATTTTATTAAAATCTAATGAAATGAAACCCTTTTTAGAGATTGCTAAATGGATTAAATTCATAGATTAAGAATCTATTTAAAACATATTCTCAACAATATTAGCATGTAGCAATTTAGAAGAAAATTTCAAATAAGATCTCCTTGGAATGCTTTTAAATTAAAAAAATATTAGTGAAAATGTTTTTCGAATAATAATTAAATACACAGATCTATTTTAATAATATGTGAATCAACATTAAGAAGTTATTGGGATAATTTTTAATCAAACACCTCCTACATTTCATTAATTATGCATTATAGAATTATTTATGGGATGGAATATATTAAATTTAGAATGGCTTTATAATTAAATTAATTATTTATAGTAATTAGTCTATAGAGAATTTGATTTTTGCAATTCCACAATGAATTTCTTACATAAACCTCAAGGAATTTCGGAAATAGATTTAAAAATAATCCACATATTAACATAGACTTTAACAAGACCTGAAACAATTAAATTTTAGAATGTTTTATTAGAATTGCTATTAAAATATGAATGGAATAATAANATATCGATTGAAAATCAACATAAACTTATAATATAATTGAAACAATATATGTTATAGTTTTTTATAACTAATATTGAATACTAGAAAAATATTATTTTTATTTTCTCTTGTGTTCTCATCTAAGTTTATTAAATGAAAATTAAAAAATATTATTAAGAAATTATAAAAATATTAAAATGAACTCATTGCTTGAAATTTTAGATATTTATAATGAAAACGAAATGGAGATTATTGAATTGTAATTATCGCATGATATTCAAGTCTAAATTCAAATAAAAATAATATGATGGATTTTTTGAAATTAGTGATTGAAACCCCTAGTAATCTACATCCAAAGTATGTCTAAATCCTTTAATTAGATATCCTTTCATCGTAAGTGAATTAATGTTTGGGAGTTATGAACAATTACTATAAATGATGTTTGAATGGGATGGAGAACCAATTTAATATTTGCTGACATTCTTCAATTATCCATAAAATGACACTTCTTGTGGTTACTTTGAAAAAATGATAAGACCTCTAATTTTATTAAAATCTAATGAAATGAAACCCTTTTTAGAGATTGCTAAATGGATTAAATTCATAGATTAAGAATCTATTTAAAACATATTCTCAACAATATTAGCATGTAGCAATTTAGAAGAAAATTTCAAATAAGATCTCCTTGGAATGCTTTTAAATTAAAAAAATATTAGTGAAAATGTTTTTCGAATAATAATTAAATACACAGATCTATTTTAATAATATGTGAATCAACATTAAGAAGTTATTGGGATAATTTTTAATCAAACACCTCCTACATTTCATTAATTATGCATTATAGAATTATTTATGGGATGGAATATATTAAATTTAGAATGGCTTTATAATTAAATTAATTATTTATAGTAATTAGTCTATAGAGAATTTGATTTTTGCAATTCCACAATGAATTTCTTACATAAACCTCAAGGAATTTCGGAAATAGATTTAAAAATAATCCACATATTAACATAGACTTTAACAAGACCTGAAACAATTAAATTTTAGAATGTTTTATTAGAATTGCTATTAAAATATGAATGGAATAATAACTTATAAAATATAGCTGTAAACATGTATTAATTAATGTCATTAGAAGAAACACCACATAAATAATATGTAAATTTTATATTTTTATCTAGTTTCAATCAATAATTAGTGATTTTATAATAAATAATGTGAATTTCTAAAAAGTTGAATTTGGATTAAAATAAAAACTTTCTAGAGGTTATAGATGGGTATTTACTAAAATCGTCAAATATTTTTCATTAAACTTTATAGAAGCATAAGAGATTTCTGCTTTAGAGGGAAAATATTTAATGAATATAGATCCATCAAATAATAGAGAGAGACAATCTATAAATATTCTAGAGAAGGTATCAGAGAGAAGAACTTAATGGGCAAAAAGAATACAAGAGGAAGAAATATAAAAATAAGGAGAAAAAGACAATATGTAAATAGAAGAAGAAGAAAATGATGAGAATGATTAATTATTCCAACCTCGAAATAGTTTTGGAATAAAACCAATAATAAATAATGAGGAAATGGAAGATGAAATTCCAATAAGAGGAAGATCAAGTTGTTAATTCAAATAAGATGATTCAGATTGATTAGTTAATTTTTGTTTATTTTTTAATATGATTGTCACTAAATATTTAATGAGGCTCAAACTATAACAATCAAAATTTAATTTGATGGGTATCGATTTAGGCACAGCATTCACTGGATTCAGTGTAACCTACAATCTAAAATAAGTTTTAGTTTATGATTTGCATTATAGTCCATGCTATTCACCACATGATTCAACATTATACAAAAAAATAATAGAGATTATCAATAAAGAGAAAATAGGAGGAATTTTAATAGGTAAACCTTCATTCTAGAAGGGTTATATAGATGAATTTACTAATGGTTTAGAAAGTAATTTAATTGTTGCAGGGTTGAAAACATACATTACATAAGTAGGAGAAGATTACACTACTAGTCAAGCAAGAAAAATATCTAAAACAAATAATAAGTTTTTGCATGATGGCATGGCAGCCATGCTGATTTTATAAAATTTCTTAAATGATTTATGAATTTAATTTCTATTTGATAATATATATAAATATTAATTATATAGTAATCCACTAAATTTTTTAATGCATCAATTTAAATAATATCTTTATCAATAACATATTGTTATTAGAATTTTTGTCAATGACTACTGCAATTTATTAGTAAAAGTAAATTGAAAAAAATATTATTATTTTATTAAATTTAGTAAAAAAAGAATTCTTATTGTGAGAAAAGGATTTTTATCACACTTCTATTTTTCGATAGAATTATTTATTTTAAATTGATACTATCTCATTATTTTTTAATAATAAAATATTATTTATTTTTATGTTTTATTTATTTTTTCGGAGGATTTTGATGTAAAAATAAACTTTAATAAAATAAATATAAAATATAATAAGAAAATGAATTAAGAAGAGAACTAAAACTAACAAAAAAAACTATATAAAAATCCATTGGATGAGCAATTACATTATAAAACTTATTAGAGACTGATGAGTGTTTTATTTGCCATTTTTGTAATATTAGGAATTATGTAATCATACATGCAATTCAAAAAAAAAAGGGACAGCGTTTTGACATTTTTATGAAAATTTATCATATTAACAATTTTTGACATTTCGATAAATTTCTTGGAACTGATTCTGTCTTAACAAAATAATTAAATACTTTTTATAAATTTAATTTATATTTATTTGATTCTCATATTTTCGAAAGTTAATCTCTCTTTTAGATAAACTTACCTATCATAAGTGCTACACTTTAATTAATTGTGAGTTTACTTTTATATTCTGAACTTCTTCTTAAACTTCTTTTAAATCTTAAAAAAAATATTGTATAAAATTTACCTAAATAGCACCTTCATTATATTATATTCAGGATAATAGATTTCGAAATCTTAGATTCTATCTAAATCTATTTTAAAGATATTTTCCATAAAAGGATTCTATTATATTTTGATATAAAAAATATATACATCACTAACTAAATTTTAGAATTCTGTGCCTGTTGGTAGACTTGGAGTTTATATTTTTACAATAGGACTTGGATTGCTTTATAGTGAAGGTATTAATTTTAGAGAATAAGCCCTATTAAATAGATTCGATATTTTCTAATCAAAAACATTTTTAGATTAAAGTTTTTGTTATTGTTATTAGGATTAACCTGATGAAATTATTTCTTAATACTGCTAATCTTTTTAACTGCTTTAAATCAAATTATCATTATTAATTTCATTAAGCAAATTAATACAAGAGTCAACTTGAAATTTTCCCTCTTTTTAAACTAAATTTGATTCAATAATGCTAGAAGATAGCTAATTTAACTCAGAAGAACTTTCTTAACTTGAATAATGATTTATTGGTATATCAACTAATTTCTTAAAATGATTTTGAATTTAATCTTAACTTGATTTTTTTCTTCTATTATCTAATCAATATTATAACTAATTATTACATGATTTTCTATGTTAATTTGGAGAATAAAGATATTTATCATAAAAGCCTATATTGTTTTTTATTAAGTGGATTTTAGGACAGTTAATAATTAAATGTGTCTTTTCTTAACAATATAGACAAAATTAATCTATTATTTAATAGTTGTTATTAAATAAAACCTAATCCTTAATAAAAGTTGCAATTTCCTATTATAAATAAAATTATACTAAATCTTAAATATTTGATGATATAATCTTTAAAAATTTATCTCTACTTAATTTATAAAGAAGACTATAATCTAAACTAGTTATTAAGTTTTTGTACTCTTAACCAGTAAAAAAAGAAAATTAACCAAAGCATTCACCCCTAAAAATTTTATTAAATTCTGTTATTTTTTCAGTAAGTCCATGAGCTACTTTACCTTAATATAAAAGATATATATTATATTAATCACCAAATTGATTGCAAGTTAATTTATCATTTTTATTTAAAATCATTGGAATCAAGTTTTAAGCTATTTGTTACTTAGTTGATGATGAAAATTTAGAAAATATTGAAAACTAATTTACAAAGTTGATTAACTTTTATTCCTTAAACTCTTAAAATACAGTTTCCTTTTCTAAACACGATTCAAAATAATTTTCAATATTATCTTAACTTATATTCTTTAAAAAAATTTATTCTAATTTCAATGAAATTTAATCCTTTAACTTTTAAGATACTTTTTATTTGTGCAAAAAATTTTATAATAATTTCAAATCCTTCACCTTCTTATATTCTTGGAAAAAGTCAAGAGAATTTAATATTATTAACTTTATTATCAATATTTTGTAAAACAAAAGTATTAATGTTGTAAATCTATTAAATAATTGATTTTATAATGTGTCATCTTCTGTGCTAAATTTTAAGTTTCCAAATTAAAGTATATAATTAATATAAATTATTAAATATTAATATAACATATCTTAAACTCCTTCAAAATCTTATTTTAAAATAAATGTTTATCTTAAATTGATACATGTAAAAAAGTGACATGTAAATAAAATTGAGATAATCAATAAGCTTAAATCACTTAACTCATAATATATTCTCTTATTAAAAGTAAGGATTATCTTTTTAAAAATTAAAAATTTAATTATTAATAAACTGATCGACTTAATAATTTCATTATTAGATAGAATTAAAACAGCAAGTAAAATGATGCAAGATGTATCCATCAAAGTTGTTGTTGACCTAAAAATTTATTCAATAAATTGTTAATTATTATTCAACTATTTTTCTTATTATCGTTAAGATGTATATTTATGAATATAATCTAAAATAATTAGAATAATCATAGTAGCAAATAAATAATTTAAATAGCCATTTTCTTAATAAATGTATTCTATTGGAGAAACGATTAAAAGTAAAGTACAAAAAAAAAAAATAATCAAATTCCAAATAACAGTTAATGAAGGCTATACTGAATTTTTATAGATTTTTTTTCCTGTGTTTAAAGGAGAAAAAATTATAGAGTTAATAATTTTATATTGCTTATTTTCTAGGTTTAGGTTTTATTTTAATTTTTCAATAAATAAAAGTACTTTTTTTTAATTTTTCTTAAATGTATTCACTTCTGTAATATTATTTTTTAATATAGTTTATTACTTTTGATTACGAAATTACCAAGTTATTCCTTTGTTTTGCTTATGTGCTTTCAAATCAAAAATTTCGAAAGCAGGTGTTTTATCCTCTTCTACATAATAAGATGGTTGTCTGGGATGAAGCATACCTATCCTTTTTCCTACTTGAAAATAGCTTTCTTATTCATTTTTATTCATCCTAAGTTTAAACAATCCATTATACATAATACTTCCATCATAACTTTAAGATGGACTTAGAATTAAAAATTGATTTTTCATTTCATCTTGTATCATTTATTTGAAATAATTAATATAATTATTTATTGAACTCTATGGTAATATTTGAGTTTAACTTATAGTAATTGATTTTATTATAATAAATATTTATTAAGAAAAGCCTAAAATTAAAATTAATAAAAAATATGTAAAAATTCTTTTTTTTGCACATGAATGTGACTAATTACATACAAAAAATAATTTAAAAACAAATTAAAACTAACTATCTTATATAATAAAATCAAATTGTTTTAATTCGAATAAAACAATTTATTTATTCACAATGTTTTAAAAAAATAACAAACCACACTCTTTCTCTTCTATTCAAATTTTAAACCTAATTCAATAAATTTGATTCAAAAAACTTTACTTTGGATTTTTGAATGGATCAGTTTTCTTTGTTTTAAGATACATATATTAAATAATTATTAATTCTTTTAATATGTCTAAGATAGTTTAAATTTTTATGTTAATTTTAATTTACATAATATGTATATAATTTTGAAATAATCAATTTTTGAAAAAGTAAATGTATACCCAAAAAAATTATAAAGTTACACTTGCATATAATAGAACTTGTGTTTTAGCTTATTACCGATATACGATTATTAATAACCATATCATAATTCGAATAATTTCAATGAATATCCTGCATAACTTATAAAAAGTTGTAAAACATAATAAATGCAGAATTTCAACAAAAAATAAGCAGAAAATATCCAAGATAATAATTCGAATGTATGGTAAATTTTATAAAATAGTTGTTGTCTTTTCAATTACATAGATAATAAGACCAATAAAAAGGTTTATTCTAAGTAAGTGTATATCCAACATTAAAGGGTAGGTACTAATTAAAGTTAAAAGAAGAGAGCAAACATTATCGTTTTTCATCAATGGCCAAACCTTTTTTAATCTCATGAATGATATTCCACTCATTATTGTTTGAGTTTAATGAATGTACATGATAAAGGATCTTGATTAGTTTATAATCTCCTTACATAAAGATTAAGAAATAAAGTGATAAACTATGCTTCAGTCCAACATAACAAACAGAATCAAAATGATGATAATCTTAATTTGCCAAGAATTTCTCAATCGACTCATAAATTTGAAATAACATTAAAAATATTAATTGAATATATTTAATATTAAATAATAACACATTTATTCAATACTTTGAACATATTATTTTTTACTATTTATTGACAAGAAAATTTAAGAAGAATAAGATAAAATACTTTTTTAAATAATCTATAAGATTCATAACAATAAACTTTATTATTACATTTATTCTTTAGTTCTTCTTTTTTTTTTTTATTTTATTTAGATTGTTTCTTTTTTGGTGATATCTTTCCTTATTCTAATTACATTATCTTATTTATTGAGTAAAACATTCCAATTTGTTAGAGGATCCTCATCTTAAATTATTAATTAATCAAAATATGATTCATTACATTTGACACCTAAATTTTATGATAAACTTTGGTTTAATAAATTATTACTTTTAAAGGACACTTTTGAACATATTCTTTTCTCTTATCATTTTTTATTTTAATTTTGTGTAAGTGGCTTCTAATTTTACAATATAAGTAATCATATTGGCTTAATCACTCATTTTTATATTTTTAATATAAATAAAAACAATCAAAGACCAAAATTTGCAAGGTAATTTTTTCTATTTAATATTTTTTCAAATATGAATTTGAATCGAATTCCTTTAGCACCTTTGACACCAATATAAGTTCAACAACTTGCTCGTTTGCCTAAAGTATTAAAAAATCAAAATAATTATAATCGCCTAATTTCAACTCAAAATAATATGGAATAAAGTAAATGTTTATCATCAAGCTATAAAATTAAAATATATAAGAAAATTGTATTGGAACTTCTTAATTCTATTTAAAATACACCATTTTTAGAATTTATTTATGGTCTACATGTAGAATTCAAGTCCTCTTTACAATTTCATATTTATCCAACAGAAAGCCTTATTAACTCTTTAAGTCTTCACTTTGATATTAAATAGCTCTATAAGATTTACGATAATATATTTAAAGAAAATAATACAAAAATCAAAATTTATATCAATATCTCAGAAATTGATTTAATATTATAATTTTTAAGATCCATAGTTAAATAAATGCCCCATATTAGTAGGATAAGAGAGGTATTAAAATATTAAACAGTAAGAGATGTCTTAAATATTAAAAAGACTGAAATTGAAGATCCTAAATTAAATTAAATAGTTACTATGATTTAGTATATATTTAATCCCTCTCTCATTAAAATTAATTGCCAAATCATCATTAAGAAGGAATAACAGGAAAATTTAATTAAAGATATCTCCTCCACTCATATTCTTAGGAATGTCCAGTAAATAGTTATTTCTTTATTTTTAAATTACTGCTTATAAAGAAAATTATTTATACCTGAAATAATATATTCATTAAAAACAGCTAATAATTTTAACTCTTCTTTAACTTTAGATCCAAATTTTATAAATGATATACCATATTCATCATCTTATGATGAATTTAAAGAGAAAATTAAATTTAGAAGATTCTAAAGAATTTTTAATCTATAAGAGCTAATTGAATACGAATATTATTTAATTTAAGAATTTTAAATTTCTTATCCTATGAAAAGTCTAGAAAATATTTTATTGGAAACAATAAATTTAGTCAATCAAAATTATTATTAAATTATTGATAGATTAAAAAGAATAGTTTTAAGTTAGAGGATAGAAATAATGCTTGAAAATTTGACTAGTTAATCTTTAAGTTAAATTGGAATGAATATACTAACCACTATCTCAAGCATCTAAAAAACAGTTGAATCAAATGATGCAAATTAATTCAAGAAAATTCCCTAAATTAAGTTGAAAATTAAAAAACTATGATATGAAAAATATAATAGATTATATTAATTAATAATATTTCAACCTTTTAATTCAGGCAAAGAACTAATTGCATTTTTCCAAACTTCGAAAGGTGTCTAAACTTTTTATTATTATTATTATTATTGTTATTGTTATTATTGTTATTATTATTGTTATTATTGTTATTATTATTGTTATTATTATTATGATTATTATGATTATTATTATTATTAGGATTATTATTATTATTATTATTATTATTATTATTATTATTATTATTATTATTAAATTTAGTTTGCTTATTGCAACTGGATTGAAAACTAAGTATTGTAACCTCCTAATCTACTGAATTCAAAATTTGATTTACAAAAACTATTTGAATACTCATAAGACAAATTAAAGAATTTATCGTATGTTGGTAATTCTTCTTTTTAAATTTGCTTAATTAATGTAAATAAATTACTTTTAATTATATTTTCTTTCTTTCTGCATTCCATAATTATTCATAATGATTTGGATATGATTCTGGAATGTTGTGTTTTTTTCTTTTTTTCTATAATTAATCAGCTTTAATTAATTCACTAAATAATAGCATGATTTTATTACTTATTCAAAAAATCTGAACTTCTTGTTGTAACAAAGAATTTATGAATAAGTTAACATTTATCTTTTCCGAACCATTAAATTCCTTTAATAAATTGTTATAGTTCTTTTTAATTCAAATATTCATATTAACTAAGTTTCCAGGTTTTAATCTTATTCATTTATGCATTACTACAAATTGAATTTTTGTATTTATTTTTTATTTGTTTCAAAGTTTTTTCCCATAAAAATTCTTTTTAAATTGCCTCCAATTTCTTGCTTCCATGTTTTTATAAACCTTGATATAATAAATCTTCATCTACTGGTGTAAATTTACACCTAACCTTACTAATCTAATATTATTAAGGCAAATAACTAGTTTGAATAAGAGGAGTATATTTCTTAAGTATAACTATTTTATCATCAAAATTTTTGTTAATGTTCTCTAATATAGTTTTAAACTGTTTTAATAGCGGTAATTAAAAAGAACTTTATAAAGGAGAAACTTCAATTGTAAGAGGATTGTCATTAAATTGTGACAAATCAATACTGTATAATTATGCATGATCATGCTTTTCTAACTGTTCTAACATCTATATACTTTTTTATCTTAAAGCCTCTGACTTACAGAACAATGCATTTTAAATCAGCAACTATACTAGGATTTCATATTAAGCGAAAATTTAGATGATTTGATGACTTTGCACAAGGGTCTAGTTTAATAAAGAAATATACAAACTTTACATCCTGATTAGGTAGGATTGTCTAATACTTTTATTAGCAATATTATAAAGTTTTTAAGTATTCTGGCTACATCCAATTAATTTATATAATTATATAATTTATATAAAATAATTTCTTTGGGGGAATATTAATTTTTTAAATGATTTTATCGCTTATCTATTAAAACATATAGTTCTAACAGCTTTCAATAAACTTTTTTTTTTCAATTTTCGATGGTAAAAATTTAAGTTTAGTCAAAGAAAGTAAAAAAATAAGTAATCTTAACAATTTATAATTAAAATCTGATGAAATATCTGAAAACAATTCCTTTATTATTTTTAAGATATTCAAATTAAGATGGAATTCAATTGCAATATTGAAAGGAAAAATTATAAATTAAATGTGAATGATAGATCGTTGTAAATTAACAATGACTCAGTTTCATTAACATATGATCTTTCTTTGAAGACTCATATAACTTGGTTATTTCGTGAAAATGAAATTAATGGGTTTATATTAGACAACATCATAGTTGAAGGAAATACTTCAAATATGAAGATGCTAAAATCATTTCTAGGAGGAAAAATTACTTTTACAGGGATTTAAATCTTTTACTCCTATTTTGGTACGATGAACTTTAATAAATAAAAGGCAACCAAAGTATTTTATATTAATTAAAAAGGTTTGTACTTTGATCAACGCACAAACAAAATAAAAATTCTCCTGTAAATGCTTTAAGAAAAGTATACTAGGAATCTAAAAAATACATAAAGAGATTGAAATAATAAAAAAAGCTTCTATTCATGGATTAGCACCTAGAATTTATGAATGTTTTGAATCAACGAATTGTGTATATTTAATTATGGAAAATCTAGAAAGATTCGAAGATTAGGAGTTTATGGAAGATGATATTAGGTTATTTCTTTATGTAATTAACTTTTGTAATTTTAGAATTTAATTTAAACCATAATATTACTCCATAAGGAAAATATTGTTCATAAGAATATCAAAAGATCACACATTTTGTTCAATAATGAAAATAAGATAAAATTAGTTGGATTTGGATAAGCTAATAACATTAATATTCAAAATAATGAGTTTAGACTGGATATTTTTAAAATAGGCATTATTATGTATAAATTGTAAATATTAATTTTTTAATATAGCTACTAAAAATAGAATTCCCAAAATGATTAACTATCTATCATAAAGAGTGAGACAAATTCACTATTATAATCTCTGTTAGATTAGCAAAATGATTCAACATTTTAATTTAGTCAATTGTTGAATCATCCTTACTTTAAATTGTTAAAAAATGAAGGAATATCATTATGTATATTTTGTTTTTATATTTATAGAAATATAATGTATGTAACCTAAATTTAAGTCTCACATTTACTAAGAGGAAGAATTTGAACCGTAATCATGATAACTATATTTAGAAATTATTTAATTATTTCAAAGTTATTTTTCTCTTTCATTCTTTCATTCTTTTATATTTTATTCTCTATATTTAAAGGATATTTTAAAGTCGTAGACGATATTACAAATATCATATAGACTTAAGACACCTTTAAATTATATGTATAAGAATTCTTAAATATATCTTTGTTTGCATCGATTTCTTAATAAATACCTAAAAATCTTAAAAGGTTTATAATTATATATATTCATAGGATTGAAAATGAATATTGTAATACTTTGAAAAACATACTCTAATAATGATTAATAAATTTTTTAAATTAAAAACAAAAATGAATTATTTTTTTGTAATAATTTGGTTGACATAAAATCATAATGATTGATAAAACTCAATTAATTATTTAAGATTGCCAAATAATCTAGTTTGAAATGTTCTTTTAGTTTTTTATTTAACTCTTTCTAAGACAGGGCCATAATCCATGATTGTAGTTTCTGGTCTTCTTTTTTTAAGAGCTATCCATTCATTAAAGAGATCTATAAACAATAATTAATGCAATTTTTTCCAAAAATTATCTTCTCTTACAAGCGATCTACAAAAATTTTTAAGTGCTACTCTATCTGCAATTTCCTATAAAATTAATATGAATATACTTTTCTATCTCTTTCATCTAATTATTCTTGCAAATGAAAATATCTTTTAATAAAAAAAGTAATATTGATTGATGATGCTGCAAAATAAAAATCATTTTCTGGTTTACACATTTCTTTAACAATTGTATCTTTATGATCACTCACAAAATTTATAATATCATCTAATGATTATATTCCACCTCCTCTAAAATCTGTCGTTGGATCAGACTATTGAAACCCAAATTCAGTCCATTTTTAATTTCTAATTTCTTTCAAATCAGTTTCTGTTAATAAATACCATAAACCTTTAATTCTTTTTACACAATTTTCATCTTCATGAGAATATTATGGATATAATTCAATTCTTAAATCCCACCATTCTTTAGTTTCTTGATTTGATAAATTATAAGTTTCATCAAAACATGATGATAAATACTTCTCTTTAAATTCTTTATTTTTTGAATGAGTTGTAGGCTCATGAGCCATTTAAATTTCAGTCCATGGATGATTCTTTGGTTGATGAATCAGAACTATTATTTGATCTTTTTATTATATTTCTTAATTCATATATTTAAATATTATCTTTTTCTTACATTCTTAAAAAAAATTGAAAACAATAACTGTGAATTTAAATAAATAAGATTCTTAAAAGTTAATTGAAGTATATACATTATCTAAGAGAAATAATGAATATGAATATTTAACAAAAATAATGAATATATTAACACAAAATATAATAACATTATGAAAGTATATAATGTTGGAATGATTTAAAAATAAAATTGATAATAATGTAATTATATTGTAAGTAGAATATAATTTAGAGATTAAATATGTTAATTATATATTTTAGATTGTATAATTTGATGATAGAATCATTTTAATTGATTCAAAACCTAGTCAAATGTAGGTAATCTGTTTGCTAATCCTCCTTCAGCAACTAAAGTAGGTCTATTCTTTAATAAATCAACAACAGCTTTATTAATTTAATCAGATGTAACAGCATCAATATAAGATGCATATTCATTCAATTTAATTGCATTGAATACTTTCAACTAAATAAATAAATTAAATAATTATACGCTTTTAGCTGCTTCTTCTAATCTGTCTGAAGTTCTTTCAAGAGCCAAATATAATTGAGTTTTAAGGATATTCTTAGCTCTAGTTAGTTCAGTGTTTGAAATAGGTCCTGTAAGTGTTTTCAATTCATTTACTACACTGCCAAGTAATTCAGATCCTTTGTCTGCTGATCCAATAATTTTGACTCCAAATAATCCAGCATCAGAAAAAGTAAAGTTCAAGCTTTCAACAACATCAGCATAAGAATTCTTGTTTAAGACTATTTACTATTAAATTAATAAATACTATTTCTTTATAATCTAGATTGAGCACTTCCTTATAATCCCAAAAGTGCATTGAGTACTTAAAATACTGCAGCTTATGAATTTGTCCAATTTACAGATGGGAATAAGAGTGCAATTGCAATTTCATTATCATCAGTCAAATTTCTAACTTCACCTCCAACATATTATGTCTATGCTCTAACTTTACCAGTTTAACCTGCAGGGATAAATCCAAGAGAATCTTAAACCAAACTTACAAATTCACTATGATTATAAATTCCAGCACCAGCTACAATAATTTTTGATGGATTAATATTTTCCAATTAAAACTTCTAAATTGTATAAGCACTCAAATTTCCAATATTAGTTTTAAATCCTCTCAATGGCATACCCAAACCATTCAAACCAAATGCTGTTTTAAAGATGGTTTCATTAAATCCTTCTCCACCTTTAAATTAAATCTTTTATTTATTTACTTTTAATTATATTTTCTAAATTATGTGTACCATAATTTTTTTCAATAGCAGAATTTGCAGCCACTACTGATCTTGGCTCCAATGCACAATCAGCTACTACTTTAAAGACATCTACAACATCGTGAGCTAAACAATGTGCTTTGAAGTATGCATTCTCTTAATCATAATCCATTTCAAATTCACCTCCAGATTATTGAATAACACCACTAAATATATTAGGTGCTAATTCTTTACTAATTGATTGTCTCATTTGTATTTAAAACAGTCTTATAATAAGTATTCTTTATTGATAATAATGATCCTGATGTTTCATTTGTTTCATCTCTTGTACCAACATCCAAAAGTATTCCAACATCTACTCTTGAAGGAGATGAAGCACTTTCTGTCAAAACAGTAATACCATTTGACAATTTTGTTACCTCATATCTTCTTTCCTATTCTCTAATCTCATTTCCTTATTATCCTACTGCAGATTTTGGACAACCTGCAGCAAGTTTGTAAAGATCAGAAGACTTATCGTCTCTGTATAATAAATCATGTAATTAAGCTCTTACTGTTGAAAATTTGAATTAAGACTATAATTATTCTCTTTATTTATACCTTTGATGTAATTCTTCCTGAAACTCTGAAAAGCATGATATTTTATTTTAAAATAAATTTTGTACAAGTTTATTTCAATAATATTAATCAAATAATAGATATTAAACTAATATTATTTCTTTTTATGTAATAGGATAACGAAGCTACAAGTTTAAGTATATCAAGAAGAGCTGCTTATAATTATATTAGACCTATTCTTCATGAAGATTCTTTAGTTTAAACACCTACCACATCATTTCGTTCAGGTTTTAAATAGAATACCTAAAAACCTAGCATTTTTAAAACTTAACTCTAATCAAATGAAATATCAATTGATCAATTTCCACTTTTACAATCATTTGATGATAATGGAAAATACTAATCATAACTTAATTAAACAATTAGTTTCATTGCTAATATTCTTAACAAAAGTTTTCATTCCATTATTTCCATTTATGTAATCTTAATCTCGTTTTTTCAATCAATAGAACAATTAATTTTCTTAAGAATAATAGGTATGATATTTTTATTCTCCAATATTACACTCTGTATTTTAATGAAATAAAAAGCACTGGATTCTTCTCAAATTACTACATTAATCCTTTATGTCTTTAGTTTTATTTTTGAAGATTAAATTCTAACCATATATCTTTTCATTAGTATCTTTCATATTTAAAATCTATTTAACCTTATAAAAGTGTCAATCATAATTATCACCAAATAATGTAATATTATAAAAATTATATATTAGACAGTTTTACATAGTTTTTATTTCAAGAATTAATTATACTTTTATACACAGTGCATTTAAATGCATGTTTCTTTAAAATTTTTATGAATGAATTTATTGATACTTACTCAACCTGGTTTATCTATCTTTAATCTATTAACAGTTCATTCCAAATGCTGCTATTTGAATTTCAAATTGATACTGGATCTACCAAGAGTCAACTTACTATTACTTTTTTTATTATTTTTAACATTAACTATTACTTGTTAATATTGAAAAGATATGAAAAATATCAAAAATCATTTTTTTTATATGAAGAGTTTTAACTCTTTTTAACTAATAGATGCATTCAAATTAGTATTTCACTTTTAGAAATGTTAAACTTTTTATGGTTCTTACTGAATATTAAAATTTAGGATTAATTTTTACAATAATTAGATAAACTTAAAATATAAGTTTATGTAGATTAATTAAGAAAATGTTAAGTTCTTTAAAAGATATTTTCGGAACAGTTATTAAAAGATTTGGCAAATGAAGTTAAAGTTATAAAAGTTTATAAAAATGAAATAGTTCTGGATCCTGGATTATATATAATAATTGAAGGCAGAATGAAAATATATATATAGGCTGAATTTGAAGCAAAAAAAATTTTAAAAGTAATTCAACTTAATTAATTTAGGAAGGAGATTATTTTGGTTTAATAGAGATGATATTGAATAAAAATTAAAATTTTTTTCTTAAATCTATAAAAAAAGAAAGCATATTAATTTATATTTCAGGAGAGGCTTTTCATTGTAGAATAAAAGATTATTCATATGATTATGAAATAATGAGATATATTCATGATTAAATGCTATTTACATTGAGTACAAAAAAGATCAAATAAAAATGTTATTTTTGTGAAGACTATCATCTCTCAGCTTAATGCAAATTAATAAATTTCAAACCTGAGTTTGATTTAGAGAAATTAAAATAAAATGAATTAAATGATAGATAGTATTTTTAGAGATCTAATGTAAAATAAGGGTTCTAAATAAAATTGAATTCAGAATCATCAAAAGATTCACATGAATATGAAGAGTCGTTTGAGATAGATAGAGTAAGCTCTGAGATTCCAAATGATAGATAGGTATGCAAAAATATTTTAGGATCAATTTCTTAAATGATAATATGTAATTCTAAAATATCACAAGAAGGAACACCATAATTACATTAAACTTAAAGTTTTAGAATATAGGAGAGTTAAACATAATAAAATCCTATGAATACAACGACATAAGGATGGTAAATTTTTGATTAAGGAAATAAAAATGTTCCAATAGACAATCTACATAATTTTTAGTTTTATGATCCACTTTATAATATAGACAATATAATCCGAAAAGTGAATAATATTTTGGAACATTGAACTATATATTAATCATAGTTAATCAACATGTTCAGCAATGATATCAATTGGAGCTTCACAAACTCCTCCAAAATAAAGGTTTAGTCTGTATCCATTCTTCCAAGCATAACAAGTTCTATGATAAATGATTTGTTTTTCAAGTGTATAGCCATTGTCATCCATCAATTCATAAACAGTTTAATCAGACAAAAAGATTAATCTATATGAATACCAAACTTCTGTTCTAATCTTAGTATTAAAAATTCTAATTAGTTGGTCTGGATGTTCATATGGAACTACACTATTATCATAAGCATATGCAGCTATTTCTACTAAGTCTTTTTCTGGACAATTAGGTATTTCATATACTCCTTGTTCATTATATTTAAGACATGATTATGCTCTTCGAAAAACAAATCTATCACTGTCTTTATGATGAAGGGAACCTAAACATCTAGAATATCCCCATAATTTATTCCAAGAACTCATACATCTCATTTAATTCTCATCATGAGGAACAACATAAGTTGCACCTGTTAAACCTAATTTAATTCTGATTTGAACAACTTCTAAGTTTTTCTAATGTGCAGGTAATGTAGGAGTTTCATATTGATCACCTTTCTTAACTGTTAATGTATATTATGCTTAATGAGTAGAAGCAATAAAAATATATAACAATAATATCATTAAATTTTTATGAGTGATTAATTGACTATTAAAAGGAGAAGAGGGAATAATATAGATTCAACAAATTATATAATCACTCTAAATTTGTAGGATAGCTCTTCTACATTGTTATCGCTTAAATAGGAAATTTCGAAAATCAGTATCATTTTAGGATTTATCAATTAGCTAAAATCAAACCCTTAAGGTAATGGTTAACAAGTGAAGATTTAAAGACTGTTTATGATGACAATACAAAACCTTTGAATCTGTGTGGATTTAAGAGTGGATAAGTTTTGGTTGTAAAAGACTTAGGACCTTAGATGCTTTGGATTACAGTTTTCTATGCTGAATATGTTGGTCCAATTCTCATGTTTGCTTTATTATACTACTTAGGAAAGAAGGATAAATACACTTTTATGCAAAAGTAATACCATAATTATAACTTAATTTAGATCTGCTTTATGGATGGTAGCTGCACATTACATTAAGAGAATATTAGAAACTAAATTTGTCCATGTTTTTAGTAGAGACTCAATGCCAACAAAAAGAGCATTGATTAATTGTTTCCATTATTGGATTCTATGTGGAGCATGCATAGGATCAGAATTATATTTATTTAGAACCTTTAAAGAGGATCCTGCTTGGAAGAAGGTCTTTATAGCCTTATTTGCAGGATTTGAATTCTTAAATCTTATGTGCCATCTAAGATTGGCTAGCTTTAGAAAATAGCCTGCTATTAAGAAAAATGATGAATCTTATGTAGCATTGAACAAATAAAGATAAATTCCATATGGATGGGGTTTCGGTAGAATTTCAAGTGCGAATTATTTTTGGGAAACTATGGCATGGGTTAGTTTCACTATCTTCACTGGCTCATATGCAGGTATATTGATAATTAAAAATTAGCAATTGGATTTACTGCTTTTTCATTTTCTTAAATGATGATTTGGGCAAAATAGAAACATAAAAGATATTTGAAAGAATTTGGAGATAAATATCCAAAGAATAGAAAAGCAATAGTACCATTTATAATATGAGGAACCAAAATTATTTTATGAATAAAATAAAAATAAATGCATTTTATGACGTTTACTATTTTATAATACGTATATATGTGATGATGAATATCATATTTTTCATCATTAATTTAATTCTTATATGCATATTTAAAGGATTGCTAGAGAGATCATAAACAGAAGTAGTTTTTCTACAGCAGCAATAAATGAAGGGACATTCTTAGATTAAGTGATGGCTTATTTCAATAAAGCAGCTGGACATACAAAAATAAGTCAAGATAAATTAGAGTAATGATTGTTATTAAGAGTTTTTAGCTTTTACAAGAGTACTGATATAGTGATAAAATTTAATCTACCATTAGTAAGAGATAATGGAACATATATTTGTGTATTAGATTGAGATTAAATTATTAGGTACCTGCATACAGAGCATAGCATAAGACTTATAGATTACCAACAAAAGGAGGAACAAGATTGAGTCCACATATAAATATTGAAGAAGTAGAAGCATTGTCATTTTTGATGACGTTAAAAAACTCTATTTTGGATTTACCATATGGTGGTGCAAAGGGTGGAATTGGTATAAACCCTCGTAAATTTTCAAAAAGAGAAATTGAGACATTGATGAGAAGATATACATTAGAATTAGCAAAGAAAAATTTCATTGGAGCAGCAATAGATGTTCCAGGACCAGATTTGGGAGTATAGATATTAAATAATTAAAGACAGGTGAATAAGAGATGAGTTGGATGAAGGATGCATATACAAAATTCAAAGGACATTAGGATATTAATTCTGTTGGATGTGTGACAGGAAAAGCAATAACTTAAGGTGGAATATCTGGTAGATAAGAGTCAACAGGAATGGGAGTAAGTTATTTAAATAGATTATAGATATTCTTTGCTACTAGAGAAATTCTTAATGATTTGAAGTATTGTCAATCTGTTGGAATTGAGCCAAGTTTGAAAGGAAAATCAATAATAATTTAAGGATATGGAAATGTAAAATAAGTTGATTTATAATTAAGGTCGGTTCATTCTGTGCTAAATATATGTATGATTATGGTGCTAAAATCATTGGAGTAGCTGAACATGATGGATCTATATACAATTAAGATGGAATCAACCCATATGAATTAGCAGCTCATAAAACTAAGACAGGAGGAGTTAAAGGATTTGTAAATGCTTCTAAATATTGGGAAGATGAAGCTGCAATATATTAATAATGTGATATCTTTATACCTGCTGCTTTCGAGAAAACTGTTAATGCCAATAATGCTGATAAATTTAATTGTAAAATTATTGCTGAAGGTGCTAATGGACCTACTACTATGGCAGCAGAAGATAAATTGTTATCCAAAGGAGTTATATTCTTACCAGATATTTTACTTAATGCTGGTGGTGTCACTGTTAGTTATCTAGAATGGCTAAAGAATTTGAAACATATTAATCCAGGAAGAATGACAAGAAGATGGGAGGAATAAGCTAAACATAGAATTCTTGAAGTTATTAAAATGAGTACTGGTCTTAATATCAATGTTAAGGATAGTAAACTAGCTAAAAAGATGTTAGAAGGTCCATCCGAGGTATAATTTTTATTTAATTCTAAGACTGATTTAGTTCACACTGCTCTAGAGTAATCCATGATAGAGGCTGTCAAAAATATTATGCTTACATCATAAGAATATAAAGTCAATTTAAGATTGGCAGCTTATATTAGTGCAATTAATAAATTAAATGAACATTTTGAAATGGCAGGAGTTGAAGCATGATTGTTTTATATACAAAAATATATTCATTAAAATTTGTCAGAATAAAATGATCAAATGGTTTTGCATGATTATCATCATTAAACAATTATTTGCTGACGATTTCCATGTTACTATAGAAGAAATTGAAGAAGAAATCAGTATTATCTAATTTTATTCAGATAGATAAAAAGAAGATTTACTATGGGTCTACAGTGAGAATAGAACATTAAAGTTCAGAATATTTTCTCCATTCTCATTTAGTGTCTTATGGAAGTGGTTCAGGATAGCAATCAGTCACAGGAATGTAGGCTGATCATGATTATAACAGCTTATGGACAATAAAAGAGTGTCACAATTAACCATTAAAAAAATATGGTATTTAATACGTGTATTGTTTAAAGATGATCAAATAAAATGTGGAGATTGTATAAGATTAGAACATATGCTAACAACTAGAAATTTACATTCTCATCCTCATCAAGCTCCTTTTTCTGGAAATTAAGAAGTTTCAGCTTATGGAGAAAATGGAAATGGAGATTAAAGTAATAATATTGTAATATATTGATTAGGTGATGATTGGATATTGGAATGTATTGATAATAAGAATGGCGATGATTTTTAAGCATCAATGTGGTTTTATTTGAAACATAAATTAACTTAAAAATACTTAAGAACAAGCAAAAAAGATAATTTTAATTAAAGAAATTGTGGATATCATTGTCCAATAGAAGGTTAACTTGAAATAAGTGCATAAGTAAGTAAAAATGCAGATGCAAAATGGAAAATTTATTCAGGATTATTTTATCAGCAACAATAAAGAATAGAAGATGATTATGATTAAGATGGTAGACATTGTAATTCTTATGGTTAATGTGATGATATAGATGATGATGAATTTGAGACTGTTGTATAAAAAGACTTGTGATTTATATAATTATAAATATATATAAATAATTTAATCAATTTTAGCAATGAGAAGGTATCCTCCAATATAGTATTATATTAGTAAATAAGGGACAACAATATAAAAATCAGAAAAATCAATAAGAAGTTAATCTGAATACTCAGATCATAATACGAGTTATACAACTACTAGAAAAGATATGTTAAGAGAAAGACTAGTTAATTCAGGAGAATAGGCTCGACTTGAAGAATATTTAAAATAAAAATTCATTGATGTAGGTTGGAAAGATGATTTAAAAAATCATGCTAAATGTTTTATTTAATCATATTATATTTAGAATTCATTAGAGAGAATGGACTTAAAATTGTACATAAAGAAGACTTATATAAATTATTATCTGTAAAAGGAAAGGAAACAGTTCCAATGAAATTAAGAGAGGATATTGTTAGAAGATTAGAAAGATTTATTATTGAACTTGAATAAGAAGAAGAAGGAGATTATGAAGATGAAGATGATGCTTGATTTTTCAATACCTATCTTTAAAATGTTTTCATTTTTGTTTTGTATTTAATAATCTCAAATGTTCAACTCAACTTATAATGCAGTCAAGTATGACATAGGACAGACACTTCCTATTGTCTTTAATGGTACTGCAATTCCTGTATGAATTGATAATCTAAATATATTTATATAAGTTTTTACGAATCACTATAATTGTATTTCACGAATTATCTAACTTCTAATTATTTGTTAATGAAAAATCTCCAATCACATTTCTTCACTTTTGCATGACATATCAAATCAACATTCAAATTTTTATCTACTTAAAATCCGCAAGCTTTATCATTTCCTCTTCTTCTCAAATACCCAAATTTAATTTCCTAATTTTAACAGTTTAATTTGTTATCCAAACTATTAGAAGCTTTTATGAAGAATTCATTCAAATTTTATGTGTAATTGAATAATCCATCAAAATCAAATTAATTTTAGTTCGTGTTCCATCTAATTCCTTCTCTTAAATACCATTAAGGTTGTGTGAAATTAAAATTATAATTAACAAACAATCCTTAATTGAATGATATCCCTTTTTATTTATAAATTCATTACATAAAGAATGCCAAAATTTCTTATTTACTTCTTTTTGTAATCCAAATTAATATGAAAGCTATTTATTGGTTGAAAAAACTTTGGCAAAATAAGAAGCTTCAAAGTTTCCAAGTTTCAATTAACCTAAATCAAGTCCTAATTTTAAATCATTGTGATCTCTAACTCTGAAATGAACCTTAGTGTTATTCCATGGAAAACGAACATCAACTGTTTAGGTTTTACAATATTTTCTAAATCTGAATTTTGTATCAGAATTCTTCATTTCACCATTTAATTATAATGAATGATTTTCTGGATTATCAATAAAGAATGTAAAATATGCACTATCTTTTATTTAACTTGTCATTTATTTATATTTTAATTATATAAAATCATTTTATTTATCGTCAAAAAATCAAAAACTAGATCGAAATTCTGAAATTCCTACTACATTCTTAATTCTATTCAAATTTATTGCTGCTGTGAAAGTATGAATATTAATATTTATCTCTAGAAATGAATTACAAAATTTGATTTACTTAATGATTCATTTTTTGATCAGATAAGTAAAACAAAATCAGAGTTAGAGATTATACATATTGAATGATTTTTCTTATGTGATATATTTTTAATATTCAAACTTAACCCCATAATGAAGTAAGAAACATTAGATTCATCTAATGAAAAAGTTTAGATAAATCTATTTCTTCCTTACTTGATCCTTTTATTAGTACTAATCTACTTGAGTCATTAAGTTTAAGCTATTTGTTAAAAGGTTAACAATTATATAAATTTGATTTTGATGGTTCAATTGTTTTTTCTAATAGAGAAATTTTGGCAATAATTTTATTGGCTTCTCTAGAATTCCAATCTGACGATACAGAATATTTATTTCCAATATTTGATTTCGTGCCTAAATTAATATTTTCAAATTTTATACTTAGAATACTCGAACAAAGAATTGTTTTTTTGTAACGATGTTTCAAAGCAAATTCTGTTCTTTTCTTGCTTTCAGTCATTGCTGAAAGTCTAATAGCAATCTCTGCCCATCTACGTCCGTGTTGAAGAAGTAATTGTAAGAAATAAAGATCCTCTGCATCACTCCATTCTTCACTGAAATTATAAATAAATGATCATACCGATTAATTGATGGATCTAATTTATTACCCCATCTTTCTCTACATTATTTTGGTGTTCTCATAAATTTACTCTAACTTACATCATTTAGTTCTTTTGCTATTTTACTCCATTTATTGCCTTTTTTCTATTTTAAAAATTATCTAAAATCTAGAACAACAAATTACAATATAATTTCAAGCAATTGCTAATCTTCTTATTCAGTCCAGGGATTGTTATAAGCTGATTGATGTAGAAATTATAGACTCATTTACTATAATTCTTTCAAAGTCCTGAAGGTTGGCATCAATTCACTCACTAGTAGCCATTATTCATCAGACTGTTTATAATTTATAAAATATACAAGTTTTAAACTTAGTGGTGCCTGAACACTAATTAGAATACACTGAAGTAAAATTTCCTCATTTTTTTCTCTGTTATCTAAAGCCTTACCTTATTGAAGCTAATAATACATTCCTTCTAATGCTTTATAATTTGGAATTGAGTTGAATTGTAACATCCATTTCTTTTTATATTCTTTTATGTCAATGTTTTGAATTTGAAGAAAGTTTAATTTATGAGAAGGTTAGGATTCTTCAGTTGATTAATGATAAGATTATTAGTGAACATGAAGGAAGCTCATATTCTTATATGTTTTATAAATTAATAAAATTTGTCGCATTCACAAAATTTCTTTAAATAGTATGCCGCATGAATATCTTCTAAAAATATAAACGCATAAAACTTTGAGAAATGAAAATTTCAAACTACAATTTTACATTTGTACTTGACAGAATATATATTGGAAGATTCATTAATACAATAAATAGCAATTTTGAAGAGTTTTAAATCAAAATTTTTTTCTAATTATAATTATCACAATTTTAGATATTTTAAAATAATATTGTTATTTATAAATAAAATATTATAAATAAAACTTTAGTACAAATATTTAAACTGCTCTATTCCTTATCATAAAACCCCATAAATAAAAATTAAAATACAATTTGAAAAAAAATAATAAAATAAGAAAAATTATTCAAGTTTATGGTTAATTCTATTTTTATTAATGAATATCTTCTAGCTTTTATCGTTATTTGTAAATTCTATCTAAACCTAACATTTCCTATTTTTTTTGCATTTCTTCTCCATAATTTTTAACTATTCGAATAATTTATATTTTACATCAAGAGTAGGAATTTTATTTAAATTAGATCTGCCTAATTTTAATATTACAACATTATTTAAAAAAGTGCTAATGCGATCATAAGAATTAAACCCTTTAGTATTGAACATATATGTTTCTTCAAAATAATCTCCATATTTGATATAATAATTACTGAATCCATTGTAATTTTCTGTTTCACAAATACCAAAAAGCAAAATAACAAATCTTTCTAAATGGATTCTATTATATTTTTTTAGTTTGTCAATTTGTTATTTATTCTTAATAATCAATTATTTCAATTTGCTTTGAAAATGACTATGTTTATATCAAACGATCAATCTGTGAGACATGTAGATTGTTGGTTGGGCTTATTTTCTAAGATATATGTACTCAAAATTTTCATAGAAGGATCCATCATTAAATAAAACTGTATTTTTTTTTGAGATGTTACTATTCCATCAATTCATAAACTATTATCTTTTTATCTAAATAATATGGCCAACATAAAATGAATATAAAGACTATAATTTGTAGTTCTTGAGGATTCTTTAACAAATTTTTAATCTTCTGCAGCTTTTTCTAAATTAAAAATTCTTTTTGCACTTTGATTCCCTTAAAATAAACCAATAATGATCTATCTTTGGAATTATCATTAAAAATTATTAAATCCAAGAATTGCCACAAAATTTTAGAAGATTCAGTTTTGTATAAACAAAGTGTATAACAAATTTAATTAGATTTGTATCTGAAAATTATAAAGCTACTGAAACCACTTTTTGCAGTCATGTTTTTCCCAATTTTTTCATATATTCTAGCCACTAACTATATAGCTTTAGATTCTAAGGGATTAGCAATTAAGGCTTCTTTAAAACAACGCAAAACAGTGACAAAATTATCTTTTATGTATTTAATACCTCTATTATACCAAAAAGTTTTTATCATATGATTATTTTTCATATTTTACTTCGAATGAAACATTTAAAATAATTAATTCAGTTTTTTATTTTATTACCCTTCTGTCTTAATTTATGTAAAATGTTTTCTAATTCTTTTAATCATGTTTAAATAATTATGTAATTACTTTGGTTCATTCTAATTATATTAATCATTATAATTTATTTAGTGGCATTTTGCTCGGATTTCCTTAGCTTATACTTAATGATATATTTTATTTATTTTTATAATTGTAGTTTTACAAATCTCTGACGAAATTTTGCCGTTCTATTAAATTGATAATCTGATTTATATCCTCTATTTAACTGATTATTAAGGTTTTTAATCAATTGAATCAGTTTCACACATTTTCAGTCTTTCTTTTTTCATTAATTTATGATTTATTTTATCCACTAAACTACCTTCTAATTTCTATTTATTTATTCTAAGATCTTCGTTATATTTAGACTTTTTGATAAATTTTATCATATCACTTTTTAATAGAGAACTCTCCATTTTATCACTTGTATGAATCCTGATACAAGTTTCTGAGTATTTTTTTGTTTAATAAGCTTAGGATAACTTATCTGGATTTGAAATTAATTTTAAAATTGTTAAGTTTATTAAAATTAAGAAGATTTTGGAATCAAATTGATGTTTGAAATTTTTTATTCTTATTCAGTATCTGGATGATAATTTTTTAATTGATTAAACTTTTTAATTTAATTATTTCCTAATTTCTGTTCATTAAATTTAAGAAAATCTCGTCATTTATCTAAAATATTATAAATAACTTGTTTTTCTTATTAACTATTCTCATATTTTACAAATTGATATTCTTTTGGTTACTTACTCTTTTCTTATTTTCTATTAACTATAGCAATTCATTAATCTCTTTGAATTTAAAGTTAAAGGGATATCTTCTTTTTTTAAGTAATTTATAGTAATTTTTATATAATTCTATAAAACAAATGGTTCTCAATTATTATTTATTGTTAATTCTAATTTATTGATTATTCATGAATACTATATCTTCAAGACTAATTACCAACACTATTTAAGTGTCTATAATTATCATCTGAATACAATAGACCTTTTCTTCTTGATTCTATTTATTTTCTCTTTAAATTCTTGTCGCCTATTTCCTAAATAGGTTGTCCAAATAAAATTACTTCAGGTTTTAATTAAATACGATTGAAAAGTAAATTTTTTGGGTTCAATATGGTGTCACCTTTTTAAATTATATAATTTTTTCATTTTTTTAATCTGATAACAAATATTCGTTCATTCCTTTCTAAGTTATAGGTAATCAACATCTATTTTTTCATTCTTTCTCACATTATTTTGGAGAAACATAAAATCTTTTATTATTATTAAGTAATAATATTATAGGTCTAATTTTTGATTAAAAATACCAATCATTTAATGCTTATTTTGTATTTTAATTTAAATTTATCTATCTTTCTCTATTATCCTTTTGATTATCGAAATTATTCAATGTTCACAGAAGTAGCCTTATAATATAAAAAATATAATCCTTCTTTTAAATTTAAATCTGACTCTAATCGCTCTCTTGAAAATCATCTTTAATACCATAAAAATCATGAATCTTACAATAAAGAAATTGCAAATAACTTTTTTATTTCATTTTTATTTATATAATTTTTATAATTCAAATTCTTCTTATTTAGCGAAATCCAATTCCTTAACTAGTTCATCTAATAACTTTTATAGATGCTTAACTTAACTTTCTAATTTTTATTTACGTCTTATTATTTATTCTTTTTGATTTAATTTCATACGAATTATTTATATATAATTAATTCATAATTTTTAATTACTACTTGATTGTGCAGAAAGATTTGGATAATGTTATAAAATAAAGTCTTGTTATTGATTCAACAATTTAGAATGAAATTCCAACCATTGTGCAAAATTTCTTATGTCTACTTTATGATTATTTTTGATGTATTCCTTTATTTTTGGATAATTTTTAATAATAATTAGTCTGAACTCTTAATTTAATTCCCTATACCATCCTTATTATTTGTAATCAATTTAAGCTTTCCCGTTACAATATTTACAATCTATAGAGCTTTTTCCTAATTTTTTACAAACACAATCTATATATTTTTTTTCACCAAAAAATAATTCAGGATATATGGTGTCATTCATAATTTACATTTCATTATCTAAATCTTCTTCTGCATCCTTTACTTTCAAAATTCTTTAACTTGCCCTCTACTTAAAAAAGCCCATCATTTCATCATATTAAGAACTAGTTTCTACTGTAATTGACTAATTATTATTGTCTTGATAACTTTTATAGAAATATATATTATTACCTATATCTAGCATCTTTTTTTTAATCAAAGCTATTTTACATCTTTCTTGAAAAATCTTCGAAATTAGATGGCAAATCTATAATTTCTTATTCACCATTTAAATTTATGAAAACCAAACTTTTTTCTTCTTCTTCATTTTCATTTTTGTTTTTTCTCTTTATATCAACTTACCTTAATTCTTTATGGGTTGGCTTATCCTTCTAACATTTTAGCATTAAATCATATTATTCTTTAGATTATACTATAAAATTCTAACCATTATTGTCGCTGTAACTAGCACATTCATATAAATTACATATATCTCGTTTCCTCTGGTTATTTATATACTTTTTTCATGTGCTCTAAGAATGCGTCATAAGTAGGTTGTAATTCTAATTTATGAGTTGAATGCTTCAAGATTAGACTCATCTAAAAATCTATTTTTAAAATATTAATTAAATCTCTTACAGCTACTTTCATGCTATAAAAATAAAAAAATTAGATATCTCAGATATAATAACTTGATTATGAAGTTAAAAATAATCAATTATGAGTTTTAATTTATTTC